AGCTAGATATATATAACGAGTATATAGTACGAGCTATAGACTAATTATAGAATAGTATCGCTAAAATAGTATTAAACGCGCTATAGTAGAAAGCTTATAGTAGAGGTTATAGTAAATAGTAAAGTAATAAAGATCTTAAGCGCTATTATTTAGACGTATAATAGATAGCTAAATAGGTTGTTTAATACGACAATGCGACAGCGACAATAGTGATTGCTATTATAGTGAATAAACTAAGTAAATACTAAGGTGTCGCGAGATTACGTAGTAGCAACCACTAAGGTTTAGGCCTCTATAGGAAAGCGGAACCGAGAAGTGGACAGTGCGGACTCCCGCGCATCATCATCGACTGGACTTGAACTTTTGACAGAGCGAGACACAACACCATCACACAATGGCGCCTCCACGATACAGGAGCTTGCTGGACCTAGCGACGCGACGAGGGCAATGGCTGTGCTCGTCATGCACAAGATCTGCCAGACGACCGCAATGGAATGCGCAGACGACTCGAAGCATACAGACCTCCCAGAAGTCTGCGCAGTCGACACGGCCTGGCGCTGTTCCTAGCATGGAGCAGATGCGCAAGCCTTTCGAAAAGAAGAACGCGAACACCCTCTACTACACGCTATCGATCATTCTCGGGACTGTCGCGCTCAGCTACGGCAGCGTGCCGTTATACAAGACGATATGCCAGCAGACTGGATGGGGAGGACAGCCGATCAAGTCCTCGGCGCATTCGGGGCCACTCACCGACGACGATGATGTGGCATCCAGATTGACGCCAGTCACATCCTCTCGACGACTGCGCATCACCTTTGCAGGATCGACATCCGACATCTTGCCCTGGAAGTTCACACCCCAGCAGAGGGAAGTTAGAGTGCTGCCTGGAGAGACAGCTTTGGCATTCTACACAGCCACCAATAATAGCAAGGATGAGGATATCATTGGAGTTGCCACATACAGTGTGACACCTGCGCAGGTCGCGCCATACTTTAGCAAGATTCAATGCTTCTGCTTTGAAGAACAACGTCTGAACAAGGGAGAGACCGTGGATATGCCGGTCTTCTTCTACATTGATCCAGACTTCCTCAAAGATCCTACAATGAGGAATATCGATACGATCACTTTGAATTATACCTTCTTCAGTAAGTGGCTCCTGGCTAAAGGTAGGTCTCATGCTAATTGTCTACCCAGAAGCAAAATATGATAAAGACGGACACCTGGCGCCAGTGCCAATGCCATATTGAAACGTAAATGTAAACACATACAGCAGATAAACTACAATAAGTCCCAGAATCAGACTTTCTATCACACCCCTCTTGATTGACGCGAACAGCGTCAATTCCCGAAGTTATGCAGGATATCTGCTCTGGGCGGCCTAGAGCCAAAGAGGCCATTATGGTGTCAGCACAAGAAACATAGCCTGCCTACCTAGGCTGTTACACCAATGATCGCCATTCGGGGAGCGACCGCCTTCCCGGCCCAAGAGCGAGCTACCCCACCCTAACAGCCATTTCCCGGTTGATCCCCAATGCTTCAAAGGCTCCCCAAATCCCGAACCCGCGTCAAGAACTCAAGTGCTCGCACAGAAGTTCCAAAGATTGTAAACTTGCCAACCCTTCCCACGAGAAGCCGAAAGCAATACACAAGCTCGAAGTGCCTCAAAAGATCTCAAGCCATCACATCAACAACCCACGATCAACACCCACAATGGCAGACGACCGCAAACCCACCCCAAACCAGCTCGCCACCGATCTTCCAGGTCCAACAACCTACCTCACAGGCCACGACCAGACCACCGGCAAAGCCATCATCCACGCCAGCAACCCCGTAAACTGGGCCAAATTCGAAGATGACAAACTCGCCATGTCAGTAGGCTTCACCACCCAATTCCCCGCAGACCTCAACAACGACGCCGACGTAACCGTCCACCAAGAGAAAATCTCTTCAGGAAAACTCGGCCTCGTATCCGGTGGCGGAACAGTTCTGCGCTATGTAGATTTCGCTCCGCATTATGAGTGTATGATGCATAGGACGCAGTCGGTGGATTATGGGATTGTGATTGAGGGGACGATTGAGAGTGTGTTGGATTCGGGAGAGGTGCAGGTTATGAAGAGGGGGGATGTTATGGTGCAGAGGGCTACGATGCATGCTTGGAGGAATCCGAGTAAGACGGAGTGGGCGAGGATGATTTTTGTGTTGCAGGATTGTAAGCCGTTGTTTGTCAAGGGGGAGAGGTTTGGAGAGGACCTTGGGAGGGGGACTGAGGGCTTGCCGAGTAGTGGGAATGATGTTTAGATAGGTCGTGATGGTTGAAGAAAGCCTTGTTCACGGCTTGGCGATCAAAATCGCTCTTTGGCTTCTGCTCTCAGATCTGCGACAAGATCCTACAGCCTGTCTGCTAAACTCACGTTTCCCGCCTCGTCCCTCGTCTTTCCCAAATTCCTCCACCTCTCCTTCTTTCCCGTCTTCTCATTAATGACCTTCGCCTTCTTCTCACTATTAGGATCTTCCCACTTCTTTCTCCCCTCCAATTTCGGGTTAGGCACGCCATGCAACACTCTCCATTTCTTCGGCGGCTTCATCCCATGCACCTCACTCATCTCCCTCCACTTCTTCACGCCTCTCTTCTCCCATCTCTCCCTCCTCTCTTCAACCTCTTCCGGAGTCGGTTTCCATTTGCTTTTAAGAATCCTCCGGATCGCTTCCGGCGTGACTTCGAAATGTTGGGAGAGCATTTCCGTGGTGTATGTTCCAGGATCGCTGGCATGTAATGCGCGAATCCCATCGAGAGAATCTGGAGAGAGACGTTTACGCGGAGCCCACGCTTTCTCGCCGAATTTCTTTTGGAGGGCAGATTTATCGCGTTGCCAGATTTCGAGCTTTTTCTTTTTGGATGCTTCGCCGTCGGATACTGCACGACGTGCGCTTTCTAACTTCTGTGCTGCGCGTTGTTGGGACCTGCGTTTCTTATCGGCCGATTTGGCGGCCAATTTTTCAGCGCGCGATTGTTGGGCTTCGATGATGGAGGGACCTTCTAGGTCGCTGTCGAGTTTGGCGAGGACGGATTGAACTTGATCAGTCTCGTTTTCCTCTTCGTGGTGCTCCTCGTCTTGTGCTGCTTGCTGAGATGAGGTTATCGCAATTTGTTCCGCCTTGCTTTTCAACGGCAGTGACGCTTTGCTTTGATCGAGCTTGCCCTCTGCCAGTCTCCTCTCTTTGCGAGCCTTTCTAGCTTCCGAAATCGGTTTCTCACTCTTTCCGTTCTTGCGGGGCTTTACATTCTGCTCGCGAGCAGATTGTTTCTGTTCCACTGGCTTAACCCACTCAGGTGTCGGCCCAGTGGTCTCCTGTGCATTTCCAACTTCTTTCTCTGCAACCGCCGGTACTGCCATGACGCCACCTTCGCCTTGTAGGATGGCAGGTCTCCCCAAATCTTCCTCTTGAGCCTCAGTGAGCGCGGACTCTATGACCACTTCTCCGCCTTGCTCTTTCTCGGCCGCCAGCTCTATCTTCCCAGCGTCCTGCGCTTCGATTTCCTTCGACGTCCCTGCCGTCTCGAATGGTATGAAGCCCTTCTCGGTCGTGCTTATCTTTGTTGTCTCATGTTGGCGCAAAGAAGTCCGCGTGCTGAGGGACCGACATCGTTTAAAGTATAGCTGTGCCCGCTGGCGACGCAAATGAATCCCAGCAAGGTCTCGGACGACCAATTCCAGTGCTCTCGTTGAACATCTGCACGCTTCCATCTTTTATACTGGTGGATGTGACTAAACATGAAAGGTTGGTTTGGAAAAGAGAGGGTATCTGGAGAGCGGATAGGCGGGATTAGTCATTGACAAGACGCAGACAGGTGAGCAGCTAAGTGACGACCAGCAGTCTGTACAATCCGATCTTCATTATCATAATAATATATCTTCTACAACACATGCTTGCCGTCATGCTGGTCATGGAGGAATGCCACGGCATCAGTCGTTGGCCGTCATTCCTCTCTTGCGGAGCTTCTCGTCCCTTTTCACTCTATGCTGTCCACTGAACTGTCTTTCGTCCCGTAAGCAGCGGAGCTTGTACTTTGATCCGCTGCATGAAAGCGTCCTGAGCAGTATTCTCCTTGGACCAATTCGTCACAGTTGCGCGTGAGCACTGCCACATCCGCGAGGGAGAGTGCTAAGTTTGCGTGCGCGCATCTTCACGGCTGCTGCAGAGGCGTTGGCAACTCCTCTTCCTGTCTAGACAATGCCACTCTTCACTTATCGCATCGCTCCATGCGAATCCTATGCGCCGACTCGCACGGTACCTGACCCGCCACTGGCAAATAGTAGAAGGCCAGCAGCAGCTTCCCTCCGTGCAGCCTCTTCCATGGCGATTCTCTTCTTCCTCGCAGCCCCGCTGCGATCTACGAAGCGATTTGCTGGCCCTTCGTCCACAAATTCTATGCTGTGTATCATATATGACATACCATCGTGCTTCTTCTTCCACTCTCGTGATGCCAAATGATGTTGAGTCGTGGCAGCATACGAGTCGAGCGGAGGAAGAATGAGTACAGTGATATGAGCATCGTGACCATCTGGGACCTTGACCGGTTTGGGAGGTCGTTCCACCAGTGACAAAGGCATTCCGTCTACGTTGGTCTGTCCTGAGGTCTCATCGAAAAGCTCTCGTATATCGTCATTGAGTTCACCCCAATCACCTTTCAGCCAGCCGGAGTGCACCACTGCTGCAACAACGTCCGAATCGTCCGTGTAGATCTCGGTCCCCCAGAGTTGCCGCCGTTTGCAGATTTCTTCCAGACTATGATTACCGTTCGACTCGCCTTCCACGGAATTCAGATAGTACCGTGGAACACGAACAGTATAAGTGGAATTTTCGTGACCCGTGAACACCGGTATTGGCTTCATCTTGCTACTGTATTTAATCTTGGCATCGGCTGGAGTATCCGCGGCAGGCGGAGTAGATAGCTCGGTCGTGTACAGATGCGATCCAAGATGCTTGCGTGGCTTGGTCGCAGCCTCGTCAAGCACTTTTTTGTTGTCAACAGTCAATGTTGGTTTCCGCGGCATCGGCATCGCTTTAGGTGGGTGGTGGTGATGGTGGCCTACGGGATGTGCGTGGTGGTGGTGGTGATGATGCGCTTGGTTAGCCATCGGATTCACGTGCGGAAGTGGGTTTGATGGATGCCGGACAGCATGGGAACCATTACTAGCCTCCGCGTTTTCGTGATGATGGTAATGATGGTGGTGTGGGTGAACGTGATGATGGTGGTGATGATTCTGAGCGGCGGTCTTCGGCTTTTTGTTTCCGCGCTGAGCGTCGGGCGTGTTCCTGCCTTCAGCTTCTTCGAGTTCGTCTCTCGATCTTCGACCATTGTTGCGACGACCCAACCTAGAACCGGCCTTGCCTCGGCCCTTGTGAACATCCACTTCTGCACTCCGCCTGAGATCGCCCCCTTCCAACATTCGAGCGGCGGGACTCATGCGTGTGGGTGTGCTGGCTCCATTGGCAGGGTGTCCGGGGTGAGGTGTACTGCCGACACCAGATCCCAGCCCGGAGAACATGCGGCCAAACTCCATCTTAATCCCCGGATTGTCACCGCCGGGACCCACGTGTCTAGGCTGTGCGCCCTGGACAGCTTGCGGGAGTGGCGAGTTACGTCCTCTCCGATCCAACTCTGGACTAATATTGAGAATGCCTTTGCGAAGAGAGCCCTCGCTTTCCTTGCGGTGCTGCTCCCGTTGTAAAGCCTCCATTCTCTGATGCTCTTCAAGTGTCATGGGTCGTTCCGTGAATCCGTTCCGTGGTCTGTCATATCCCTGGAAGTCTCCTGGAGGTGGTGATGGCCGTGAAAATTGCCGTCGCATCTCTTGCGCCCGCCCTTCAATGGATTCCCTCAAAGGCTCCACTATTGGGTGCGATGTAGGCGGATATGCTGGTCGAAACAAGGGAGCTGCGTCTTCCCTTGGCGGACCTCCAAAAGGTCCTCCTGCGGACGGCGTATACCGTGGTGGAGCAGGTGCGCCTCTGTCGCGCTCTGTTTGCGGGCTGTTGAATATTGATCGCTCCTGTGGATGCGAGGTCACACCATTGTGGTAAGGTTGTCGCTCCGGCCGAAATGGTGGCTCGCTGCGTGCAGGGGGCTGTGGATCGCCCAGAGGTCGAAAACTCGTGGCCCTGCCTCCAAGCATGCTTTCACGATGTGCTGCCTCCTCCAACCCACGTAAACGATCCGCTTCAGCTGGCTGACTGCTCGGCCTTGCAGGCGCGCCATGTCCATTTAAATGTTGTGTAGGCTCCTGCGCATGAGGAGGAAAGGCCCTAAACCCATGCGCCGGCTCGCGTCGGAATTGTGGAGAGCCAAAAATACCGTCTCTTCGTGGCTCTGATCCCATGCGTGCAGGTTCTCCAAATGTTCTCAGCGGGCTGTGTCGCCTCATTCCGCGATCGCCACTTTCGCGCATGCTCGACGACCTGGCCCTTCCTGGCGATGGGGGTTGCATTGGCCGAGGGGTCGAAGATGGGCCATTTGCAGAGCCATGGGGCGAACCGGGCGGCTTGTGCTCGTCGCTACCACCTAGAATGGCCGATATAGACATTCCAGGGCGATGATGTGAGCTCGATAGGTCGCGAATACCAGTGAATGGTGACGCAGTTGGAGGCCCTCGAGGCGCAGAAGTTAGATGAGACGAAGGGGCGTTTTGCGGCGAGGAAGGTGGTGGCATCGCTCGGGTTGGGTATGATGGAGGCGGTGGTAACGATTCCAGCGGCGCTGATATGGCATGATCAGTACTGAGTTCGTAGTTTTGCGACAGATACGACAGCTTCTGCTCACCTCCATACTGCGGGCTCCCCGCATTGCCCAATGACCGTCTTCGCGATTGATCGTAGGGCGGTGGCATCGGCATGGCACTCAGAGGGGCGGGGTGCGCCGACTGGCTCGGTGGAGGGGGCGGCGGAGGTGCGTGATCGAGCGGTGAGTGCTGTTGCGAAGTATTACCTGGAAAGCGCAAAACGCGCAGAGTTAGCCGAGTCGAGATCGTCTGAGCTCATAGCTCTGTTTGAGTTCGCTAGCTGCATGAGTGGGGCTGGTTCCTCGCTTGTGGCCCGAAACCCTGCTAGAGACACAGACACAGGCCTTGGTTTTCTGTTGTCACCCACGAAACATGCAGCCGGTCCTGAAAACGTATTGTGCGTGTGAAACACAACGGCAGACCGCTCTCCACGTTTCTGATGCCCGATAGACGCGTCGCCCGGGGGCTGCCATCGCACAGGCAGCTGGTGTTGAGAGAGCTCTGCGGTGATGATGCATGCAGCCCAGTTCTTCTGGCGAGCTGTCCCAGCAGCAGAGCTGTTGCCGGCGCTAGGGCAAAGCATGGTGCGCGTGCCCCTGCTCCCCAAACGGTGTTCGCTGCAGCTCTTGGTCATGGCCACACCGATGTGGCATCATCACAGCAGGGAGCTGTCGGGAATGTGTAGCCTCGCCGTGGTTCTGCTGACCGCATCACGAGGCGATCGAGGGTTTCGGGCAGAGTGCAAGTATACTTGATGACAGCACCGTACCAGAGCTGGTACATGCGAGTTGCTTGCGCATCGTCTCCGCCGGCCAGCTGTCATATGCCCATGCTTCTTCCGGCGTTGTGTTGAGAACATTGTATCACGTACCTTGCGTCAACTGCCATGCTCTTGACGACAGTCCTGCACTGCCTCGTCGGTCTCCACCAGGCATGAACGGATCCCTATTCGCGTGAAAAGGGTCGGAGTATGGGATTTGCATTGGAGGTTGAGCGGTCGACGGCATGTACGGCGATGGGTGACTCGAAGACGACGTCGTCGGCGGATGTTGTCCTGGTAGGCGCTCGCCCGGACGGCCATACGATGTGCGTTCCATGCTGTCCTTTTCCTGTCGGCCTCTTTGTCTTGGGAGCGTGTCAAGCGACACGTTGTTGACGCCGTCGTATGCTCGCGTGGCTTGTGAGGACTACACTGCGATGGTGCGAAGAGGGCATGCTGTGCCCGCAACACGTCCGGGGCATACCTCAACACGGCCACATGGTCGAAGGGATGTTGCGTAGAAGGGGTGGTGTGTGTAGAGGGCGGTCGCGAGGCAGCTGCAAGTAGTCGTCGAGTCGTCAGGGAAAAGAGACAGCGGACGGGGAAGTGGGTTGTGGATGCGCGCAGCGCAGGAGAGCAGCCATGGCCGCCCATGATCGGCGTTCCTGGGCAAACGCTCGCTCGCTGCACCCTTGCTCCCTGCGAATGTGCCGACGGGCGGGAAGCTGGCGGCATCGTGGATTGGCCCAGAATTGCATGTGAACACTCGCGCCAGCTGACCTCATCGCGTTTGCTGCTGCAGCCGGCTTCTGTCGAGAGTAGGACATCTCACGCACCCGCCCGTCGACGCTCCTGTCGGTGTGCACGTTGTCGACGGCGGCTTTTGCAGCGCGAACATGCTCCCGATGCCTGGCGCGCCGAGTTCGTCGTGGCAGTTGACCAAAGCCCGTCTGGCGGCAAAGTTCGAGGGTGCTTCGGCGCGCGTGTGCATCGCCTTCTGGTTGTTCGGTGAGTCCACATGTGCATGCGGCAACGGTATGGGGGATACCGGAGAGCTAATGCTGCACAGGCCTGATCAACAACATCTTCTATGTCATCATCCTAACCGCCGCGCTCGACCTCGTCGGCCCGTCCATCCCCAAAGCCACCGTGCTGCTCAGCTGTATCATACCAGGCCTCGCGACCAAGATCGTAACGCCCTACTTCATTCATCTCGTCCCATACCACCTCCGCATCATCGTCTTCGTAGGCCTTGCAACATGTGGCATGCTGGCTGTCGCGCTGTCGCCCAGCACGACAGACGCTGGCAGCATCAGTAGCAAGATTGCTGGCATCGTGCTGGCCAATATCAGTTCAGGCGCGGGGGAAGTCAACTTCCTCGCCTTGACGCACTTCTATGGGCCCTTCAGTCTGGCAAGCTGGAGCTCGGGCACGGGAGCAGCAGGTCTGGTGGGAGCAGGAGCGTACACTTTGGCAACCACGACCCTGGGCTTCAGCGTCCACGCGACATTGCTGTCCAGCTGCGTCTTGGGCTTTGCCATGCTGGGATCCTACTTCCTGCTCTTACCCCTAGGCCCGCTCAAGGTCACACACCGCAAGGAATCTCAATACCAGCGCGTAGCAGCCGAAGAGGAGGATGCAGATGTCGACACGTCACAAACGGGTCGGCTGGATCCGCCAGGTGTCCGGCCTTCTTCGCCAGCATATGGTCACCGCGCGAATTGGCTATCGAAAGGACTTGCCGATCTCAGGTCCAAGTTGATTCGTGCTCAGAGCCTGGTGATCCCGTACATGCTGCCACTTTTCCTGGTCTATCTAGCAGAATACACCATCAACCAAGGCGTGGCGCCCACACTTCTGTTTCGACTGGACGAATCGCCATTCAAAGAGTATCGAGAGTTCTATCCCACATATGGCACGATCTACCAGCTCGGCGTCTTCATCTCGCGGTCGTCATTACCCTTCATTCGAATTCGGAGCTTGTACATCCCAACATGGCTTCAAGTTCTCAACCTCCTTGCTCTGACAGCACAAGCGTTGTGGCCTTTCATTCCCACTGTCTGGTTCATATTCGCCATCATACTGTGGGAAGGACTTCTTGGCGGTCTGGTTTATGTCAGCACCTTCGCTGCCGTGCGTGAGGATGTCTCGGAAGACGAGCGGGAGTTCTCCTTGGGCGCCGTATCAGTGTCAGATAGCGCGGGCATCTTCTGCGCGGGCATACTCGGAGCCGGTATGGAGACAGCACTCTGTCAATGGCAAGTCAGTCATGGCAGAGACTGGTGTAGGCAACGCTGAAGCTCGACCATTATGACGTCCACGTTATCGGACTGCCATGTGTCACCATCGCTACTTGCACGGGGCGTGCTTGATGCGGAGCCCTGTCGACATTGCTGCACGACGAACAATGCCACCCGACCAGAAGGATCTGCTTCCAGCGGTATTGATCATCTAAGTAGAGGCACATTTCCAAGCCTTCAATCAGTCTCGTTCATCGAAACGACCCTTGGCGTCATGAACATTCGACCATTGCAGGGAACTTGCCACCACTGAGACCCAGAACGATCGACGGCGAAGTGAGCTCTCGCGTGCGTCTGCCTGCGCTGTGTAGCCCATGAAAGCTCACTTTGGAGCTCGCCAGAGCTGACTGGAAAACCTCACTTCGTTGCGACATTTAAGTCCGACTAGCTACTGCGCGTAACCTAAACTCGAACATCAACAGCCTGGCAACCACAAAGGCACTCAGAGACCGGGACTCCTTCAACATGTCTTCCGCAAACGGCCTCGCTCAACATGTGCCGGCAGGCGGCAACACAGTGCCAAGACGTCCAACCACTGGCGGCAAGAGACTACCTGGACGTGCGACCACTGGCGGCAAGCGGCTGCCGGGCCAGTCGTCCACTGGCGATAAGGGACTACCTGAGCATGCATCAAGTCACGAGGAGAATTTCCCTAAGCACTTGTCCACGAGCGGGAAGAAACTGCCCGGCCGGGGATCGTATAGATCCATTGGGGGCAAGAGGTTACCAGAGCACGTCGAGACAGGAGGCAGCGGGTTGCCTCCGCCGCTGCCTGAGACTGGCTTGGAGGTTGACAATGACGATGGCGCAGTGATACAGAGGGAAGTTGGTGAAGATGACGGGAATGCAATGGTCGACGGTGAGCTTGACGACGAGGGCGATGCCGTGGTAGAGGACGGAAACAACGACGAGGACGCATCACCGGCATCAGAGGTTGACAATGACACCACATCCCCATTGCGAAACACAACACGAGATACAGAGACACCAGGCAATCGGCCATCTAGCAGCGAAGAGGTGGCACTGACCTTGCCCAAGGCTACAGAGACTACGAGGACAAAACGCAAGAAGCACCGGCCCATGGATAAAACCGAACAGGAAGAGCAGATGAAGCGACTCCAAGCCCAGCTGGACCTTTTTCCGCAACCTGACAAGAAAGAGGACTCAGTGGTGGCTGCAGCAATCAATCCGAACCAGACCACCTCGCCAGCCATCCCATCATCGCCGAACAGCGCGCAGGAAATCGCTAAACCTGGCTCAAAACGACCAGGCAAGAAGCGGAAAAGCACTTCGCTCACTCAGACAGCACAAGTCGAATCTCCGCAAGCTGGCAAGAATTCCAAGCCAACGCGTGCCAAAAAGCAGAAAGCCTCTGAAACAGATGAAGCGATGGAGAGAGTCTACGAAAAACTCTCCCCTGAAGCGAAGGTGGTAATGTCCACCCTTCGAGACCTGGGCTCGCGTTTCGAAACCTCACTCGATGCCGTGGCCACCAATGCCGGGGCCGTGCTCTCCGCGTCCGGACTCGGCGGTAATGCCGCTGTGGCTGCCGATGTGGCAGGATTGGTTGGCGCCTGGAAAGAGAGTCATCGGGAGCATTTGGGGGGTGTGGTCAGCTTGCTGGAGCGGTATGGGGTGCTGGCAATGGGGGCGGTGGAGGTGCCCAACGGCGATAATGGCGGCAACGTTTCTGGGGGTCGAGAGGAGGACACTGGTGGTGCTGGGGGGCTATTCGACGGCGTGGAGATCGGAGAGGATGGAGAGGCGAGGATTTCTGCGGCTTGACGGTGGAAAGACCTAGCTTGGTGCTGGGCTCACTCAAAGTGCCTAGGCTGTCATCGCTCTTCAAAAGATGCTTCTATAGAATAGCAAAGAATGTGAATTTGGAACGTGAAATGAAGGTCTTGTTCCTTAGAAGCACATTATCGCTCTGGAAATGTTCCTCCTGGAAGGGCAACGAATACGGAAATAAGTCCTGATTCCAAAGCCCTGGAAGCACGTCGTCGCTCTGACAATCAATCTTCTTGGAAGGCAACAACAATGGAAATGAATCGAGATCCACAAATCCGAGGCTTTGGCAGCAATTCATCGCTCTTAAAATTGGCCCCACCTGAGTGCCGACGAATGTGGACATGAATCGAGAATCGAGCAACCAAAACGGATCTTTTCGCTACTCAGGAAGCACAGCATTGCTCTGAAATTCTCATCAGGAGAAAGCCAGTGAAAACGGGATTGGCACCTTGAGAAAATGGCACCAAGCTATAGAAGTGTGAAGCCGTTCTGACAAATTGACGCCTACCCACGACATTGCGTCTGAGACTGGAATTAAAACGAGACAATGCAGTATCCAGAAGCATGAAATGACTCTGCAAGACCGCTAAGAGGGCAACGGCACTGAGCAAAGGGCTGGAAAGTGAAACATAGTTTGTGATGCTTAGAAGCATACAGTTTTCTTCCCTATCTGTTGCGAGGAGCAATCGTGGTTCGAGCCTATTTAACCACTCGCTCCCGATAATGACAACTTAGTCGCCTTTACAACACACGCACCCTTCGATGCATGTATCCGTATCTTGCTGTTCTCCTGCTCAGTCAAGCGATGGATACAAGTCAGCTACGTCGGCCGGCAGTCCAGCATCACCGTAAAGATCGATCAAGTTCTGACGCTTGACCATGTAGTACTTGTGTGCACGAGTGAGCTTCTTGTCCGCAGTATCCTTCCACTTCTTGAATGGTATGCCCTTATCAACAGTCTGGGAGTACTCGAGAGCGCTCAAGTGGAGTTTAAGAGCGCTGTCAGCTGATTTAGTGGCCTTTTCGATAGGGGTAGGCTCAGGCGGAGGGGGGTTGCGAATGGCTTCTTCCGCAGCGGCGGCAGCCATCTCTGTTCTCTTAGTCAGTAAAATCTCTTCATCGATACCAATCAGGGCGCTGCTTACCGCGCTTCACATCCTGTCGCATTTGCTGCGCGCCGTCTGGGGTGACCGCTGGACGCATGAGATCGATAGACGGGAAGACAGGAAACCACTCCTTGTCCAGCTCGTTGAGAGTACCGGTAGGCATGAGGCCGGCTAGCACAGTGCGCTGATCCAGGTAGGCGGCAGTGGCAGTCTCCAGTCGCCGTATGTTCTCGATCGAGGAAGTGCTAATGAGGTTCACTCGGAGAATGTCACGCTCAACCCACTTGCGCTTCAGCAGTTGACGTGCTTCACGTCTCACTTTCGCAGCGGCCTTTTTGTTCAGCTCCGTGATATTGCCACTCTCTGTCTCCCGTTCTCCACTGGCTTGCTGTCTGATGTCATCGCTAGATGCAGCGGCTGACTGGATTGTCAGAGTCTGACTGCTGTGCGGCTCATATTCACCCAGATCGTGCTGATCTTGGACTTCAGAAGAATTGGACGAAAGATCAAGTAGGTCGCCTTGATCCTCCTCATCCGAAGAGCCAGCGGCAGCCTCGTCCGACGCACCCTCGTCAGGCGACCCAGAGGAAGATCCGTTCCCCATCTCACCCTCAGAGGAGCCCGAGGAAGACCCCTCGCCCGCGTCCTCATCAGAGGAGCCAGATGAAGACGCATCATCAGACTGTGTTCCAGAGATGGCATCGTCGTGATAAAGGTGAGGCGAATCAGCTTTGGAAGCGGTGGAGTCCGATTGTGGGCTCCAAATCTCGGTGACTGGACTCTCGTTGTCGTTCTCGTCTGTGGGCTGCTTCAGGTGAGGTGTTGGGCCAAGGAGGAGAGCGTCAAATGAGGTCTGACGATCATGAACAGCTGGTCCAAGGCCAGGTGGCGTACGGTTGACGACAGTGCTGGTTGGCCTCGGCAGCACACCCCAGTGATCACACTCTCCATCGTCTGTAGCTTTGTCTTCTATGGTTGGTGTTGTTGAAGAAAGCTCGTCAGGAAACGCAGAGAGCGCGCGCGGTGTGTCCTCATTGGGTGCATAGTTGCGAGCCACGGTTTGCTTGCCTTTGAAGGAGCTGAACTCTTGCGAATCGTGCTGAGCCGTGTCGTCGATGTGAATGAATGGCGGACCAATCTCAATCAGTAGACCTTCACGGCCTTGCGGTTGCCATGGGTCGGCGGTGTAGACGGCTGCGTTCGGGTACCGCTGGCGGCGGGCAGATTGAAAGATCTCTTCCATCGGGCTAACCATTGCGGCCCTGTGGTCGTACGGCAGGGGCTGGATCGTATGTGGGGCATCGTGGTCGTATTGGCGATTCGTATCGTTGCATACTGTGTATGAGCAGTCCGGCGTGATGATCTCCTCGCCAGTCTGCGGGCGCTTGGAGAGGTCATTTGCGATCAGGGTGCTTTTGACATTCGACGGCTCAACAGAAGTTTCCTCAGTCTGGTCTTTGGCATCGTCCAGATCATTCTCAACAGCAATACCGACGTTGTCGATGTCCATTTTCGGTGCTGAAAGTGTATCGGTATCATCGAAGCCCTCCTAAGGCTGCTGAGTGTCCAACACACTGCCGCGATCAACCAAGGTCTTAGCAGCAGCAGCTGCTGCTCTCCTCGCCTCGGCTTCCATGGTCTTCCGCTTGTGTGGAGGCACGAAATCGACTGGCGGAGAGCTACCGTTCGTGACATTGGTGAGCTGGGAAGGCGTCGTGACAGCGGAGACAGGCGTGCCCGTAGGCTGCTTCACCTGGTTGGACTGGATAGCAAGGCTCTGCTGGCGCAAGCCTCGCTCTCTCTTGGTGCCTGTCTTGACCGATCTCGAGAAGTTGCGTGCTTCGTCGAGTTGAGCGGCGGCGACCTTGAATGGGTTGGCACGAGGTGCCACCACTGGAGCGACCGTGGTGTCCGTCGCTGGGGACTGGCTCACGGGAGTCTGCTCGTCGCTTGCTTCTACTTCAGTCTAATAAACGTCAGCATTGTGATATCCCTCGTGGGCCGCATTGTGTAATACCTGGTCGTTGAAAGGCTCTGTTGCCTTCTCAGTGACAACCTCTTCGGCAAGGGGCCGCGAGGATGTCTCGGTGGCCGATGGCTCAGTCGAGGGTCCGTCAGTGACGGGCGCATCGTTCTTCGCTTCCTCGGTACGGCGGAGCTGCAGTGCAGGCAGCGGTGTATCGATCGTCAGTCGCAGCAGTTGGGTGTGAAAGACCAGCAAATGGGTCTGGAGCCACAGGAGAGCCAGCCAAGTCAGCGTGAAGCAGTAGGCGACAATGAGCACACACAAGGCAGCGACAGCAAGGCCCAAATAGGCCAACAGACGAACAGCAGCGAGTGCGGCGGAGATCTGGACGGTTGTTAGTAGAGAAAAGTGAGGCGCTGTTGTTGGTGGAAGAACTGACGGGCAGGTTGATGTCGTCGTCAGGGCGAGCGAGAAGGTCATGGAGGTTCAGCTCCTTGCCTATGTCGGGCGGAGTGTCCTCGAAGGCGGTCGTGTCCATAGCGATGGATATTCTGATGGTGGACGAATGTGTTGGTCGAATGTTGTTGATGGAAGAAGTGTTTGTGTGTGTGCGAAGATGAACTTTGAGCGGAGCCAAAGCAAAAGTCCAGGGACAGGCAGCACTGACGCTCCAGCTGCGGCGAGGAAGGTGCCTCTCTGTGGCTGTCAGCCATTGGGCCCCACTGCTGCCCTAGCAAGCAGTACGACCCATAGTCAATGACCATGGACGTCGACAAAGGGCAGAATCTTGCCCGTAGGTTCTAGAGATGGTAAGGAAAGAAATGATCAGGTAAAATCTTCGATTCAATGCGCTCAATTCGCCATACTGTACAGAATCAACTCACTGACGCCCGCTCACTTACAGCCTAGCCGTCACTACTTCCAGTTGCGCCGCCGCATGCCCACCTTCAGTGCGAGAGGCTTTCTCAGAAAACCCTCGCGCGTCTCTAGCTTGTCCTGACGGAGATCGAACTCGTATCGGCGGAAGACAGTCGCAACGATCAATGCCAACTCCATCTCAGCCTACACACGGACCGTCAGTCGCAGCCACCACAGCACACAATCGATCGAGGCTTACCACATTCCTACCGACGCACGCACGAGGACCGTAAGAGAAGGGGATGAACGCGAGCTTTTGCCTGCACAACACCGTCAGCTTTGGTTAGGACGGGGGACTGCAGAATGGAGGACACATACTTTTCAGTGACCTTCTCCCAACGCTCGGGGCGGAACTCCTCAGCGTCAGGTCCCCAGATCTCCGTGCTGTGGTGCATTACATATGCCGGTACACTGAGCACAACACCCTGTGGCCAGAAACGACCAGCGACGGTCGCGCCCCCGACTGGGACAACGCGAGGAAGGCCCTGGCTAGAAGTCGAATGGATACGAAGAGTCTCTTGGATCACCCAGTCCAGGTACTTCAAGTCCTTGACCTGCTCGTAGTTGGGGACGTCGTCAGAGGGCAGGGCGGCATCCAGCTCCTCTTGCAACTTCTTGACCACATTGGGCTTCGTCAGGCAATGGTAGAGCAGCGCACAAGACGTGTTGGAAGTCGTATCCGACCCAGCGATGAGTTGCGTAAGAGCCTCAGCAGTGAGCTCGGCCTTGCCCAACTTGTTGCCATGCTCGTCCTTACCCTCCATAAGTCGGGCAAGAAGATCCACACGATCGATCTCGCCTCGCTCAGCAGCAGCCAGTCTCTGGTTAACACGCGCCGTAGCAATACCCGCAAGATTCGCAATCGCCTCCATGCCCTTACTGAAGAACGGATCTGGGAGGTACTTCGCATAAGGCTTGATCGAAGGCCAACATCCCACAGCATTGGATACCTCTCCTCTGCGGTTCAGTACCTCAATGGCTGGAGAATAGCTTGGAGGCCCATCTGGAGTCAACTGCACTTCCGTAATATCGGCTCCCTTCTCAAGCATGCCAAACGGAGCACCGAAAGCGAGATCTCCAATGATATCGAAGGCCACATAGTTGAACCAGTGCAAGGCATCGAATTCCGTATACTCTCCTCGTCCGGTCTTCTCGTTCAGCTCATCCCATCGCTTGGCGAGAAGATCCAAGTTATGATGAATGTACTGCTCAAACTGGCCCACGGATTTGGCACTGAAGGTATGCGAGACTGTCTTTCGCTTTCGGGTATGTTCGGCTCGGTTCCTGGTGTTGAACAAGCCGCGCTGGATACTCACAAACGCATCATAGTATTGCGCTTTCAAGAATCCAGTTCCGTGGCCATAGACAATCGGGATCGCCTCTGGATCCGCAATGGAGACGTGATCCGGCTGGACGCGAACAAATTTGCCTAGCTTTTTGTGCAGGTTGAAGACTGTGAGGTAGCGCCTGGTTTTGCGGCATTCGTACATGTACCAGAGGTTCGTGAATTTTGCCAGGAACGGACCTGGGATGTCGTGAATGGACCAGTTGCGAATGTACGGCAGGAGGTAGAACAGGGCTGGGAGCGCGAGGATCGCCCATGGCGTGAAGAGGAACGAGAGGAACATGCTGGGCGACCTTTTGGATGTCCAAGCACTGTTCTTGTCCTGTTCTCGTGGCTTGAGCCAAAGCTCTCTGCGCAGCTGCGCAGGCTGCTGAAATGAGATGGTGTCGTTCCGGCCTCGAGGACGAGGTGAAGCGGAGTAAAGTTCAAAACTTCAAAGGGTATGTGCGATGGAGTCGTGATGTAGTAATACGAAGCCGAGAGTCCCGCTTCTTCCAGGTCCAATGCGAAGAGACCTTCTGGTGATGAGTGGAGCGGTCCAGCGGCGGCCCAATTGCCTCTTCTTTTCTGCTTTCAAGAAGAGACAGGAGAATCCAGCAGCAGCAACATTCACTGCTTCACAGGCAAGACTCAACAGGAGACAGACAATATTGAAGAACAAGGCCAACGCAATCACATTTAAAGTATACACATCACCACACCCATGCTTCCCGTCTCTGCTGCCGGAGAGCCCAGCTCACCGAATTAACTTCGAACGACCCCGTCTCCAACTACTCTACAACTCCACACAACCCGCCAACATGGGGCGTCCAGCAGCAGGCACAAAAACACAAAAGAAGCGGGCAAGCATGCTCCATCTGCATCATTGCCAAACTGCGGGGAATGAGCTAGCCAGTCGTGACCAAAGACAAAGCAAGGGCCTAAGTTAGAGCTTGATTGCTTGTTTTAGTCTTGCTCGGAGCGGGAAAGAGGGAAAAGCACGGCGAATTGCGAAGCTCGAAATGGTCGGCTGGCTCAGCTCACGCAGACTGGGGGAACGCAAATGGCTGCATTGGACTCTTTTGGGCGTGCTTGGCGGTGGTCATCTTCGGACTTGTCTCGCTCATTGGAGGCTCGGATGCAACTTTCGGCTCGCGGGAGTATAAGTCGGCTTGTGTCCTCCCCCGCTGGTTCTCTACAGATAATCGTATCTCGCTGTGATGAAAGCGCGAGGACTACTGAACATTGTGCATTACGTGGTGTGTACTGTGAGACAAGCCGCGTGTGCTTTGGTACAGTATACAGTGTCAGCATCCGCGGATCGCTCGCGTTTTGCGGACAGATCCTAGTCGCGAGAGCGCGAGGAAGCAAAGCAGCGAGATTGTCAAAGACATTGATGAGACTAAGAATTTCATGCTATACAAAATTGCGAGTGCAACTTTCAACCTGCTCTCATCTGTCTACAATATGCAACAATGTACAAGAATTAATTGAGCTTGCTTTTCATTTCAAACCTTCGTCTTCCCCCTTTCACATGCTCAATCATAGAGATCCTCGTCAACTCCTGCATTCCCATTTCCATTGACAGGGAGGTCTTGTCGTTGCTGGTGCTCGCCATCCACAACAGGTTCGCGAGATTTTCCTTTGCCCTTGCCCTTGCTCGGCGAAGATTTTGTTGGGCTGCCAATATTGTGATGAGTATTGTTCGTACTGTTCAGCGTTAAACGATCAGTGCGGATGACAAAGTCGTCGTCGTCGTCTTGTTGAGCATTATTCGAGCCGCTGTGTTGTGCAGCCGATGAAGCAGTACCGTTCGTGGCCGGTCCATTTCCTCGCTGAGCACGCTTCATGGCTTCCAAAGCTTGACTGCGAGCATTTCTCGTCCCATTTGGTCCAGGTTGAGGCGGCGCAGATGGCGCTTCCTGAGCAGCATTGTCTTGCTTCTTGGTAGCGCCCTCGAACATGCTTCTCACGCGCTCGTAGTGCTGCAGCTCATCAAGACTGACGCTAGGCACGAGGTCCTTGCGAGCCATGGTGAAGTCTTCCTCAGTGACCATGACATTGATATCCTTGTCAGTTCCATAGTGGTCGAAGTAGTAGCCGACGGAGATTTTGCCTTGTCCTCTAGTCTCTCTCTCCGCATTTACAGCACTTACGCGCTGATCAACCTCGCGAGCTGAACGCGTGACCGCTTTGAGCATCGCGTCTGAGCAGAGCGCATACAAGTCAGCTCCGGTGAACGTGAACGGCAGAGCTTCGGCGACCCGAGGTAGCGAGACCGATGGGTCAAGCGTGAATCTGTGGTATCATGTCAGTCCTGCTTATATCACTGCAATTTCGAAGGAACTTACTTTCTCGTCAGCGCTTGCAGAATGGTGGCCTGCTTCTCATGAGTATCGCTGATGCCAAGATAGAGCATCTTGTCAAAACGTCCGGGACGCAGCAACGCTTGGTCGAGCAGGTCAGGTCTGTTGGTCGCACCAATGACGAAAACGCCTCCTCCGCCCTCATCTCCGTCGCTCATGCCGTCGAGCTCAGCAAGCAATTGGGACACGATTCTGTCCATGACACCACCGCTATCGCCCTGGTTGCCACGCTTTGGAGCAACAGAGTCCAATTCGTCGAAAAAGACACAGCAAGGGCGAGCATCACGAGCTCTCTGAAAGACGCGTCGCACGTTGGCTTCTGATTCTCCGATGTACATGTTGAGCAGTTCCGGTCCTTTAACAGAGAAGAAGTTGAGGCTGAATTCCGTAGCGATAGCTTTCGCCAGCAGCGTTTTACCAGTACCCGGTGGTCCATAGAACAGGATACCACTGCGTTTCTTGAGACCTTTGGCAAATAACTCAGGCCGGGACAATGGCAGCTGAATAGTCTCAACGACAGCCTCCTTGACATGGGTAAGGCCTCCGACGTCTGACCACTGGACGTTCGGAATCTTGGGAGCACCAATTGCGTCAGCAAAATTCTTACGAGCCAGCTCTACAGCAGTCTCAAAATCAGCAGGAATGACTGAGGTGGCAGCAGCACCGCCGGCAAGCTGAATGTCCTTGATAGTGATGGGTGCTTGCACAGCGCCGCCTTTGGAGTGAGCCAACGTCTCGAGACGCTCCGACTTAGCAACGATCGCGCGGTCCACGACATCCACCAAATCTCCTGCCACCAGAGCCGCAGTCTTTACTGCAATTGATGACAAGTCTACCTCGGGCGCGACTGGCAGACCAGATTCAGTAATGACATCTCTGAGGATACCTTCTCGCTCGCCCTCATCTGGCGCGGACATCTCCATTTCGTGGGTGAAGAGGCCACGCACAGAATCTGGTACTTTGTCGATATCAGTCGTGGTGGCGACCAGGACCCGCGCTGTCTCCAAGACGCTCTTCAAAGACGCAGCTGCCTTGTCACCACTTAATTGTTCCAGATGAGAGACGCAAATAGCCGTGAGATCTGCTCCACAATCGAGCGCCCGTTCGCATCGAGCCTCCAATAACCCTTGTACCTGAGTGTCGACACCAGCGCCACCTTCTGACACAATATCGTGCGCGTCGATCAGAAAGAAGTGCATCCCAAGGTCAGCACAAGCGCGCTCAATAGTGCTGGCCTTGCCGATGTTGCGCTGCGTCGAGGTGACAAGCACTGTCAGAGGTGGCATTCCTAGGTGAACGGCGCGAGGACTTATTGACACCGCCATCAGCTCTCGAAGACGTCGTTGGAGGGGCGAGATGTAAGGCTGCACAGCTTCAGGGAGACCACCGACTGCGTTCGCTGAAGCAGACTTGGCTTGCACTTTGCGCACGCCGAGGTAGTATTGCCATGGATTGCTCGATGCTGACGGCAACTTGCGTCTATCATCCCCAGATTGCCGCATAGTCATCTTGGATGGGTCAATTGATGCTGCATCGCCCCAAGCGTCGGCCTCTTGCGCATCCTGATCATCTGCATTTGAGACGCTGACGCCTTCGATGGTGAACCACGCGACATTTCTCCTGCCACCGTGATCCCGAACGTCGTTGAGAGGTCCAAGGTGAGATAGCAGAGCGCCAGTGCTGCTCCCGTCCTGTTCAACTTCTCCCTCATATACTGATCGGCCCAATGACTCGTCAATTGGAACCGCCAGCAAGTCACCTGGCCTGACGATGCGCTGTCTCTCTTCAAAGTACTGTTTGAGATTCGCAAACAGAGCGTTGTTCAGCGACCGTTCTGTTGAAATCGGCGTGACCACTTTGCGCAGGGTGACCTCGGATGCCGTGGGCGGCATACGAGCGGAGGTAGATGGCGGTCGCGGCGTCATAGGCCTCTTGAGAGTTGCGCGTTTGTTTGCCGCAATAGTGGTCATGCTGATGTTTGTTGGATCGCCCAAATTGGCCAAGAGGATTGGTGAGAGGTGTATGGTAGCAACGTTCGCTGACGCTGTCACAAGTGAAGAGATGCTATCTCTCCTCCCACCCCTGACGTTCACTTGGTACCGGGCTGGCTTCCTTGACAGGCTCTCAGGGAGCGTATACACTTTGACAGGACGGGCAAGCGATGCAGAATCATCCAATTGTCCGAAAGCGCTGAAGCTTGGGAGTATGTGGCTTTCCGCAGGCTCGATTTTGACCCAGTCGCCTGAAAAGCACCCTAAACGAGCCAAAGCCGTTGCTTCGACGTACACTCTTGCCTCATCATCTTCGTCAGCAGTAGGCTTTGGGTGGAGCAGCTCCGTTGGCAAACGCTCGAGCAAAGCCTGTGCCCGGAAGACTTTGTTTCGCACAGCTTGACCACCTCGGATTGTGGTTGCTGTCATGTTGGAGAATACGGACCCAGGCGTGCTGATACCACGATTGAGAGCTCCAAAAGGACGGGGCGTGGCAGAAGTCAAAGCTGAGCTGAGTCCAGAGGGAGCATCGGCAAGCCCCGGCTTCGCAAGGGAAATCATATCGTCAGAATCGTCAGACAAATTGCTCTCCTCAGCGCTTGAATCGAACATGTCTTCAGAGTTCGACATATCGGTGGTGGACTTGGATATGACAATTGGCTTTGCGGGTGAATTCTCCTCCTGGGCAGAGAAGAAGACTTCTGCGCTCTCATCGCCTGACTCTTCATCAAGTCTTGGACTCAGAACAGCTTTGTTGCCGAAGTTGCTGGCTCGTTTGTCTGAGGAAGGTACGATCACAATCTGGGTAGATTCGGATATGACGCCCTGCGAGACTGGCTCGCACGCCAGAATGCGTGCAGGAGGAGCCGGTGTATGTGTGACGGGGTGTGCAAGCGCCAATGGCAAGAAGTCTTCGGCGTGTACGATTTGCACGTTGCCCAAAGCCTCGTTCACCAACAATTTTGCCTTGGAATCCGCGTCTTCCGCTGAAGAACCGTCTTCTTGCCCTTCGGTGACTGCACGCTTTCCAGCTTTCCGCGCCGCTTGTGTAGGACCGTTCGCGAAGCCACCTCGATATCTCTTTTGCACATCTTCGAGCTTCTGGATCGCCTCGGTCTCGACTGTGACGAACACGGTGTCCAATGGAATCGGTAATACATCGCTGACTCTGACCTCCACCGCACTGTTCTGTCGCAACGTTTTGTTCGGCGCTAGAGCTTGGACGATCCTCACGAAGCTCTGCGTTCCATGCGCGCCGGCAGGAAAGCGAATCGTGGAAGCAGGCAAAGGCTTCTCCTTGAGGTTTTGGCCCCGGACGGGCAGGATAGTCCAGCTCGATTCGGAGGGCGAGGCATTTGGAGTCCACAGCGTGATGGCAGCATGGTAAGGCTTATTCACTTGGCCGTCCTGTTCTGTTCCATCCCCCGGGAACAGGTCCTCCTCCAAATCGCTCGAGATGACTCCGACCTCCCCTTTCAGGCCGCTGTCGAGGTAGAGTCTGGCAGAGATGGCCGGCTTGTCCAGCCGTCTCCGCCGCTTCCGCTTGAGCGAGCCTGGCATGGGCACGTCGTAGGCCATTGTTGCCAGCGACACGTACCAATCGCTCTCAAGCTTGCCGAGCAAGCATAGAGAGACGTTGCCAGACCAAGGGGATCGCTCAGCAAAGAAGCTGGGTCTTCGGCGAGGGTACGCCAGTTGGGAGGCTGCCGAGGTCCACTGGGCGCGGCACGAGGTGTTTTGGGTGGGTCCGGCGGGCGTTGGAGCTACTACGAAGGGGACATGGATTGGCGAGAATTGGAGCGAGACATGAGAACGAGACGACGCGTTCTTCACGCAGACGAGACAGCACGATCAGCAGCAGGCAGCTCCAGCACACCTCGGGACGGCCGGCGAGGGCACGGTCAGGTCAGGTGAGGCACGAAAAGGCAGCGGGCGCCTCCTCCTCCAGCGCGCGGGCGAAAGCTTGTCGACCTGCCATGGCCATGCATGCTTCGACGGCCCTGCAGACGAATGGCTGACGCTGACACCAGTGCACGCGGAGCGGGTGCTCGTCGTTCACCTCTCCATCGCAGACCAATGCTGCTCTCCATCACTGCCATCATCGCCGCCGCCCAGGAGATTTCGATACACAAAGGTTGTGGACTGCGCAGGAGATTTCGATACACAAAGGTCGCGGCGCCATTGTTGCCATGTGCGCAGCCAATCTCCGCGTGTGGGAGGGGGGGGGGCGCTTTCACAAGACGACCGCGTACGTCATTCTTCACGCAAAAGACGGACATGCATGTCAACAACGGGCCAACTTATTAGTTGAGACGTGCTCTCGCCTCCAACGCCCCCATCCACCACTCACCTTATATGTCTCGAATCGCCCGGAGCTGATAGTCCTGCTTCTTCAGCCTGATCAGCACGTTGCGAGCCATTTTCCCCAGAGCAAGTACGAGCACAGGTACTTTCTACTAATTTCCTATGCACCGTTTCCTATTCCCATGCTCCCTGCACACCACACACCTTCTCCCATTCTAACCGCCCATCGCTGTGAAGCGCACGCGTCAGAGTCGGATAGTGGGCACCGGTTGTTAGACCATGGTGCTCCAGGATACGTCCACCGATGGAGTCTCTGAGATCTCGGAACGAGGCATCGAATACAAGAAGGACAAGGCGATAGCGTATGCGCGACAGGCCGAGAAGCTGGGAATCCTGAGAATTGATCAAGAAGATGAGAATAGCGCTTCCACACAGGCTGTCGAGGCGAAGTGGGTTACACCTTTCGATCCGGTCGTGGAGACAGCGGAAGGCCAACGACTGCCGGGAATATCTGTCGAAGAGGCGAAGAAACTCAACAGACTGAGAGACGAGGCTCGAGGGCTGACGGCGCGTTCGCCTCCGGAAAGTGCATTGCGTGAAGGCAAAGACGGGACGACACATGGCATACAACATGCCGATGGAGACAGTGGAAAGCAAAACGAGGCAAGTGATGCGCCTCTGCGAGAGTCTGTTCCAAATTCGACCACAAATCCGCTCTTTCCGCCCCTGCCACTGTATGGACCACCTACTGTAAGGAGGACGATCCAATGCATGTTCTTTCGGGCCACTTCCGCAGTGTTATCGCTTTGCTTCTTGCTGGCGATTGTGTGTGGCGCAATTGTAGATGCAGTCCCAAAAATTCTGGAAGGGACGACCAAGAAAGCGATGCTGCAGGATCCCAAGAAGCAGAGACCTTTTTACGCAGAGGAACGGCAGAGGCAGCAGGAACGAACAGAGGCCGAGCAGGCGTGGTTGAAATCCAAGCGATGCTCTCAAACTCCATCTGGTGAGAAGGGCATTCCACAGGATGGTGAGTTTGTGCCGACCGAAGGCGGACCAGATCCACTTACTACTGACGTGGCCTACTACGCACGTCGTGTCGGTCTCGATGCCGAAATACACGAAGTCCAGACGGAGGACGGCTTTCTGATTGAGCTTATTCACATCATAAACCCCAGAGACTACACGGCTTCTCCGTCGCAGAGCCACGGGCCTCAAGGGCCAGAGGTCTTTCACACGGATCGTGACGATACTGGTTTCTTCAAAGCCGGCAGCGATTCCAATGGTACCAAGAAATACCCAGTCTTGATGATGCATGGACTACTACAGTCCGCTGGTGCCTTCTGCTGCAACGACGATGATTCACTTGCTTTCTACTTGGCCAAATCAGGGTACGATGTTTGGCTTGGCAACAACCGCTGCGGGTTCAATCCGAAACATACTTCGCTCTCCTATGGCGACCCCAGAATGTGGTGCTGGAACATAAGACAAATGGGCATTATGGACTTGCCCGCTCTCATCAGTCGCGTGTTGGCCGAGACGGGATTTCCTAAACTCGCGCTAATCGCGCACAGCCAAGGAACCACTCAAACGCTCGTCGCGCTTGCAAAGGAGCAGCGACCTGATATTGGCGAGAAGATCTCAGTATTCTGCGCTCTTGCCCCTGCTGCATACGCTGGTCCCTTGATCGGCAAGTTCTACTTCAAGATTATGCGAGCAGTGAACCCGGCATTCTTTCGGATGATCTTCGGCATCCATTCGTTCATCCCAATCATGATGGAGGCTCACAAATATTTGCCGGCGAAGCCATATTCGTGGATGGGGTACCACGTCTTCAGTTACCTCTTCAGCTGGTCTGACGCAAGGTGGGACAGAGGCCTACGCGATCGTATGTTTCAGTTTGCTCCTTCGTATGTGAGCTCTGAAAGCATGCGGTGGTGGCTCGGCAGAGAATGTTTTGCGAAGCAGAAGTGCATATTGGCGACTCGCGAGGAAGCGAGGCTTGAAGACCAGGAAGATGAAGAAGACGATGAGATCATTCGAAAGTACTACGTTGACCGCGAGCCTCACGTTACGGAGCGAAGAAAATTGCAGCGCAATATCTCAAGTTACCATTGCCAGAAGCTCACTCATCAGCACCATGACGCTACGAGAGGCAAATTCGCATGGTATAATTCCCAATTCCCGCCCTTGGCCCTCTGGGTTGCTGGCGCTGACGATCTCGTTGATGGGCGGCGTTTGCTCCGCCGTTTTGACAGAGGAAGAGAACCTCATGTTAGAGTGGTGCACAAGAAGATCATCGAGGGGTACGAGCATTTGGATGTCATTTGGGCTATGGATGCCATCGAAAAGGTCGGCAAGGAAGTACGTGAAGTCGTCTGGCGCACAGCAGATGCCCAGGCCCATAAGATTTGCCGTGTGCCCGTTGGCTGCACGAACCCGGTCGAACAAGACCCGGATCCGGAAGATGTCCCGATGATCAACTCAGGTGGCCGCAAGCGAATGAATAGTATGAACGAGATTAATGGATCTCGAGAGAAAGTTCCACAATCGAATGGTTCGACGGTTCAGATAGACCAGACCAGAGGCTGGCAGAAGAGTCAGCGCAATTATGAGGAGACCATAGGCGAAGTCGATGAGCTCGCCGAGGACGACAGCAAGAAGTTGAATAGGACTTTCTCAGAAGGAGAGTTCAAGGACATAGAAGAGAAGCCGAACCCACTGGGATAGAGCATTACATGAAGAGCATGGAAGGCAGCATATTTGGTAGCACATGAACATAGCGTTGCGAGATACCCCCAAGTGTTCGTATATAGAGATGGAACATAGCACTTGATCTGTTCACTGTCCATGCCTTAAGTCCCAGCTGTGCAGCCTTAGCTCACAATGATCAATGAGTTAGTCCTTGCCAAAACGAGTAAACTCGATCGCACCTCTCCTTGGACCCTGCAGCTTACCCTTGAGCTGCACCTCATTGGACTGTACCATCGTTCCTATTGCAACAACCTCGCTTCACCAGAATTCACGATGCGTACGTCACGTATATCCAAAGATACGGCACGCATTGTCAATGCGCTGACACCACCAAGAAGAGCTGCCGCGCAGCATGCCTTGCGAAGATTCACCAATGGCGATGCGGACCAAACGAGCACCGCTTCGACAACGTCCGACACCGAGCTCACCGATCCAGCGACGCTGAGCCCCGGGGCATCGGAGCCTGCATCGAATGGCTCCGCACGAAAGAGAAAGCGTGGAAATACCGCGACTTCTGCGACCACGCTAAGCGTACAATCCACGACCGAAGTCCGCAGATCGCCACGCAAGGCCCCCAAGCTTGAGAAACCAGAGGATGACGAGGATGAAGAGGAGGACGACAAAGCCGGGTTAGCAGCAGGAGGGCCAGTCAAAAGGATACGCAAAGCCAGACGTCAACCCTCCAAGAAGATCAAGAGCGAAGATGGTACAGTCCAAGTCGAGCCACCCGCAAACTGGGAGCAACTCTACAACCTCACATCAGAAATGCGCAAAAACATTGTGGCCCCAGTCGATACAATGGGCTGCGAGTCTCTCGCCGAGAAGGATCGTTCCCCCATAGACCAACGTCTTCAAACTCTGATAGCACTTATGCTCTCTTCTCAAACCAAAGACACAGTAACAGCCGTCGCAATGAAGAATCTCCAAGAAGGCCTACCCGGGGGTTTCAATCTCGACGCTCTCCTCAACATCTCGCCCGAGGATCTGAACTCCATGATCAACAAAGTCGGCTTCCACAACAACAAAACCAAATTCATCAAACAAGTCGCTGTAATCCTGAAAGAGAAATTCAATAGCGACATCCCTGATTCCATCGGAGGACTCGTTTCTCTTCCAGGTGTAGGTCCCAAAATGGCGTATTTGACCATGTCAGCCGCGTGGGGCAAAGATGAAGGCATTGGAGTAGATGTTCATGTGCATCGGATTACGAATTTGTGGGGCTGGCATAAGACGAATAATCCGGAACAGACGAGGCTGGAGTTGGAGAGTTGGTTGCCGAAGGAGAAGTGGCATGAGATCAATCACTTGTTGGTTGGCTTGGGGCAGACGGTTTGTTTGCCTATTGGGAGGAGGTGTGGGGAGTGTGATTTGGGAGTGCGAGGAGTTTGTCCTGGGGCTGTGGCGGGCAGTCCGAAGAAGAGGAGGGTGAAGAAGGAGGTTGAGATTGAGGTCAAGAAAGAGGAGGTTGTGGTGAAGAAGGAGGAGGAGACTGTTGTGGAGGCGGATGATCAGGCCGCTGTTGTCAATATCAAGTCCGAGGATTTAGGGGAGGTGGAAATGGAGGTGGGATTGCAGGGGAGCCGAATACCAGACATTGAAGACATTGCGGCTATGCGATAGCATATCAAGCCCTTGGATCCCGGGTCGCGCAAGTAACGTGCCCTTGGGCGTTCTGCAAGACGAGCCGACATGCACAATATTTAGGCAAGTGTACATGCGTGGACACCGAGCAGGCTTTCCAAGAACAGCTCGTCGGGCGCATTCTACTGCACTTGACTTGTTTGATCTCACCGCAACTTTGATCGTTGCCAAAGTCAAGGACAGCCTTACCGACAGCATCAATTCAGTCTACATCTTGATCGCAATCGAGACTGAGGCTGAGAGGCATCAGTGCAGCAACCAGCTTGCAATTAAATCTCTCCCAGTTGTCTACAACTGGTTTGACCTGCCACGAACAGTAAAGATGAGACGAGACCCAGCTCTATGATCCACCATTCCAAATGCATGCCTGCCAGACATCATCACATGCAAGATCGCAAGCTTTGGGCTCATACTATAAGGCGGTTTCAGTAGGCGTCGTTCGTTCGTTGAAGATGGAGGAGAAACCTACTACGGCAAGACAAGCGACGAAGCAAGCGTCCACCACTGCGTTGCAATCTTCAGGTTTCTGAATTGGATCTGGACCATTGGGTGGGTCTTGAGGAGCTGCTGCGATCATTGTCGAAGTTGACAACAAAAGGAGTGGATTAATGCGCGTCTTGAGAGGGGATCAACTGGACGGTCGTGGTGTTCGTTCGAGTTGGATGGTACACTCGGTGGCTCGGTGCAGAGTGGAAGGAGTGAGAGAGATAGAGGTGCTGATGAGATTGTGACAGCGACTTTATCAGTTTTCGAGGCACTTGAGGCCTAAGCTACGAAGTGTGGCCAAGAGCTGACACGAGGCTTTAGACAGTAAAGCATAGGTTACTAATGACTCAATTCAAGCTTGTGCTCTGGGTTCAGTCTTCGTATGGAACGTCAGCCTCCGTTGACAGAGAAGGTTCAAGGCACGGATGTTGAGCAGGAGTGGCAGACGCTTTCGAAGAGACTAATCATACGCCGACCTCCGCAGTTTGGAGAATCCTGCATTCGCCGTCTACGCAAGCATGAACTAAACCCTTCTGAACTTCGATACGTTCAATACATTACTTGTCTTGACCACTGCGTCCTTCACCCATGCAAGAACCCGGAAGCCTTTTCTACCCTCCGATTGAGACCTTGATTTACAGACGTCACGCCGTTCAGCTATGCACTTCCATTGCCAGACTCGATCCGAAACCGCCTAGCCTGCACACAACATCGCGCATAGTGAAGTATTCACCGACAGTCTCAGGCGTGGTTGCATTACTCAAACTGATTGCATGGCTGTGAACCGCAATAGGCATCGCAATCATCTGACACACCACCCTGGAAACTGCGCGAGCGTGGTCCGAGCTATGAGGGTGAATACTTACAAGTTGGCACAAATCCAAGCACTCATTGTATGCCTCGTCACATAGCTGCATTGCCGCAGCTAGGTCAACCTCGACGGTGCCTTAAGGAGCTGCTGCGACGATTGTCACGATCGACAGTAAGAACGATTGATAGAGGTGCATGTTTGGTGGGCGGCGGGTTTGGTTGTTCTGGTCGTGTGTATAAAAAGAATGTAGGAGCGAAGGATTTGGCGAGTTGCTGCTGAGGAATGCAAGCAGTGTGAGAATAGAGTCGTATTTGTATTGGCATTTGGAGCTTGTGAGCCCTAAGCTACAGGTTTCGACATGCTCAATGGCAGAAAGAGACTCAATACCGGGACCATGGACAGTCAACTGGACGTTACTACCATCAAGAACTCAATCTCGATACAGTTGTTAGTTCGATGTTGTATCAATAGGAAGATGCAATTGGTGACTCGGGACGTCTGCAACACGAACGATGGAGCAAAAATGCGCGATCAAAATTTCGAAGGACTCCTTTCCATGCTGCTACATTTTCCATCAAATAGAGAACTAAGAGTAATCTCGAAGTGTGGATTGACCATACATTTTTCACTCCATCTCCATGGTGCCCTTGATCAATGCGAGGGTCAATCGTCTCTTGCTAAGCCTTTGAACAATTTCAATTGAGATCAATTTATGCCGACACATGAGGTATAGATTCTGCCGCATGCCCATTCGCAGTTGTTTATGAAGCCTGGAGTCTGCAGTTCATTTAGAACAATTCATTTGCTAGCTTTTGGGATAGGCGTTTACATGGGGGCATGGATTGAGGCACGAGTTGTAGTCGTCGAGGCATTTGTCTCCCAGAGCTCCTCTTACTGCGAGTGTCAAGACTGACAGAAGCAATGCCGGGAAGAGGAGCATGTTTTGCGGGAACTTGATGAAGCGTTCGGGTCCGTTCTGTGAGTTGTTGCAATTGATGTTGGTGTCCGGGGAAAACAGTAGGGAGTCAGAGGTCCCACGAGATCGAGACTTATTTATGTCTGCGTTCGGACCGCTGGGACTTATCTTGTCAGATTCGCACCTGCATGCTTGTGGGAGCGGAGAAAGAGACCTCGAATCGAGGCTTTGGATGGCAAACCATGAGTTCGTTTGAAGGCTGCTGTTAGCCCGACTGTCAGCAAGGTCGTGGCCATCGTGACCAAATCATCTTCACAAGATCCTCATAACTCAAACCTAGCACAAGTATTGGTACTACCATGCTTCCCAGTTGGTCTGCGGAGCGAATGGTCCTATTGGTTGCGAATTGATTTGGTGGGACTTGGGCATTGTCTAGATCAGGCAGGTGTCATGATTTTCACAGTCAGCGCATATGTAAATCAACGCCCCTCCCAACCACTTCGTCAGTGGAGAGGCGCCTTCGCGACATCAAAGCCCAGAGCCTAGAGCCTTGTATAGTTCATCTTAACAAAATGGCCCCAGAGCAACTCTGGCAGAGCGTGGTGAAACGTTGTGGAAATCCAAGAAAGACCTGCGCCGCGCATGATGTACACTAACTTTCATTCTCTCATATAGGAGACCAAATCGAGGGCCTTCTTCCAGCATCCGGAATTTGCAGATAAGGATTCCTCTTCTTCAGCCCAGTATACAAAGTCTGCTCTGGCTTCTGATCCGGCGGCGCAAGTTCAGGGTTCTGCATACCACCAGGGTACATTTTGTCGAGGGCTGCCTTGTACTTCTCCTTCTTGACTTCTGCACATTCGCTCTGCTCTTTGAGACCATATTCGGCCGTGAAAACTGGGTTGTGAGGACCCCATACTCCACCAGGTTGCTCGAGGCCAACTCTCGTACAGGCATCCCAAAGTGCAACCATAAACTTGTTGCGGCGGTGCAGCCGGATCGCTTGGTTGGCCCAGTCACCTCTGTGGCGGATCTCGATGCGTAATTCGAGATTACGGATGTCTATGAGGGCGGAGATCTCAAGATCGACATCTGGGGAGAAGTCGCGGCAGTTTTCCGGTGCGCGAACGAATTTCTCCATCTCTTTACGCAGGGTGAGGAGTTGTTGCATGTTGGTGCAGGTACCTGAAGTAATCCAGCTGAAGCGCTCTTTCATCTCTCGGCTGCGAGTGAAATTCTCGATCCAGATGTCGTTGGCGAGGTTGTCTGTTGTGCGCAATCTCAGTATGTTTAATCGCTCGACGTACAGGCATCACTTACGCGGGACCTGCACGAGGGAGTCGGTGTCTACTTTCTTGAAGACGGTGAAGAACAGACTGGTGTGCTTGACGATTTTTTCAAGGCCTTGCTTTTCGCCTTTAGTCATGAGCACCACACAGTCGCCTTTGTAGGTCAGCAGAGATATCCCATATCCATGTGAATTGGATGCACTCACCAACATCGTACCTGCGAGAGTCTCAAAAGTCAGTGACTGCAACACTGACAATCACGGGGAGGGACAACTCACGGATGTTTCACAAAGAGAAAGATGCAACACTGGAAGAACTCATGCACAGTATTGCTGATCATAAATGATAGACCACTGATAACCCCCCACAGCTGAATACTCTTGCTCGCGAAAGCTTTGCTGAAGAACAGGGCGTAGATGAGCGAGACAGCTGCATCGCATGTCAGTCTTCACTACCACCATTAACCTATCGCACCGAGCGTGTGAGGACATACCTATTATCACCACGCAACAGAGGATGCTATCCAATACTCCAATTGCTGAAGACATATCTTTGATAGTGCTTGCACGATATTTCCGCTCGCGACCACAATTGACTACCAGTAAGGTCATCTCTTCAAGACTGACGTCTCCGTTGCCATCGATATCCAGAATGTTGAAAAATGCATCGGCTTCAGCTTCTTTCCCCGGTCCCAGTACTCGAAGCATATCCTCCCTGATAGACTCAGCTATACACTCGGTAAGTGGAGTGCAACGCGTGTTCACAACTCACTTCAGTATCGCATCCTGACCCTCTGCGCATATCGACAGAAACAATCTCCTTGCCAACGCCTCGGAGGACTGCTGAGTTTCCAAAGCCTTGGTAACGATGGTGTGTGAATTATTTGGCACATGGGCATCTGGAACCTCAGTGTCATCAGAGGTTGATCCCAATGTGGATGCCACATAAGTTTTGGCCCTGACAACTCCACCAGCAAGTTTGGTCCCGAGGCTGACATCCTTTTTGCGCTGGGCACGCAAGTCGAAAGTATTTGCTCGATGCAAATCTGCATCTTCCTCTGCAAAATCAGGAGTGAAGTCGGGGAACAGGTGTCTCGAGGCATCGTAGAGCAAGACGAGCAGACGAATCAATCTCTTGCTGTCTCGGATATCGCGCGCTGTTATATCTGAGTTCAGCCAATGCAGTGACTTTTCAAACCATCATTGCACTCACCGTATTGCTTTCGATAGTAGGCTATAGAGATCATCTGGATAAAGATCTGCTCAGATTGTCAGCGTGAGGTTTCTCGATTGCCGGCTGTGTGAAGTGTAGACACCTTCTCAACCAGGAAGATGGTTGCAGCAACGGTGCTTGCTTGGCCCATGTGCTTGACAATTTTGATCCATTTCCCCTTGCCGTTAAGATATGCAGCTCTGTCGAAGACGCTGATCACGTCGATCGTAGAGTATGCGCATAGCGCCCATAAGAGCATAGATGTCGGTAGCTCGAGTTCGGCAAGAACAAGAGAGTATTTGCGCATGCCTGGAAGATTTGATCTCGTGAGCTACACGGCTGTATACAGACTGCGGACGAAACCACACATACCGCTGCCCACAATGCCGCATACACTCTGGATAAGAAACGGGATTGCGTGGGCGACCAGCCTGCAGACCTTTTGGACGTATATGTTGTTAGCAGAAGCGACAGATGCAGCCTAACTTCATAATATGAAGAGCATTACGAACCCAGAAGGATATCCAAATTATCTCGATCCAGATGAACAGTCCTAGCAAGCGGATGCCATCTGCACGGGACTGGTCGTGCGGAGGAGTGCCAGTGATGACCAACGGAAGTGCCAGCAGTATGGCACCAGGCAGACAGAACATGGCGTACCGAACAGCAATCGATTGCTCGCGGATCTTGCCAAGGTACACTCCGAGTCCGGACGGGGAGTCATCCTCGCTCGAGCACGCGAGCGCTTCGGTGTCTTCCACTTCGTTAGCGTGCATGGATAATGACGTTCTGCGACGACCGAGCCCTTTGATCGACCTCTCTCCATCATCAGAGAATCTTCTTTCCGAGCATGCAGCGGGCGTCTTGGGTGTTCTAGGGAAGTGCGTGCCTCTGGCCGTCACAGGACTCTTCAGGTTGTCGATGGCGCTGCGGCCGGCCTGTGCAAAACCTCTCGCTGAGAAATCCACCGGATTGAAGCCCACTGATCCTATTTCAGTGTTGAGTGGCGTGAGATGCGAGGACAAGGTCTTCATCTCGTCTTGTGCCAAACGAGTTTATGATGGGGTCAATGGGGACTTCAGAGTAGCTCGCTCTGAGATGTCGTCTGACAGAGCGCGGCGTTTCCTAGACAATGTCAACGCGCCTATTCATCGTCATCCACACGCTGCAAAAGTCACAGAATTTTGCGTGATCTGTAGTGTGCAGGCCGTCCAAAGGCGATCGTGCTGTATACAGGCATAGCAATCATTTGCCGCTGCCGAGGAGGGGAAGCAAGGCTGTAAAGTTTTCTGCTTTCGTCTATTTGGTGATAAATATCAACAAGCTGGTGCTTGTCCAGCGTTCCGCACCTGCGGCTGATCAAATATGCTGCCCGTTCTCCAGTCCATCGCATCGATACTATGCTCATAATTGACGGACTCCGTCGTTCAGTCCGGTGGGATCTGTTCAGACATGGCACAAAGATGGACTATGTTTAGTAGTCCACTCTTACAAGTGAAGTATGAGAGCGTCTTGAAAGTGGCGGACTCCCAAGAGATTCGACAGCCCGCGCTTCGCAGACAGCTTAATCACACAGCTGCGCGCTGTGATTCGCGAGAGCCATGCCCTTTGCATGTAAAGCTGAAGTCTGGAGAGGCAAGCTCGCACCATACCAGAATGGAGAAGCTGTCACAGTGGGAAACAGTCGGGCTTGACCTAGGCGATAGGCCCTTGCTCGTAGAGGGCTGCCCATTCGGTGTCTCGCACGCGCGAAGGAAGCTTTAATGCGTGACGCACGTGCTCATCTCTGTGGTGCTGAAGTCCAATTTGACTTGTGAGAGTTCCTCATGCTTTTCCCCGAACGGTTGGCACCGTGGCACGACCAGGGCCAGACGCTACAGCCCCGGCCGTGAAATATGCCCGGGCACAGCATAGTTTGGTCACTGATTGTGGAGAAGTACTTTGATATCGCAATATCAAAGTGGACCTGGTGCCTACTGCGATTGAGTCCCCGCCAGCGCAGACTACACGATCGAGAGTCGAGGTGTTTGTAGAATTGTATACGAATGCCTCGGGCATGGCGTCAGGGCGGTCCATTTTCGGCGCGAAGGATGTCAAAACTGGATCGATGGATGACGCGCAAACGTAGAAAGCTCTGCGGATTTCGGGCATGGCACTGTAGTAGGCTTCATCCAGTGCTCTCGACTCCTTTCCGCGCGAATATGACAGACCCGCCAACGGTCTCACAGTCCACACTGTGAGGAACATCTGACTCGCAGGACTTGTAAAATATCAGCATATCGGCGCCAGCGCCCTTTGTCCAGTGTTCTCAGGCCAGCAGTGCGATCACATCTCCGTGCGGCTTCACCGACGGACAATCCGGACAATGCTGGCACGAGGTGCAAAGCAATAGCCTGTCAGCCTCATCCTAGGCGCCACGTTCCGAGCCTTGGAGTGAGTTCACAAAGCTTGTACTGTACAGCGAGGTTCCATGATGGACAGCGGAGCCCAGCTGATAGTGAATCAAAGACCAGGAAGCCTGCCTCAGGAATGGTGGTGTGAAGGTCAGTTCCATCGCCGATTGCTCTTGCCACTTTGCTCACTGTATCACTGTAGCTCGATTTCAGCTGTACATCCATTGGTATCCAGATACTTCCATGTGGCGTCAGCATTCGGGGACAGTGGAATGAAGTCGAAGTCAGAACGACGCGGGTGCAGCACGCGTGTCGGAGATATCGTGTTTTGATGCCTCAGGCTGATGTGCGCCAAGGCAAGCACCCAACCGTACTACTACTTCTGGGCGTCCATCCTCATCAGTCTGATTATCATAACTCTGTACTCGCATCAAGAAATTTCCAATCTCCAGGCTGTTGAGTCTTGTAGGAAGACTGGAGACACGGCCCCTTCGGTCGCAAGAACCAAACTGGAGAAACCGAATTTTGTACTATTGAAAGGGAGAAAATACCTATCGAGACTCGAGCTCAAGCCACAGTACGGTAGTCTCCTGCATAATATCACTCAGACTCCACTCAGTGTCCACTGAGCTCCCTTCCGGTGACGAAACAGCATGATGACCCGTACAATAATCAGAGCACCTACACACACGATCTCTTCAAAGTATTACTCTTCGAATTTAACATCTCAAGCTAATGTGCTTCTGGAATAATCGCAGATTCAATTCAAACGCCTTCTGCCCACACAAGAGCGTTGTGGAACACAACATAATCCGGAGTCATGCGCAGGAGGTTTGCTCCACGCACACGTTACGAAACTTGACTTCTCATACTTGGCTACTCAGACCTAAAGACCTCTCGACTCAATCCTCTTTTGCCGTCAAGGGAGCATGGCAGGTACTAGATTCAGCTGGAATCTGACAGAAGTAACTTTACTCGAAGCGCAAATTGGAACCATCCACTTCTATTATGTTATATCACTCAGGATGAACATGATTTCAAGTCCAGCTCATTCTGCCACCCAACAAGCCTCGTGATTAGCGGAAAATCCGAAATGGCTACGCAGGTGAGTTTCCTCGAAGCAAAGATGATGTGAACTGCCATCTCATATATGTCGTCCAGATTTAAGGAGACCTTGACTCGAACTTCTTCTACTCATTGAGACGCACTGTAATTAGCAGAATGCTCTGAAGCCCTGCAAGTTTGAAGTGAAATTGCACTCTAGTGCCGATCACTCAGAACTCACATAACTCCAATTCGAGTTCCTTCTTCTAACAAAGCACCACACAATTCGGAGAACGGTTCGGAACTCACCACAAGTGGCCCATTTTGGAACAAAGATGAAGGACAAAATTTTCTTCTCATGCAGATCGTTCAGAATGAATACGGCCTTGGCTCGGGCTTCTTTTGCCGATTAAGAGGTGTTGTCATTGGCGAAATAGTCGGAGATGCGGCGCAAGTATCTTTTCTCGAAGCAGAATTGAAGGAAATTACTCCCTCGTGCAGGTCGTTCATAGTTTGTATGAGGTTTCTTTTACCGACAAAGCAGCTTCTATTCAGCCAAATTACCTGAAACCCCGGTGCAAGTGAAGCGCTCTCATCACAAATTAGGGAATTTTACTTTTCGTGCAGGTCGTTCAGGATCAACACAACCCCGACTCGGGCTTTTTCTGTCGACCAAGTCGTGTTGTAACTGGAAACTTACTCGGAAATGGGCTGCGAGTGGCCTTTCTCAGAGCAGAATTGAAAGAAATCGCTTTCTTGTGCAGGGCATTCAAAATTAGTATAACCTCGATTTGAGCTTCTTTTGCCGACAGAGCAGCTGCGAATCAGCAATATGACTTGAGTCTCGGTTCAAGTGAATCGAACTCAGCACAAATTGGGTGATTCAACTTTTCATGCAAGTCGTTCAGAACCAGTGCGACCTCGACTCGGGATTTTCCTGCCGACAAAGAGGCAGAAAGCCCAACGGAATGCGCCGAAATGCTGAAGGCTAAGCACAAAATTGGGAACTTTTCTCTCAAATGTGTCATTTTGGACAGACTCGAAGTACAGTGAATCCTCGGAATACAGTCTGGTGTGGCTTCCACACATGCTCGAGTACAAGAAAACACGATCGCTCAGGCTGCACGACCTTTCACCTAGCAAACCTTATCACCACGCAGTAGCACCGTCCAGCACATTCTACTCAGTCTCATCCATCTCGTCCAGGATATCGGAATCCTGCACGGAGACGGCATCGCTGCGCTCGCTCTCGCCGTACTCTTCACCCTCCTCCGTATCCTCCACCTTAGAAGCAGCATGGCTACCCTCAGCGTCGAGCTTACGACGCTTGCTGGGGCCAGCCTTGCCCTCTTCCTCGACAGTAGATGGAGCCTCATCGACAGTAGACGGACCTCCGTCGACCTTGACTTGCCACTCAAGAGCAGCGCGGCGCTTCTCGCTCTGCATTTGGATCTTGAGCATGTTGCGATGACCAGTACGACGACCAAAGTATTCGATGTAGCAAGTAAAGTCCTTAACATTGGCATCGTACCACTCCAGTTCGGCCTGGTTATAGCGTCTGCTATTGGGGCTGACTTGCTTCTGACCGAGAGCCGCGGAGATGCGCTTGGTGATGGTGGCCTTGTCGCAGTAGCAACCGTTGTAGCAGAAACGGTCACGGACATCCTTGTTGCCGTAGCCGCCCTCGCTGCAGACACGGAGGAGGATGCCGCGCCAGAGCAGGTCCGGGCAGAAGTCGACGATGCATTCGGCGGCACGGCGGTTAAGGATGAGCGTCTTAGACAGCTGCTTGCGAGTGAGCACGCTATCGCGGACGCTGAACCGCGCCTGCTCGAGATCTGCAGGACCGCCCTTCTTGCCAGGATTCCAGTAGATCTTGAGCTTTACCATCTGTTCGTTGCTGACTTTGTCGTCCATACCCGCATCGATGGCGTCGTCTGGGACCTCGTAACCTAGCTGCTTACCCAGCGTCTCTGATGCCTCGTCGGACCACGAGAAACAACCGGAGTGATATGGGTCGCCGTTGTCGGTCTTGGCTGAGCCACGCTTCTTACGCTCCTTTGGCTTGGCCTCGGTCTCTGAGATGGCCTCAGTATCAGCCTTGGTCGTTTCGCCATCGGCCGTTGCGGCCTTCTTCGCGTTCTTTGCATTCTTCGCATTGCGTGCTTGACCTATAGTCTCATAATTAGTACAATTCGCAATTGCACGGTGATGGAAGACTTACGCTGCATCTCCTGCAACCTAGAATCGACACCCTCTATAAGGTGAATGTTGTGGCGCCGAGTGTCTTCCATGTCGTCCAGAGTAGCTCTGTCGTAGATCGTGTCATCCCAAGTGGCATTCTTCTTTGCCTCTGGGAAGTCGATCTGTCGCGTCCATGGGAACTCTTCTGCCTCTGCCTGGCGACGCTGAGGACGCTTACCTGCCTTATTGCTACCACGAGGTGCGCGCTTCATAGGTCGCTGTGCTTCTTCTGGCTTCGTGCGAGCCGGGTACGGTGGAACAGGAGCTGCTGGTGGTGGTGTCCCAGCCATAGGGGTCTCCTTCTTCTCGCGTGGCTTTCTGTTTCTACTGTTAGCACTGAAAGCGTGTCTTAGAAGCATCATATACCTAGGGGGTTTTGGAATGTGTGGTCCTGATGGGATTACTCGCATCGGGGGACCTGTGTAAGTCGATGGTACTGGGTGTCCAACGTAGGTACCAAGCGGTATACTGTACGGCATATTCTGAGCGGGGCCAACCGCATGAGGACCCGGTTGCCCATGCTGCGGAGGCATTGGGTGCGCGTATGGTTGCGAGGGTAAGACACCGGGAGGCAGCTGGCCACGGTTTGGATGTGGTGCCGGCCCCATGCGTTGCTGAGGTGGTTGCATTTGTGGCGGCATGGGTGGGTGCATGTGCGGGCCCGGATGTTGCAGATGAGGCACGAGCTGGCCGTACAGTGGCCCTGGAATGTGTTGGCTTGGTACGGGACCGGGTGGTGTTGGGCGTGCGCCTCGAGATGGCGGCATTCCAGCTTGTGGAGGTGGAGGACGAGACCCATCTGGCGACCACACAGGTACTCTATCTCTACCGTAGATCGGAATGCCGAAATTGCGCCAACGCATACGCTCCAAGAGCTGGTTGTGGGCGCTGTGTGCCAACGACTTGGTGATGACCCAGTCGTCAAGGGGGTGGTCTTCCAGATAGCGGAGCATCTCCATATCCTTCTCGCGTTGATATTCTTCGGTCACCGCCCAGCTGCCACTCATTGCGAACGGAGTCACGTTGGAGTACATGAGCTCCCACACCTCGCGCTGCTTCTCGCTGAAGTGTGCCCAAGGGCGAGGTTCAATCGGACACTCGGGCTCGTTGGGGGTAGAAGGCTCCGAAGACAGCGTGATGACAGAGCGCGCATCATCATCGAGATCTTCGTCGTCAGTATCCTCGACATACTGAGGCTCGTTCGAGAAGTCGTATTCTTCAACCTCGTCGTCTTCATCTCCGACGTCGAGCTCTGGTGGAGGAGCGTCTGGCATGGCATCATCTTCGCCAACTGGTGCCTGTAGTTCATGTCAGCTCGGGCAGTAAGTGTGGGAAGTAGGATTGACTGACCTTGCTCTTGCCCTTGTCGCGCGAGAGAGTCTTTCCGATGTCGCCATTTGACTCGCTCGAGTCGGGCTCGGCTTGTGGCTGCATCGGCTGGACAGCAGCTTGCGAGAGCTTTCCAGCAGAAGAGCGCGGCTTCACATCAATTGTGTCATTGCTGGAAGAGTCTGAGAGTCTTGTGCTGCGGCGGCCTTTCGCCGCGCCTTTAGTGGTTGTCGCCGCCATCTGTTTTGCCTGTTCCGAGCAGGTCAGCCAAATGCTCTGTGCGTGTTTCCACGTAATGTCAGTCGAGTGAGGCACACGCTGGCAAGGCGAGGCGTTGGCTGGCTCTGGTCACGTTAGTGTCGCGGGCGACCAATGTCGAGTGATGGAGGCGGGCGACCGTCATATAAACAAGGTCGCCTGACTCAGCGCGAAGGACTGCCGGCGATGTGGAGCAGATCGATCGGGCTCTTCCGCAGTGTTTGCCGCTGTTGCCTGTCGGGTGACATCCGTCGCACTCTGGATTTCCACTTCGGTGCTGTGGAAGGTGAATGACTGCTCGGGCCCCACAATTTCTTGGCAAAACGCGATCATTCACTCGCGGCCCATGCAAACAAACAGGTGAATAGTGCCCGATAGCGGGAGGAAGACCTCTGGCACGTCAAAGTGCACAGCGGTTCGGTCTAATTCTATTGCCTAGTGATGGGGATAACACGAAACCTGCGGACGCTTGGCACTCACCCAACTCGAGTCTGCGCAATTGCAGTCGCGCGCCTCCTTGGCTTAGCGTCTCACGTGCGGCCGCGCAAGTGAACATGTGCAGAAATTCGGTCTTGTCATGTGTGTGCTTGTGTTGGGAACGCTTGCTTGTGCTATCGAGGCGAGATCGATGATGTTTCGTGATGGCGCTCGTGAATGTGGAAGGGAGGAAGTTTCGACGTGAGTTTGCAGGTGCGGATGACGCTAGCGCACGGCTCAGGCCGTGCACGTCCCGAAGTGAAGCGCATCGCGCATCGAGCTTCAGAGCTAAGTTAGTGTCGATTCGCGGGATTTAATGAATGTGACACCGACGCATGACTTTCATGTGACAATGGCTGCCTATATATCTGAGTCTGTGATCTCTGGACTTATCAAAGCCACCTTGTCCCCGTCGTCCTCAGGCTCGCATTCAATACTGCCAAGCATAACTGGGCGAATGTCGCATTCACGTGGTGCAGGTCGCACAGTAAGGTGCTCGCCGTCTGCACGCGGCCGTTAATGCAACCGGGAAGGACAAATCCTCATTCTTCGATTTCGGAAACTGACTCCTGCAATGTTCAAGGAGTATGTAACGTAGCAGTAGCAGACTAGCACGTCTTCTCATGCTAGAATATGATCTCCCCGCTGTTCTCCCCTTCGAAGCCAAATTCGGCCAGTCGCTTTTGCCGAATTTTGTCACTCTTCTTCCTATCTTGCTCTTCTTGTTTCTTAAGTTGGAAGACCTTTTCTGCTGAAGCTTGCTCGAATGGCTCGGGAATGTAATCGTCTTTGTCCAGATCCTGTGAGACCGTCAGCAAGCGCCATTGACATAAGACTGTGTGCAGTCGTGTTTGACGTACAATCTCTCCAAGCAGAAGGACGTTCTCTCCTCGGACGAGGAACAGTCCTCGCTCGATGTCCGCATAGAGGTTCTGCACGAATAAGCGCTCGACCGTGTCTTGCAGCACCAGGTTTCCTGTCCCAGCCCATCAGCTATGACGCCCGACTTGTAACGTTTCTCTTGGAGCATACCAAATTGATCCCAGCTCCTCAAGACTCCGATGAGTTTTCTGCCATCGCGCAGGGCAATCATGAGTTTCTCTAAGCGTATGCTAGTATCGCTTGGTTCTTTTTCACAATGTAGCGGCAGTCGCGCGGCCGCACTCACTGTCGGTAAGGTCTAAGAGCTGCGCGGCAGTCGTGAACATCTGCGGTGGAAGCTCTGCAAAGCATTAGATTTGTCCACAGCGCTCACTAGGTGCCCAATGGAAGGCTTCACATACGTGGTGGTCCTGGAGGACCGGGTGGCATCTGCGGGCCGCCTGGCGGGCCAGCATCATGGAGACTGAGGTTCTCCATGTGCTAATGATCGTTGGAGTGGTCAAAGGAGTGTGTTGGTTGGTGGTGGCATGGAAGTGCTGAGTTGAAGACGCGAACACCGCGCACATGACGTGTGGAGAGGGAAGCCGACCACGACCAGCTTCACTTGGAGCTTCCACCTCAGTCCGCCTCCACAACGCACCGATCATGGTCTGCCGGTAACGAGACAGGATGCTCTCGGCATTCCAAGCACAGCCGATCTACGAGGTCAAATCGCGCGACAAGGCCAAAGTCGAGTCGCTGCTGGCGTATGGCGACCGCATTCTGGCCGGTCTCAGCACCGGCGCGCTGCGGGTCTTCCTCGTGAACGAGTCCGCGAATACCGATACCACCAACGGCAACGGAGATGCGCCGCCGAGTCCGGTCAAGACCAAGCTGGTCGATGTGCTGCGCGAGGAGGAGAAGTTCAGCAAGAAACCCGTGCAGCAGCTGGCCATCATCAAAGAAGCCAACCTGCTGGTCAGTCTGAGCGACGCGTGCGTATCGCTGCACGATTTGCAGACGTACGAGCTCGTGGAGCGCCTGGAGCGCACCAAGGGAGCAGCATGCTTCGCTGTCACGAGCAATGTCGTGAAGGACCCAGAGACGAACGTTCCGGGCTTGGTGTCGAGACTCGCTGTTGGGGCCAAACGCAAGATTCTGTGCTGGACGTGGCAGGACATGGAGCAGGTCCCAGATGTTGCTGAGATCAGTCTGGAAGCGACCATCAAGAGCTTGATATGGGCAGACGGCACACATCTGGTCGCTGGCATGGACCCAGGCTTCAGCACAATTGACATTTTGTCGCAAGAGGTCACGCCCATCAGCAAACGCGTCGCCAATTCAGCTACAGATGCAAGCTCAGGTGAACTTGCAGGCGTTCGCTTCGGCGCGGTGAGCAGCAGCGGCATGGGATATATGGGCATGGGGAGCTGGGTACCGAAGCCGATGGCCACCAGCCTGTCTGGAGATCAAGTGCTTCTGGCCAAGGACGTAAACACTCTGTTCGTCAACGTTGATGGCAAGCCGCTCGAGAAGCGACAAGTGCCCTGGGCTCTTGCGCCAGAACAGATCGGCTACAGCTATCCATATCTTTTAGCACTTCAGCCGCCTGATAAAGGTTCGCTGCAAATACGCAATCCCGACACGTTGTCCCTGCTGCAGACCATCAGTGTTCCAGGCGCGACCATCCTCCACGTTCCACAACCTTACATTAGCTTGGCTCATGCTGGCAAAGGTTTCCTGGTGGCCTCCGATCGCACAATCTGGCGAATGAATGCTCTCTCCTATCCAACGCAGCTCACAGAGCTAGTCGAAAAGCAGCGCTTCGATGAGGCGATAAGCTTACTGAAACTTCTGGAAGACACATTGATCGATGACAAGGCTGGTCGCATACGCGAGATCATGACGTTGAAAGGAATTGCGCTCTTCCATCAACAAAAGTATAGCACTGCGCTCGATCTTTTCACAGATGCACGTACGACGCCCGAACGCGTGATATCCTTGTATCCTCGCAGCATTGCAGGCGACCTCAGCTCAATAACAGAGGAGTCCAGCGAGTCGGAACCTGCTGAGAATGGTGATTCCAAGGCAGAGGAGAGCAGTAAACCGATCCCAGTCACTCCAGTCAAAGGCATGTTTGGCAAGCTCACTGGGAGCCACAAGAAGACAGACTCAGACGCCGCTTCAGTGCGTTCGCCTGCTCGCAACGATGCTGATAATATGAGTGTCCGCACCAAGGCAGGCAGTACGGCAGACAAGCCACTGGAAGGCGATGACCTGAAACGCGCAGCAAGGTGCCTCGTAGGGTTTCTGGCCGACACGAGACGACACGTACAGAATGTCCTGAATTATGATGGCACTCTGAAGGAAGACCCGCCGACTTTCGATGCAGAGACTGGGAAGCCAGCTTTCGGCCATTTGCTTACAGATGAGATTCTGGCGGCGCCAAGTAAAGAGGTCGACTGGTCGAGCGAGCTATTGAAAGTTGCTCAGCTTGTCGATACAACACTATTTCGCGTATACATGCTCACGACACCAACACTCGCAGGCTCTCTGTTCCGCATCGACAACTTCTGTGATCCTGAAGTCGTTCAATCGGCGCTTTACGAAGGCGACCGATACAGCGAGCTCATCGATTTTCTGCATGGGAAGAAGATGCATCGTCAAGCATTGGAACTTCTGAGCAAGTTCGGAAAAGGTCAGGCAGAGGGTACGATACCCGAAGCCATGCGTGGCCCAGAACGCACTGCCGGCTATCTCAAACAGCTACCACCTGAGCTAGTAGATCTTATCCTGGAATACGCACGATGGCCTCTTGAAGAAAATCCAAACGTAGGAATGGACATCTTTATCGCTGATACCGATAATGCGGAGCGCCTACCACGCCAGAAGGTGCTGGAGTTCTTGGCCGAGAGCGATAGGAAGCTGGAGACGCGGTACCTTGAGCACATCATACACGAGCTCAGCGACAATGATGGGGAATTCCATCAGCGGCTCATCGATCTTTACCTCGCCGAGCTTAAGCAGCCGGACATCGCAGAAAGTGATCGCGACGAAACAAAATCGAAGCTCGAATCCTTTCTGCTCAAGAGTTCGTCCTACAGTAAACGTAAGACGTTTCAGCAACTTCCGACTGACGACTCTACTTTCTTCGAATCGCGAGCCATCGTTCTCAGCGCCATGGGAAACCATAAGCAAGCATTATCGATTTATGTGTTTCAAATCAAAGATTTCTCCAAAGCAGAAGAGTATTGCAACAAAGTATACCTCGAAGATAAAGCTGAGCAAGAAGCTTGCCTACTGGACAATAGCACGAAACATGAGAAGCACTTTCGCCAAGTGGAACCAAAAGAAACAGATGACAGATCCAATATCTTCGCAGTCCTGCTCGGGCTCTACTTGCGGCCCCCAGCGGGTGAAGAGAAGCAGTGGCCGCAAGCTCTTGATCTCTTGAGCAAGCACGGTGCTCGCCTTCCTGCTAGTAGCACGCTCGATCTCATGCCGGATGACCTTGCAGTCAAGGAGCTCCAAGACTATTTCCGAGGTCGAATTAGAAATGCAACTTCGATTTTGCGAGAAGAGATGATTGTTCGTGGGCTCGAGGGCGTGAGACGAGCAAATACGGAGAGGACGCTCTTGCTCGGGCCTGATAACCTCGCACATGAGAAGCCTCTGGGGAAGAATAGGAGAGTGAGGATCGGAGAAGACGATCACTGCAAAGTGTGTCACAAGAGATTTGGTGCCAGTGCTGTGAGAGTCTATCCCGATAACGAGGTGATTCATTACGGTTGTATAGGAAGAAGTGGCAACCGTAGAATGGGTGGAGGCGATGGAATCGGCAGTAGCATGAGAAGGAATGCAGCTGGTTGGGGATGACTGTAGACTAATATGATACCCAAATTCACGCACTTTTGAGAGTGAGCACGATTCAGTCTTCCAGGAGTCAAGTTTGGCTACGAGGTGGCGCAGCTCAACAAGGGAAGCTTAGGGAAAGAAGTCCCTCTTCACCTTGATCAACGTCACATCATGAATACTCATATCTGCAATCTCCTAAGATCGTTCACTATTCTACGCCCCTCCTACGCAATCCAATACCACACCTTCTCGACCCAATTCCTTGGAGTCTGATCAGGCCAGACCTCCGCATCTAGTTCCGCCTTGCCCGTCCAGATATCCGCCTCAGAACTCTTAACAAATTTGGTCCTCTTGACAACCTTCCAAACCAAGAAGAATGTGATGTAAATCGGACCACAAATGTACGCGGTCACGAAGTCCTGCACGCTCCATCTCCCCTTTGTGAAAACAGCAAAGCCGTTGAAGACGATGATGATCAGGAAGAAGGCCAGTGGAATGTATGCGGTGTATGGTTGCCATTTGGATTTAAAGACCAGGGTATTTCGGTCCACGCCCTGGGCGGCAAGAGCTTTCTTGAAGGCGATGTAGGCAATTAAGATGTTCACCCAGGTGATGACGGACGTGATAGTAGTCAAGGTTTGGAACCAGCCGAAGACGTTGGCTGCACCACTTGAGACGGTCATATAGGTTAGGAGGCCTATCGAGGCAGTGATGAGAACACAGTAGATCGGAACTCCGGTCCTAGTGCAGGTGAGAAGGAACCGTGGCGCCTGACGGTTCTGTGCTAGGGCAAATAGGTAGCGAGAGCCAGTGTACAGGAAAGCATTTCCAGAGGAAGTGGCTGAGGTGAGAATGACGGCATTGATAATGTGAGGCAGAACAGGAATTCCCGCCCTCACGATTCCAATGACCCAAGGTGAAGAAGCAGCTCCGGCTCCGCCGCTCAACAAACGGTCGTCGTCAGCAGGAACAATGACACCGATGGCCAAAGATCCAAGCACGTAGAAAAAGAGAATGCGCCAGAAGACACGTCGGACAGCCTTGGGGATATTCTTCCTGGGGTTTTCTGCTTCACCAGCAGCGACAGCAACCATTTCCACGCCACCGTACGAGAAAGCCGCATTAGCCAGAACGGAGAAGAATCCAAAGAAGCGTCCAGCATCTCCAGTAGAAATGTATTCTTTCATCGGCACCCACGGATGCCTCCAGTACCTGAAACCAAGGCGGTCTCCGTTAGGTGCACCTCCAAGATCGATAATCAGGGCCAGAAGCAGCAGTCCAACAATCGTAATAATCTTGATCGAAGCGAAAATGAACTCCGCTTCTCCATAGATGCTGACCGCGAATACATTTAGCAGAACGATTACGACCAGGATGATCGAAATCCAAGCAGCTTGATTGATAGAGTCGTTCCAGAAACCGATTACGACAGAAGCGGCACTGATCTCGGCACAAAGTGTCAAAGCGTTCGAATACCCTATTGGAGTCAGCGTGGCTGTCAAGGTATTAGGAATGCGGAAGGTGGTTACAATTGTTCCAACCCACAGCGAAACCCATCGCAGGATCGACGTAACGTGCTGCGTACTGAGGTACCGCACCAGGAAGAGGGAGCCAGGTTGCCATTTCACCAAGACATTGCATCATGAAAAAGATAGCAATACCTGTTATCGAGTAGCCAAGCAAGACAGAGAGAGGTCCCGCCTGTGCGAAGGCTTTGCCGATACCAAGGAAGAGACCAGTACCGCTGTAATAGGTCAGTTTCGCTGTACGTGAAGCTTTCTCACAGAGTGAAATGATCTCACATTGTGCCTCCCAAAGCAATGAACTGGATATGGCGTGACTTTAGCCCTCTCGCGACCTGAGAGGGATGTCAGCGAACAGGAAACTCGACTGTTGGAGTGTGAAACGTACGTAGCCGTATTGCTCAGCATCCTGTATATCGCCATACAGTGCTTTCGCCTCTCCGATGGCGACATCGGTAGCCCTCTCTCCAGCATAATCTGGAGCAGGCCCATGCTCGATGTTATATTCCTTCTTCCCGTCTATAGACTCCGCCATGCTGGTGAAACAGCAGCCTTGGGCGCAGAAGGTGAATGGTGAAGTCGAACGTCAGACGGCCTAAGGGAGTAGCATATGTGCAAGACCCTCTCTTCGACCAGGGTCGGCGTGCTTCACGCCGAGCAGTCCCCAAATACCGCAACACGACCAGGGTGATCCTGAGAGCTCCAAGGTAGGATAGAATCCTAGTCAACCACGTGAGGTGCGGCGAGGGTCGATTCGACGACCGACACTGTAACAGGTAGGGCAAGACGAGGAGAGAGAGGAATAAATGTCAGGAGATAGCACCAACCATGCATGTAGACGCGCACGCGGTACAGGTCTTATACAAAATCACACCATCCTCTCAGCCGACAAACCTCGATATTCCCGAGACCATCCAGTCTAATGAAAGTTGCTGACAATCGCTGGTGTCTCTTCTAGAACGATAGAAGAATGCCGCGTGAACAACAAGTGTGTGATATGACCAACTCATTCAAGTAAAGTCTGAAGCCAAGGTAGCGTGTTAGAGCTAAGTGAGCTTAGAGGCCACCAAGCTAGTCTTGGGAGCTGCGCATTGCAGGGATCTGTACGGATGGCGATTCGGTTTGTTTCGTCAATAGATATGAAGTGAAGCGAGGTATGTCCTATGAGACTCCGAGGGTATCTCTTCAACTCCAGATCATCCCGTATCTCAAGTCTGTGCATCTTTTCGCTGGTGAATTCGTTGAATCACGACAACGACGCTCGCGAACACTGCCCATGGTATGTTTGCCGCTCACCAGACATGAGGATGGAGCGACAGAACCTTGCAGTTGCGAGAGCACGCAACCCTCGCCCCTCCGACACACTCTCCAAGTGAGGCATGAAAGCCGTGCCGACAAGCATGTAAATGGCCAGGCTGAGGTGGTCGGACGAAGCGGAAAGCAGCCGGCCGTGCATGCCCTCGCCAGGCTAAACGCGGGCAATGTCTGGGGTTGCTTCTGGAACGATGATAAGGTCGACGCTAAGCTTTCTTGAGAAACACTTGGTGATAGAACAAGATAGCAGAAGGTTCTCTGGTAATGGTTGACAGTTGAGGCCGACAGAAGCGTGGATGAATGCTCGTGCCGAATCATAGCCAGCCGAGAATGGCTCCTTCAGCAGATTCGCAATCACGATTACGAGAACTGCGCTCACCTCGCTGGCGAGGCGCGACAGCTTCGACACTTGACTGTTTCGATGCCGCGCGGTCGGAGGTATGGGCCCGATATGTCGAATAATGCCGATCCATGTGGTTGCAGACCGATTGGGGCCAGTCGAATTGGCTCCTCCAGCCCACTGGCCGCGCACTCGGCAGAGAGGTCAGTACCAGTGGGTGGACGTTCTTCGCTTCTCAGTCCTTCGCCTTATCTGCTGGCTCGGCAACCTTTTTCGTGACAAGCCTCGTCCAGCGTCTTCGTCTCCATTCACCTCGCCGCTCCAGACCCGTGCCTTCTTCCCATCCACTCTTAGGAATACTCTTGACTCGTCTCTTGTTCTTCCCTTTGCCAGGGCTTCCCAGGAGCTCCAGCAGATCCACTTCTTCGGGAGGAATATCGTAGACCCATCTCTCGCCCTCAGTCTCAATTTCCACTCCTGAAATCATACGCTCTTCCACCCATTCTCGCGTAAAGAGATCAAGGTTCCATTTCTTCTCTTTGTAGTCCCACCCGTTTGGTGGCTGTACATCTTCGAAGAATTGCGTGCCTTTCGGCCGATTGCCCGCAATTCGTGCTGGGGAAAGCGGATCGTAGGGCGAGGGACTGAACAGCCACGGCTCCCAAGTGTCGCTTTCAGTGTGATGTTTCTGCAACTCAAAGACCTCCACCTGCCTCAACTCGGGCGGCTCGTGAATCACAATATCCTGCTCAACCCAACTCCTCAACGTCCTCTGCAACAGCTCCAAATGCTGTTTCAACTGCTTCATATTCCTCGTCGACAGCAATACTTTCTGCGCTTGGGGATGTCCACTGAGCACCGCAGCCCATCCTCCCAGCAAAGCAATGGCCCTCCAAGGCACCAGCCCACTCCCCACAAAAGCCGCACAGCTGAGCACAGTGAGCCAGAGAAAGATACCCGAGCTCATCGACTCATCGCTGAAGTTTGTGTACGGCGTAATATATTCATTCGCAGCATCATGCAGCCGACTGAAATCTTCCATGCTATTCTGCAGATCCCTCATATTCCTCCAGAAATCCGTACTAAAGTCCGGTGCGGGTTTGACGCGGCTCGCAGGGGCGGTGGCAGCGCCGCGATAGCTCGGTTCGATTCGAGGGTCGTTCTTAGGGGTCGGATGTCGAGAGAGGAAGGAGGGTATCATAACCCAGAATAAGAGGACGCCGAGTGGTATGAGAGGGAGCAGATGTGGTTTGAGGCATATAAGGGAGTAGATGGCCAGGAAGGAGAGGGTTGAAGTAGGTTGGCGCCATGTAAAAAGGCGGATGAGCATGTTCTCAAACACGAAGACGACACCGATGCGAGCATTGAAGCGGCGGAAGTTGTAGGTCATGAGACGAGGGCCGAACTCAGGCTTGTCAACATACTTCTTACTCCGTCGGTCCTTTTTCTTAGGCAGTTGGCCCTCATCGTCGTCGACGTCTGTAGGAGGCCCTTCCGATGGGATAATCTGAGAGAGGACGCTGGCAAACAGCCGATCTTGGAGACTTTGTCGTCCCCCTTCGCCGCTCTCGAATTTCTCACGCAGTCTACTGGTGCTCCGGCTCGCGCGTTCCCGCAGTCTGTCGCGCCTGCGGGTCGTGACCTCGCTTTCTGCATCGGAGGAGTCGTAACCGTCGTCTTCGTTGGAAGAGATGCGGATCACGGGAATGGGTTCGTCGCGGTTCGCGATCGGACTGGCATAGTCGTCCGCCATGGCGGCGATGAGGTGAGCACTACTCCAGGTACATGGAAGTGGGTGTACGAGTTGCGAGACTCATGTGATGAATGCTCAAGGTGGAGGTGGAGCGGCTTGCTTGATGGTAGGCATCACGCGCGCCTCGGTGAATGACGCAGTTGCGGGAGCATGTGAGAGCCAAGCCATCAACAACGTGCGGAAGGGAACAAGATGAAACAGCACAGTTCAAAAGGGTCGAAATACGTGCTTCATGCACATCTATAGAAGAACATGTCTAATGCTCCAGCTCGCTAAATTGCTAGAACTGATCAATTCAAAACCCCTGTCATGTCATTTTGCTTCACGACCTGCACGTGCTTACGTGAAAACTCGCGTCGGACTGGCGCTCTGACTGCGAGCACCATCCGCCGAAGCATATCCGCTGTCCTTTTCGTCCCAGCCTCCCATTTCCCTCGCAATGCTCAAGCACAATTTCACGATCTTAGTCCGGCCCACGTGCCCAAGTCCGCTAGCCCTACCGGTGGTTGTTCCTGCCCAGACCCTAAGGCTGCCAGCAAGCTCTTCCACGCCCATAGCACGAGCAGCAGTGTTGCCGGAGGTCAGCGTGCGAAGCAGACGATAAGCAGCAACGGCCGTCAGAAGTGTAAACTGGCCAGGAGCAAGCTTAAGGCCGTTCAGGGCGCGAAGTGCGCGCTCGCGGGCAGCTTTCGGTGACGAGCTAGTTGAAAGTGAAATCAACTTAGCCAGCGTCAAAGATGTGAAAACATCGGGCGACGCGGGAGCATGGCTGACCAGATTCATGCCGCCCGTAGGAGACATGACGGGCAGTGCGTCCAAAGCCACGACAATGTTTGCAGCACGGTTGGTGTTGGACAGTACAGCCTTGGCGGTTAGTGCGCGCACATGCGTGCTAGACGCTGGCGGCGCCACGCTCAAGGCAAGACCAAGGTAGTACTCAATGTCGAACGTGGAGGCGTTGTCAGTCAGTGTATCCGCAAGCGTGTCGTCGATGGTGGTGTTCGCATACCACGCGGCAACAGCGTCGATGGGCGAGCGGATAGCGTGATCCTCGACCACATTGTCCTTGGCCGCGTTGGGATCAAGCGAATGTGCACTGGGTTTGTTCCACGCTAGATTCCACGCACGTTGGATCATCTCGTCGCTGAGCACTTCGTCACAGTCCAGCTCGACGAGCCGTGCCAAGTGATCCGGCAATAGATCAATGTCGTCCTCTTCTGTGGGACGGCCTTGGGCTTTGGCAGCAAGCAGTTCCTTTTGTTGACGGCGAGCAGAATCCCAGTAGATTCGGCCGACTTTCTCGGTGAAGGACTTGAATCCCAGGATGTTGCCATAACCCGCATTAGCAACTTCCCAGAAGAAGACGCGGAAGTGGACGGCCTTTTGCATGAGTCTGGCCGGTGAGTCGGGTAGGGTACCGCTCTCCATCAAAGTCAGTAATAGTCGATAGTACGAAACTTGGGCGTCGCCTCCGGCAAGCTGTGCATCAATGGCAATGTCCCATCCTTTGACACGCGCTGCCTCCTCTTCCTTATTGGTGCCGGTGAGTGCCATGAAGACCTCCGGGCCGACAAATCTACGCAGGCTGAGCTGGAACATTTTGGCACCCACTGCGGCAACTTCTAGAAGGAAGTGCTTGGGAACCCATACAGTTTGAATGGCGGTGAGCCAGGCCTGCCGGCGAACTTCTACCGGTGAAGCCAACGAGGGAGCCTTGGGAAGGCGTACTGTGGTAGACATCTTCTGTTTGCGTCGTGGAGAGAAGTTCAGTAACGGAGCAAGCAAGTAGAGAAGCGTGCCAACGACCATGCAGACCTTGAGCATTGGCAGCAGGGCTTGACGTGACATGGCTGCCATGGAGGAAGATGACATGCCACCTTCCATGCCGCGCTTGAAGAGTGCTGTAGGTAGCGCGGCCAATCCAGAAGTACCTTCGCCGGACTGTTGATGCTCGCTGTACCCTTCCATAGCCATGACACCGGCCATCGTTCCAAGCATCACCTTGTTCACGAAGCCTTTACCATGGCCTTTAGCAATTGGCTGCTGGTTTTGCGCCTCAACGGGTGGATTCGGGGGCCGAGCATATGTTGGCTGGCCTTGCGCCTGCATATACTGTTGCTGCACAATGGGCTGTCCAAAGCGCGTTTGATCCTGAGGCACATTGAGAAAGTTTGGCGAGGCGCCATGTCCTGCAGAAGAGGTTGCTCGGGATCGGTCGGACTCAGAGATCGGACTGCTGTGAGCGCTTCCTTGCCTCGACTGGCCAACGGAAGCTTCGACTCTCGCCAGCTGCTCCTTCAGCGCAGCCATCTGATCAGCCATCGTTTTGTTGCGCTTTTCCAGGTGCTTGATGTACTCGGTAGCTTTGGCCATGATGGTCGCCTTGTTCAGCTTGTGTGCAGGGGTCAGGCCTTCGAGATCTTCCAAATTGTCTCCCTTGTTGGAGCGGCCCATAGCACGCAAGCTGGGCACACTTTGTCGAAGCTCGATGATCTTGTCATTCAGATTGTTGCGATATCTCTTCTCAATGACATTGTGTGAGGTGATCTTCTTGTTCGGATGATCCTCCCCCTCGGGTGAGTCGCCATCACCATCGCCTCCGCTGGGTTCCGGCTGCGTTTCAGCCTTCCTCTTGCGTCCTCCTTTCTTCTTTGGCGGCAAAGGCGATGTGGAGGTAATGCTCTGTCCCCGCTGTGATGTATTGGAAGACCCAGGACTTTGGTGCAAGCTCGGCGTCGCGGCGGTCAATGAGGTCGCGGAAGTCGGGACTTGGGCATTTTCGACAGCCAGGGAAGCAATAGGATCGACTGCTGCATTCGAGGGTAATGTCCATTGGGCGACATTGGTATCAATCTTTGGAATGCTCGACAAGGCATCTAGTCCGGTGTTTTGGGAGAAGTCGAAGCCGGTATTGATGTCGCCAGCACCGAAGAGCGCGAAGTCGGGGTCCAATGCTGTGCCGTCTCCAAAGCCCAGGTTGTCGTCGCCCACGATAAGCGGTGGCGCCAGAGGTTCATCGTTGATCCCGCCAAAGGCAGGGAAAACGGGGTCCTGGAGGGGTGAGTCGTTCTTGGATGAAGCGGAGTTGAAGGTGTCGTCGGGCGAAGTGGGCTCAGCAGCCGGATCCCATCGCAGCCATTCCTCCCAGTCCTCGTTGTTCTGTGCTGCGTCGAAGGGCCCGCCAAAGGTGGGAGTCTGTAAGCAGCCTCCCGCAGCTCCTCCTTGCCGCCAAGCGGAGTCCATGTCGCAGTCGCGTTTCTGGTGCAGGTTGAATGCAGAAAGTCAAATCGTTGAGTCAATTGTCACGCTGGCCCATCGCGTGCACGGGGCGCGAGGAGCGGAGGTCAGTGGGCGCGACAATTTGGTGGTTTGTTTTGGTGTCAATTGGGGAGGAGAAGTGGGCGGAAGGCGTGGCATTCATCAACCAGGCACACGTACGATACATTTGTCTTACGATTCCTGGACGGCATAGCCGCAGCGGAGTCGTCTGCCGGCCAAACAGGGGTGCGAGTGCTGGTGGCCAGAAATGACGAGGCTTTGTGGACGGCGTGTTTGGATCCGGTGCACTCTGCCCGCTGATTCGCCTGACCATGCTTTTCCGCAGTGTCTTTTGCAACAAAGCACCACGGCTGCCAGCCCTGCCGATATCAGGCTCGCTCCTTGCTTCAACTTCAGCGGAAGTCATCCTCTCCGGACTCGCTACGATCAAAATAACAATTGCTGCGCCTTGGAGGTGGACGTGTCTCGACTACGCCTATCCCCAACGTATGCCAAGGATCACTTAGAACGGAGTCTACACGTAGTCGGCATTTTCAGCTGCTTCCATTTACAGGTAGTCATGCAGGCGTTGGACTGGAAACAGCGACTGCAAACATCGCTCGATGAGCTGAAGCGAAGTCCTGGCTATTCAAGTGAACTATCTCACACTGCTTCAGCTTCCAACTTCAGCGCCTTCTCATCAGCAGTCAGGTCGCTCTTCTGTCGGGGCACTCGTACAAAAGCCACGAATATTACAAGCGCCGTGGCTCCGCATGCCAGATTGAACCAAAACACATTATGGTAACTCTGCTTCAGACCCTGATGCGCGGTCTCTGATCCGACGAGCTCCGCAAATCCCAGTAGCACAGCGATTCCAAGCTGCATCAAAACATTGGAGAGCGATCCAGCCAGACCTTGTTGGCTTCTCCGGAGTGTGCTCGAGAAGAAGACATTTGCTACTGTGCTACAATGCTAAGTCAGAACAGATCTCACAGAGAATGGATGAATACACTTACAAGACTATGTCAATGGACAGAGTCATCATGACCATCGGCACAAAGATCCAGGCCCAATAGTAGGCATCGGACGGAGCGAGTGCAAACAGAACCGACTCAATAATAATCGCGCAGCCGGTGATGACCAGAAGTATCATTGGCGGCACTTTATGCAGTAATGCGCCGCCCGTGATCGCTAATATTATACCGATGGTCGCACTTGGTGTATACCATGCGACAAGTTGCCTACATCGAGTTAGCAAATAAGTCGATTTGCTCGCAGACACTGAGCCATTACTTACATCGGCGAAGCACCGAGAATGTTCATGCAGAAAAGTGTTGCATAAAGGAGGTATATCCCGCAGGTGCCGTAGGAGAACAGGAGGCCGAGCATGAATGGACGGACATGCTTCTTGGTGAAAATCTCGAATGGCAGTAAAGGCTGTGCTGCCACCCACCCCTCAATCCAAAAAGCTATCCCCAGAGAAGCCAGACCGAGCAGGAACGTGGCCAGGATATATGGAGCGGTCCAGCCGTCATGGCTGGAGGAAGTGATAGCGAACACCACCAGAACCAATCCCGTGATGGTGAAGAGACTCCCAAGCCAGTCCATCTTCACGTAGGATAGCTTGTGCGCTTCCATGTCGTTTGGGATACAGAACAATGATGCGACAACCACGACGGCGCCGAGCATTGTCCCAATCCAGAAGTACCATCTCCAATTAGCATATTCCCCCGCGACGCCAGCGAAGAAGAGTCCAACTGTACCGTTCGTCAGCACTTCTCCTAAGCTCATTGCACTTTCATCACCTACTAAAGAATCCAATCGCAGCCATTGCGCCATAAATCGCAAAGACCAAGTTCTTCCTAGGACCAGGTCGATACATGCTTCCTAAAAGCTGCAGCCCCGCTGGCAAGTACGCTGCTGGTCCAAGCCCCTGTATCGCCCGACAGACATTGAGCATGACCTCGTTCTGCGCGAACCCAGCGATCAAAGCCCAGATGCAGTACCAGACGCAACCGCCGATATATACCGGGTATCCTCCGTACATGTCCCCTATTCTTCCGAACGGGAGCAAGAAAGACGCCACGACGAGGGAGAAGACACTGGCGGGCCATGTCTGCGAAGTCGGATCGATCGAGAGTTCTCTTGCGACGGTGGGTAGTAGAATGGTGAACCCGCTGACCATGTATTCGTTGAGGGCTTGGGAAACGGTTATCGAGAAGACGAACCCGATTTCTTGCCAGATAGATGTGAGTTGCTCTGGCCTCTGGCGACCGAGTCTCTCAATGCGGGCGAGCTCATCGTTGTTCAGCTCATCACCTGAAGACTGCCTCTCCTGATCAGAGTCAGGCGCATCCTTGTTTTCAAGAGAGAGCTTGGATGCCATGGCGTAGTGGCGGAATCTCAGGAGAATCAATGCAGCGAAAGACACGGAGAAGGTGGCTTGAGAATAACAGTGATGCAACAGTACACACCCACTCTGTCCGTCCTATATGTCAACACCATCGGTTCCGACGAGAACAATGCCGCCATCGCTGCATACGGAATTCCTAAGCAACAACAGCCAAGTCTGCAGCCGTTTGCCGCTGACGCCCTCAATGACGACCCGGGCTGCCCCATCACTAATGCCATCAAGCAAGCATCAACACACCGTAATGTGAGAGTGACATTCCATTGCTCGACCGAATGCAGAAGTCACTTACGACGTATGTGGTCGAGTCCTTGGTCCTATGGGCGTGCCTGGCATTTATGTCCACCGAAGTTGTTGCAGTCAGCACTACTAACAGCAGAGCCTTGGCAGTCGTATTCAACTTCCTCTTTTCGTGGCTTTACGAACATGGCAAATACGACTCGAATGTACGGCAATCGGAATCGCATGGCAGCCACGTGCAGATGTTGAATTCCGCCTGGGTGGCAGAAAAGGAATACTTCACGGCCGCACATACGCATCCGCAACGATTGCGCAATGTGTGATGAGTTTTTGGAAGGGCACAAAAATGGTGTTCATGCTTCGGGCTTCCGAGGACCTGAATACATCAGCCCCCCCGGAGTTTATAGTAGTACAGTTTCCATGCTGCGAGATGTTCTCCTACCCAACCGGACGCCTCGCTTTGGTATACAACACTTTGCAGCCCTAGTCCTCATCGTCGTCGTCCACCACACGCCGCCGCTTGACTCTGGCTTGTGGCAGATCATCATCAATCTCGCCCTCTGCGTCTTCGTCCTCTCCGGCTCCACTCGATTCAGGTTGCGGACGATCTCTCTTTGGCGTCCTCTCTCTTCGGTCGTCGACGATTCCATCATCTGGGTCATCGTCATCCTCGATGACCTCCTCTTCATCGCTTGGAGCGACAAAGTCGTCCTCCTGGTCGTAGTCATCCTCCCGATTCGTGAATCGCTTGTGGCCATAGTCTTCGTCGTCGCTGTACTCGCTGTTGCGTCGCCGCCTTGGCTTGGCGCGAGGCTTTCCAGCTCCAGAACGGCCACGTCCACCTTCCATCTCGTCATCTTCCAGCATGCCCACGTTAAGTCCACCATAGCGACCAGAGGAGACACCTGCACGGCCCAGTGCGCGATCCGTTCGTAAGCGTTCACGTTCTTGAGCATTCTCCCGCTTCTTCCGATCTCGCATTGCTTGTCGTTCCGCTTGCTCTGCCTGCCTCCGCTGCTCCTCTGGATCCACATCAACCGCATCAAGCTGCCCTGAACCGGTACCCACTTTCGTCGCGTTTGCTGCTTGGGCAAGAGCAGCTTGCAAACGCTGTATAGCATCATCCTCACCACTCTCGTTCTGCTTGATTGTTAGGCCAGCGGTGATCCTGTGGGTGACCCGAAGCGAATCTGCAGCTTCGACGGGTGCAACCAGATATGTGAAGCTGTCTTTTTTCGGATCGTAACCTTCACCTGATACTTGACCGATTCTGCCTCCCTTATTGCCTCCTGTCACACTGACCGGCGTGGGCCGTACTGGGTTTCGCTGCGGAGGTGCCAATGAATTCCCGTCAATCTCGTACTGTGTGTTCGGGTCAGAGGCCAATTGAATTGTTAAAGATCCGTCAGACCACCTGTTGATGCGAGCGTTTGATTGTAATTGTGATGCATCTGACGGGGAGTGTCGCCAGCGTATCGTAGTCATCGCGGTATTGAAGGCGGAAAAGGTCGAAGAAGCGGGCTTCTTGGAGTGGTGATCGGTCTTGGGCGGCTGGAACGTGGTGACCTGCCATGCATCGGGGTCTATTGACATGAAGTCGGGTACTTTGAGGACATACATCTGGGAAAATGTCAGCGGCACAATTACGTTGCATCTAGTCCGTCCATCTTACCTCGCCGTCGCTGGGCTCGGGCACAGGCTGACGAGCAACTTCGAGATCCAATGATAGCATTTCATGTTCCTCGAATTGCTGCTGCTCTTCCTCGTCCTGGTTTTGCGCACGATCATTCCGGCCCATGTCGTCGCCAGAATCGAGCTCTTCATCATCCAGCTGGCGTTGGCTATCGAATGTCAGTCCTCATCTCGACGACATTGGCTCATTAAACATACGCTGGCTTTTCTGCATCTCCAGCATCTACCTCATCATCTTCGTCGCCGAACAGGTCATCGCCAGCGTCGTCCTCTTCGTCGTCTGCAACTTTCCCTCTCAATGTTTGCGCATTGTTCTCGCCGTCCGAAGTATCGCCATTGACACCGTTCGCCGCAGCATCAGCGGGCGAGCTGGCTCGCTCATCTGCAATGCCAGTGGCAGCAGGCGATTGTTCCGCAGACATTTTAGCTCGCGACGCGTCCGTCGGTTGAGTGAGGTGAGGGTGGATGAAGGAGGGCGGCGCGGCGGGCGGAGACGGAGGTGGCGGAGGTGAGAACCAACTGAGGCAGACAATGGAGCTCAGTCTGCCCAGGATTCACCAGTGAGGAGGTCGGTAGGTAGAATACACGAACAACAATTGCAGCTCGAGAGGTTCGTCAATCCTCAAAGGCCAAGCGAGTCGCGAACTTCCTCTTGCAGCAGCGCGCGCGGGCCGCCAACCTTGTTTGGGCGACACCCTTGCGCTCTTGCCTGCACGCTGTCTCTGGCTAACGTTTGGCCTCTCTCCTGAACCCAGACCACAACACTTCCCAGTCTGCCGCCACACGCACAACCAGACATCCCGCCGCCACCTCTTCCCTTCCTCTTCTTCTCTTTCTTTTCTCCCCCCGGCCTCGGCGGCCTTTTTCGAGACGATCCAGCAGGCAGTCAGGAACATGTCGTCCTGGATGAACAACCTGTAAGTGAATAAGCTTTTCCTCTATTTCAGTCGGTGAAACTGGGACGAAATTCGGGGGCCTGCATGCGGCGGGACAAGGTCGATATATCCGGACCTTCCTACTGCCTCCCTCTACTCGACATCACCCCAAGCACGACGTCCAATTCCATACCGCTTGTTCCAGTCTCGGCGGGCAGGCACAGTGAGCGAAGGCGGCACTCCCACGAAGGTACGATCCATTTTCTCTTCGAACATGCGTCGTCCCTCTCTGGCCTGGCTTTGCTCGAGGCATTGCCCCTTGCTCGGTCCACCTGTATGGTTGGGATCCGGACACGAGCATGATCTGCTCAGACTATGGCCCGCTTGACAGTCCGAAGTGGCATCTTCGTCAACTTCACTTCCTATAAACTGGCCCGCCTCCATGCATCGAACAAGTCGATTTGAAAAGGTCACCAACATGCAATTTCGTGGCCGACCTCGACGATGCATGTCAACGCACCAAGATCAATGCTCGCGGGACGCCGGATTTGAATGCTACAGACGACCTCGCAACCATCGTGCTCAATCGATCTTTCTTGGAATCCGGAGATTTACTTTGTCCGCATGAGCATCGTTGTCACGCTTCAAGTACCGAAACCAAAGCATGACGCAAAATTCACATTGACCCCGGGCACCTTCCTTCTGCGAAGTGAAGAACTGCTCAACGGTCGATGGTAAACACACGCAGAGGCGATGCACCCCGCCAATGAAGTGTTTACATTACTGCATGTCATCAGGCTGCCATAACAGAAGTGAAGATGTGAGCTTTGGTGTTGTTTTGTCGCGCCGCTGTGTTCATCTTTGCTTCACCACAACACACACCTGTTGGAAACATTGTCCGGATCCGCTTGCAGTTGCCGTCCAGCCCAAGATGTCGGATCCAGAGCCAGAACCACCGCCGTCGCCATCGACGCCGCCGCCATTGTCCGTGCCAGACGATGCCATCTACCTGTGTTATCGCCCCAAGCAACCGCGACGCCGCGCCCCGGAGCCAGAGTCTCCGCCGAAGCCCTCCATGCTGATCATCGGCGAGAACTCGTTTCGTTTCGATGTTGGACCACGTACACCTACTGACGATGACTCTGCATCTTCTAGTCGCAACTTGGGTCGTCAAGCCAACCCCACTCGCTCGAGCCCAAGTCAGCCACCAAGTCGCGGCAACATTTCGTCGCCTTCAGCGAACAGTCCATCATCACTCTACCCACCAAACCTTCAGCAAGGTCAGACGCCTTCGTCAAGTGGCGCACCACCAGCCAACATGACCACCAATGAGCAAGTACAGCCGGCTGGCAGGAAGCCTCCATTCTTCTTCCGCGACGAGTACGCCGGCTTCATCGTCAAGGGTAACTTCATGACTCTAGCCGCAAACCCGCTGCACGTTGAGTCCGGAGAGTGGCTGGCACATCAGAGTACGTACTTGACATCACAGTCTATCACTGACCGCGAAGCTGACATCCATTTGCAGTCGTTGAACAGAACCGTCTCTTGACCGGCATGGTGAAGATTGTGCAGACGGATGACCGCGCTAGTGGAGTGGGCCTGTGCAACGAGAAGACTTGCCCAACCATGTCCGCCGGCGGGCAAGTACTCCCTCTCCCTCGCTGTCGCGCACCTCACTGACAGCCGCTGCAGGACCACCTACACCTGGATTGACACCAACCGCAATCCCATCAACCTCCCAGCCGCAACGTACATCAAGCACATTCAGACCTGGGTCGCTGGCAAGATCCAAGACGAGTCTGTCTTCCCAACCACCACATTCACGCAGGCGCCACCAGTTCCGGCCTCACAGCAACTCAGCAACGACCCAAACAACTGGCTCGGCAAGTCCTCTGGGTTTCCTCAGCGCTTCGAGGCCGAGATCAAGAACATGTACAAGCAAATGTTCCGCTGCTACGCTCACCTGTACTGGTCGCACTGGCTCCAATTCTGGGACCTCAACTCCTACCGCGAGCTTAACACCTGCTTCATTCACTTCATCAACGTCGGTCGCGCTTCCAGCCTCCTTACCGACCGCGACACCGAGCCCATGCAGCCACTCATCGACTTGTGGCTTCGCCGTGGCGACCTTCCCCACCTTGCCCAAGATGGCGAGACCAAGACTGCCGCTGAAGAGGCCGCCAAGGCCCCAGCTTCTGCTGCGCCTGTTGACCAGGCCGCACCAGCTCCAGCTCCAGCTGCCTAAGTAAGGCAGAAACTTTACTCAAAGGCAGAAACTTCACTCAGGCAGAACTCAGTTGCTAAGTTGCGCTCAACAATACGTCATTGGAAGTAATGGCATACGTAGTGAGCTCAACAAGGAGAGAAAGAAAGAATTACGACCCATATTGCATTGCCTCTCCGTCCAAACCTCCAATTTCAAGCCACCTGGTGTGGAACCTGAGAATGTTTACGAGTTCTCTCTCGTGGCATTCGAGATCGTAAGACCGATGTTCTCTAATTCGCGCTCACGATAGAATTGTAAACTGTCGACTTTCGCTCTGGGAACTGTTCACTCTCGTGCTGCTCAATTATGTTATGCCGAGGACATGATCTGCCGAACAGTGTAGAGACACACTGCTGCACTGTCGTTTTTGCGTGATTGAGGCCCTTCAATAATGCTGTTTGAGGTGGGCATGCAGACGAGTTCTCCGACGTGGCTGCGACGGAGCGACTAAACAAGCAACTCGTTTCATCCCCTTGAGGTCTTATTCCATGGAGCCCAGTGTCATTGAGACATTCGATCGAATCGTCGAGACGCTTTGGACCTAGCTGGGACAATGTCGTCTCCCTGTCCGCGTTTCAATGGAGTGCCACCGCACGTTGAGAAGCTCGAGTGATGGACAACTGGAACCATTTCAGAGATGTGGCTAGTGATTCAAATTCTGTTCCATTTCAGCGCCCCGCTTGAATTGAATCTGTAAACCCACACTCAAGTATCGTATCAAGCAGACTGCCAGAGTCGCCGTTACCTCGTACTGTGCTACCCTCTTTCACTTTCAATCCTGCCTAAAGCAATCACATCAGGCAGTTCCCTTACATCAACCGTCTGTCTCGTATCCAGATCTATGATCCTCAGCACACCCAAATCTAGTACACCAGACCGTAGCGCCTTGAAAGGCATGTGCGTTTCGAAACAAGCGCCAGGCGGGAGAGGACCGATCCTGGCGTCGGGATTGAGATCGAGTACATCGGGCGGTTTAGCCTTCTCCAGTGCCGGAGCATTGAACAAGCTGGCCAGAAGGTCGGATGTCGTTGAGCCATCGATTGTGGCTGCGGCGATTGTAGTATGCCCTGTTGTTGGTCGAGGCTTAGTAGTGGTACTACTTCGAGGATGTAGCATCATGAGTCCGAACTTCTTCGCACGCGTGGAGCGATTGTTGCAGTGCACTGAGATCTTGAATTCGGAAGATTCATACGTTGTGGACGCTGCATGGAAATTGAAGACGATGCTTCCTCCATTTGATGTATGTTCTGTGCGATCGGTCGATGCTCCAGATGTCGTATCCATGGAGGGTCTGGTGATCGAATGTGCTGAGAGTGATTTCTTGTGATATGATGAGTGACCCGCAGCACGGGACCAGCGGTAATGAGGCTTTTGCCATGTGTGTGTCAGATCAATATGTGCTTGCCAGTCGATTTCGAGCGATATTCTTGAGCCTTGGTCGAGGAGAGCTTCGGCTCGAACAGATATTGATACAGGACTCTCGGCCAAGGAGTTGCGTTCTGCATGTGCTTGTGTATGAGGCGTGACCTTATAAAGTAGCACTGTCTCGTCTGCTCCTCGTGCTTCGAGTGGTAGTGCGACATTGGTCAGATCCTTGACGTCCGCATTTGTGACGTTAAGATCTGCTTTGTGGATTGTTGTTGTGCCAGCGATGACGTGTGAAGTCTCCAGATGCAGGCTGGCAATAATGGCATCAGGCAATGTGGAATATCGAATGCGCGTAAAGACTGCTGGGACTGCTGGGAAGGCCCGCCTACTTGCGCCTCTGATTGGCTTGACAGTGTCTGTGAGGTTTGGGGGTTTGGGCGCCACTTTCGTGATTCTTGATTCGGAGATGTAAATATCTGCCGCTCCTGGCGCCCGACTGAATGCGAGGGATTCAAGAACGTTCGCTGGTAGAGGTTCAAAGGGCTTCAACAACTGCTCTTTGGGCCTTTGAGAACCACTATGAAGCTGCTCTGCGATCCTCAAGTTGGCAGTGAAGTAAATCGCTGGTCGCTGCAGTCGAGCGCGCGGCCGAGACAAGTGCAATTGTTGTTTCCAGATCACGTAAGTGTGCTCTTCTGTCACCACTAAGTCGTCGAAACCATCTGCCGCCAGCGTCCTGGAATTGAGATCATGCTTTCCGGAAGCCGAAGCGGTATTGCCGCCTCCTTGAGGTACCGCATCCGTAGCATGAGCTGCCAAGATCAAGTCGAGATAGGGCAGTATATCACGGACTTCGCTTTCCTTGATTGTGGTCTTCAGGACAATGAGAATGTTGGCTTGCTCGTCTTAAAGTCCTGCGTCTAAGTAAGCTGTAGTGAGTTACAGTACTCCAGTGGGACATACCAAAGAACAAATTCCGCCTGGCTGGGATACGACCTATCTCTGTAGCCTTGCCGTCACGGATGAGCGTTGCAACGTCAACGTCTGAAAATCTTGGTAAGTTGACGTCGACGAGCGCGGATTTGGACAAGCTCTCAAAGCGTGCTCTGATGCTTTCGAGAGCTGCCATATTAGCTGCCGCTTTTCGTCGAGTCCAATGCGACGAGGAGTGTTGGCGCTCGCTTGCGTAGGTGGATATGGATGTGCCGCGGCATGTCTGCCTGAGGCCAGCGCGATAGTGGGGCTTCGAGTCGACGATCAGGCAAGCGCGTCGTGCAAACGACATCCCACCATCCACAACAAATATCACAGCGCAGACATGGCGACGGTGCCTCGAAACTTCAGGCTGCTCGAGGAGCTCGAGAAGGGCGAGAAAGGACTTGGAGCGGGTCTGTTTTTGGAAAATCCTTCTACCTTGTACGAAAATCTGACAGTCGATCAGAGGCTTGCTCATATGGTCTCGATGAAGGTGATGATCTTTTGATGACGAACTGGAATGGCACAATCCTAGGGCCTCCTCATGTATGCTCCATCTCTGGTGCTACCGTATATAGTCTTGGCTGATCTTATCAAACCAGAGCGTGCACGAGAATCGTATCTACTCGTTGAAGATCGTCTGTGGTGACAAGTACCCAGACGAACCACCGGAGGTCACTTTCATCAGCAAAATCAACTTGCCATGCGTGGACGCACGAACGGGAAAGGTCAGTAGATACGCCCTGCTAGGGAAGGAAAGTGATGCTCATGAGATTATCCTAGGTCAATCTTAGTGCGATACGCTCTTTAAGCACGTGGAAGCGTGACTTCACCATGGAGACGATCCTGATCGAGATCCGCCGATTTATGGGCACACCAGAGAACAAGAAGATACCACAGCCTCCTGAGGGCACGAACTTCTAAATTTGACCCAAGGACAATGCCGGTCTACTCGCACAGTTCTTTGCACCGAATCGATCACACAGCATGACATCAAGTCGAAGATAAGCGAAGGAGAAACTGTTCGTCAGGGAATTACGTTGCAGCATTTCTGGATGCTCTATGTCTATGGCTGACAGCGGGTCGACTACCCGAAAAGTGTGACCCAAGCGCTTCGAAGCGTGATATTCAAACGTTCAATCCTCGGACAACCCAAGCATAGGCCCGCACTATTGCGTGCTGTACACTCTAGCCATCTGCTTAGCCTGCTTAGGCTCGATAAATAAGGCCTCGGCCTCCACAACTTTGGTGCCAGTTCCATCTTCTTCGCCTAGAACTTCGATCCAACCCTTCACCCACGCTTTACGGCCTTCGACTTTTGTTGTCTCTGCCTTGAGTACCACATAACTGTTCCCGGGGCATGGGACTCGGTAGTCAATCTTCAGACTCGCAGTGACTCCAACTTTATTCGGCAACGCTGGAAAGCATGCTCTTGCTAATCCCTCATCAAGCAGTGTAGCCAGCAACCCTCCGTGCACAATGCCAGGATGCCCACACAGCCCTGACCCTAGATAAGCGATCTGGGTCAGAGTGGGCAGCTCTGCATCTGCATCGCTGAAGTTGAGCGGCGGCACTTCAATCTTGTTATCTCCAAGTAATGTCCCGCCTGTCAGGTTGTGAGGGCGCATCGCAGGTGGGATCTTCAAATGGGGTCTTGACTCGCGCATTCCTTCTTGTGCTCGCAGCCTTTGTGCGAGAGGGTGATTGACAATGTGTTCGTTGATCTCTGCAGCCGTGGGAGTATCTGGTTCGTATAGGTGGAGAGTCTCGGCGTCGGTGGGAGGCTTCATGAAGCCATTGACGGCATCCAGGCTTGGGGCTGCTGCCATTGCGGCGCCGGTAACAAGGGACAGAATGAAGAGTGTCGACGTGAACAGAAAACGACCTGCTCGGGATTTCTGCTTCGGAGAGTCTGGTGGTGTTGAGTCGGGTGGTGTCGCTGAGGTAAGAATCGGACTGGACGACTGGAAACGAGCGCCGGATATATACGAGGGTGTTCTATATCCTGCCGTGGAGTTGTGAGAATGAGCGCCGGAGCAAAATCTGCGTTCATCCGCGCGTTCGCGTGCTGATATCGTCGCCAAAGATCTCGTCACGATGCTGGTTTCGTAGCAATGCCGAACGACAGCCGAGCGAACCGCTGGAGGCGATGCGAGCAGAGAATGCAGCACGCGGCGTGCGGTGGGAACGGCGCTCATACTCAGTTGGAAGATCGTGGCTCCTCATACAGGTACGGCCGTACGCTGTGGTCCTCAGTTGTTGGATAATTCGCGACTAGAGCATGCCCCATTGACCTCGAGAACGGCGTTCGGACATGCTTCCAGCCTCGAAGGATAAAGTTCCGTCGGCGCGACCAAGGCAGACGCCGAGTTGGCGTCACAGAACGACCTGCATGTGAATGTCGCCAATACAGGCGATGACAAACTGCTCGTTCATGCCAACGCGTTCAGCAGGCTAGCATTGATCATCTTTTTGTGGTCGACCGGGGCAAGAACCGAAATCTCTCGGCGGACGATGTCACTCCCTGGGCCTCCTGAGGAACCATGGCCCACGAAAATGAGGAAAGCCTGAGCCCGCTCAAGGCACTGCCCAAGTTGCGCACCGCTACTGCCGACCTAATGTCACCGACGCGATCGCGAACAGATCCTCCTGATGAGCGCACGCACCTCCACCGCCGGTTGCATTCGTCCAGCCTGCGCAATAGGGCTTTCACTGGAGGAGAGAAGCATGGCTATCGGCATGCTGCAAAAGAGACCGTACAGTCTGCCATGGATCTGAAGCCCCCGATCAGCTTTGATTCCCTCCTCCGGCGTGACAAGAAAGGCGCAGAGTCAGGACGACACGGAGGCAGCAAGCATAGCCATCAGCATCGAGCATCACAACAGCAACGCGACGTGGATGAATGGACTCGTCAGCAAGCCCAGCTAGCCAAAAAGAGGGAGGTCAGGCCCGAAGACATCGAGAAAGCAAAGAAGGAGAACGAGAAGCGCGAGAAAGTGCTGCGTGACGACCTGGCACTGGTTGAAGATGTGGCCATGAGCAGCACCAGACAGCTGGACGATACATATTATGCGATACTCGAGAAGGCTTCTTTGCTCCGGAGCACCGTCTCGAGCTTGCAGCAGCTAGCAGAGGAGAGTCAAAGCATGCATGCGAAGTTCAAACAGGAATCGGCTCAGCTCGAGCAGAACACGAAGACTACTTTCGACAGCTTTGCAGAATTCGAGCCTCAGGAGAAGACCATCAATGGGCTGGTAGATCAGCTTCAAGAGTCCAAACAGAGGACAGATCGACTCAATGATCGATTAGAAGCTGCTCGTCATCGGATGGAAGCATACGAGGCGCGTGAGAAGCAGAATCGAAGAACGAGCCGGCAACGATGGAGTGCTGTATGGATAGTTCTAGCTGGTCTCATCGTCTTATTAATTGCCCTCCTACTGGCAAGAAATCGTGGCACACCCAGCAGTAACCCGATCAGTGCTGTGGTGAAGCCTAAGCCCAAGCTGGAACGGGACCCGATTTTGGACAAAATTTTCGAGGATCTATAACATGAACGATATCCAGTCTATCGCGTCGATCAACAACTTCTCCAGTGTCTCTCGAGACGAGTTCTCGATATTCGTTCTTGGTTGCTCTCAGCCATCGGAGCTGGACCCGCTCTTCTCGGCGCGCTATGTCGTCACAATGACAACTGAGCGTATCCGCGGTAATGTGCTTTTCGAGGAAGCTGGTGCTACGCGGGAGCTCTTCATATGCAAACGGTTGCGAAAGCTATCTCTGCAAGCTCCAAACATTCGCGCAACACACACATCGCAGTTCAACTGTAAATTATTACTTCGTACGCAGTCCTGCTCTCCATCAGGCGAAGCTAAACCTTACTAACTTACTTCCAGCTTCAGCTCCCAACCTCGCCTTCATACGAATTCGCACGAGCAGTCATGCGCGCATTCACTCGTCTCCAACCAGCACGCAATGCTGTGCAAAGATCTATTGTATTCCAGCGACCTTTGAGCTCTAGCCCGCAGCTGCGACTGAAAGAGGACAAGCCTCAATCACCGCAAGAGATTGAGAAAGCGAAGCAACAGCAACAGGACCCAAAGCAGCGCGAGGAACTTGAATCATCGTCGGAGACCGTTGTGAAGGCTGAGCAGAATAGCAAAGGCCCGGAGGAACTGCAGAAAGAGACAGCACAGCAAGCTCAGAAGGAGCACCCTAAGGCAAAGTAGTGATTCAGTGCTGGCCAGTCTGGAACTTTGGCCGATATACACATTGAATCTCAATATCTGTACAGTGGAAGGAATGGCTGTCATTTGTTCCTATGAGGACTCTTGCGACAAGTCGTTTCGTGCTCAGTATCTGGTGTCAAGGTTTCTACTTCATTGATGCCAAGAATGTAGGGCGTCCATTCTCCAAAACATGTTTCCGAGCAAGAAGATAAGAACAAAGCACGCTTCAATGCATATGAAATGCTTCGTTCTCACCCGAACCGCAACAAATGCCATCTTCCATGATTACCCAATCTTTGATCTGCCATTCGTCAGTCTTCATCGCGTGCCAACAGGGACGAGGTCCACATCCAGATCCGATCAGATCTGCATCTCAACCATGACATCACCAAGTCGCGTTCATTGAATCGAGGTGAACAGTGCAGCATCTGCGAGTAAGAGTCCAGAAGGCGTGTAAACGCCATGCATCAATTTCTTCCATCCTCTCATCTCCCTTTGTTTGTCTCTGTATGTTCGTCCTCGCTCGTGCTCGCACTATAGGAGCAGCACAACATTCCAGCTTTCGAACCGCACTTTCGACGCGTCTTTGGCAGCGCCATCTATCCTTAATCATGCCACCAGCAAAAAGGAAGAGATCAATTGACCCAGCGAAGGCTCTTTCGAGCAGTGAGCAAGCACCACGGCCTCTCAAACGACGAGCTTCGTCCCGGACAGCCGCGACTTCTGCGATCACGAACCCAGATCGAAGTGCCGATGTTATCGACGCCCCAGACGCTTTGCGAGCTTCACCAGACAGCGACGTGAACACAAATATCGTACCTGGTCCTGTCAAAGGTCAGACGAATGGCGCAGGTGGAGACAGCCCGCTGAGCGATGCTCCAGAAGTAGTGGAGGCGCCGGCACCTGTGGCGAAGAAGAGAGGAAAATCGAAAAAGGCTGCAGAGGAAGTGGTAGAAGATGCTGTTGATGGCGATGTCGACCATTCAAAGCTCAAGACACCAGCAAAGAAAGGTCGAGCTAAGAAAGCTGCCGCCGAGGCGCCAACAGCAGATGTTGAGGCACCAGCCACAACAACCAAGAAGAAGCCTATAGAGAGTGCTGGTGATCCTGAGGCGGATGGAGACGAAGATGCAGATCCTGAAGAGATCAAGGAGGCATTGTCTCGCCCACCTCCGGTCAACAGTGATTACCTACCATTGCCATGGAAGGGAAGGTTAGGATACTGCTGTCTCAACACGTATCTGAGGATGTCAAATCCACCGATAGTAAGTGCATCCCGTTCCTGATCGCCTCGTGAAAGCCTTCTGACTTTCTACTTCACCGCATAGTTCAGCTCGCGTACTTGTCGCATACAATCTATACTTGAGCATCGCCACCCCCTGCAGGATCCAACGCAACCTGAGCATGCGACCAAGAATCGACCAGATAAAAGCAAGCCAGTAGATGTTGCTCTTGGACAGAGATACGTCGAAGAGCTAGGACTAGCAAACGTGAAGGACATCATCAAAATGGTTCGCTGGAACGATCGATATAACATCAAGTTTTTCAGGCTATCCTCGGAGATGTTTCCATTTGCATCGCACCCAGAATATGGCTACAGTCTAGCTCCATTTGCATCAGAAGCGCTCGCAGAAGCTGGACGAGTCATCGCGCAACTTGGCCACCGCGTGACAACACATCCAGGACAGTTTACACAGCTGGGGAGTCCGCGACCTTCTGTGATCGACAACGCCTTCCGAGACTTGGAATATCACGACGAATTGTTGTCACTGTTGAAGCTACCTGAGCAAATGAACAAAGACGCTGTGATGATTATGCATATGGGAGGTCTTTTCGAAGGCAAGGAGGAAACGTTACAGAGGTTCAGAGAAAACTATGCCAAGCTGAAGCAGAGTATTAAGAATCGTCTGGTGCTGGAGAACGACGATGTGATCTGGTCGGTGCATGATCTGCTTCCGGTGTGCGAGGAGTTGAACATCCCACTCGTCTTGTAAGTCTGCGTCGCCTTTGTTTCATGTACAGCAGCGGCGCTAACTTGTGGAAAGGGACTACCACCACCACAATATCATTTTTGATGCCGAACAGATTCGCGAGGGCACAAAAGATATCATGGATCTCTACCCTCGGATAACTGCTACCTGGACACGCAAGGGGATCAAGCAGAAGATGCATTATTCGGAGCCGACTCCTCAGGCCATTACAGGTCGACAGCGTCGCAAGCATAGTCCACGCGTAGCCTCTCTCCCACCATGTGCTCCAGACATGGACTTGATGATCGAAGCCAAGGATAAAGAGCAGGCGGTGTTTGAATTGATGCGGATATTCAAGCTGCCAGGATACGATACATTCAATGATATCTTGCCTTACGTTCGCAATGATGACAACAAGATGGCATTGCAGGCAATGAACAGGAAGAAAAAGAAGGAGGATGAGCCAGAACCAGAGTTGATTCCCGAAGAGGACATTGGCATGGGTGGACCAGAGGGCAGAGTATATTGGCCGCCTACAATGGAAGAATGGTTGCGCCCAAAGAAGAAGGAGGTCAAGAAGAAGGATCCGAGTGAAAAGGCCGAGAAGTTGAAGCAAGAGGCAGCAGCTCTGTATGCAGCCCGAGAGGCAGAAAAGAAGGCCGCTAGAGAGGGCAAGACTGTCAAGGAGGAATCGGAAGAATCTGATCCAGAGGCTACGCCCGCAACCAAGAAAGCCAAAGCTGCAATGAAGAAGAAGGCCAAATCAGACGCCGAGAAGGCTGCAATCAAGCAGCAAGAAGCAGAAGCCAAAGCCGCGGATAAAGCAGCGCTTGCTGCTGCCAAGGCTGCAGCGAAGAAGACGTCCAAAGTGAAGAAGGAGGCACAGCCGGTGCCCACGCCTAGTAGTAGTGAGGATGAAGAGGCCCCTGAGCTCGACGACGAAGACGATGAGCCTGTGATGAGGAAGTCAGCAAAGACAGCGACAGCATCGAGACCAGCAGTTTCGAGGACAGCGAGCAGACGATCGGCAAAGAGCAAGGTCAACTATAATGAGGATGAAATGGAGGAATGAAGGAAAGCATGAATCAGCTTGCAGGCGGATTATGTGACGAGGGTATGAATTGGAGCATACAATCTATGTATTGAGTATGAATGTAATGTATGCAATATGAGCGGATGATTGTTCAAGCAAAATAGCTTCACAGCTGCTCGCCAAGCATCATGACAACATCCCCGCTGCTGCATCTCGCATGTGAAAGAGTCGCACGTCTTCGACTCCGACTCTGCACAGACACAACACCGCCACAATGATCAACGCGGTGCTGGTCTTCAATAACAACGGGCAACCGCGATTGACGAAGTTCTACACCCAACTTGTACATACAGCTCACCTGTTCCTCGCCTGAAACTGCCCACTGACACTTACCTCCAGGATACAGCAGTCCAGCAGCGCTTGATCTCCGAGATCTTCACCCTCGTCTCCGCGCGTCCAAACAGCGCGTGTAATTTCCTCCCTCTACCACCGCTCCTCGCGCCCGCCTCCGCCTCTTCCTCTTCCGCCAACCCCACGGAGCACAATGACGCTCCATCGCTCGTGACCTACCGCCACTACGCGACACTCTACTTCATCCTCATATCCACGAACACCGAGTCTCCGCTAGCATTGCTCGATTTGATCCAGGTCTTTGTGGAAGCGCTAGATCGACTGTTCGAGAATGTCTGCGAATTGGATCTCATTTTCAACTTCGAGACGCTACATGCTGTACTGGGGGAGATGATAGTTGGTGGTGTGGTGGTGGAGACGGGGCTGGACAGAGTTGTAGAAGGGGTCAGGAGTCAGGGACGTGTTGCGAAGAGACCGGTGAATGAGAGATCAGCAGGAGTTACAGCTGGTATGTGGGTTGGGAGATGAGACAACACGTCACGAAGAACTTCTGCTTGGACCAAAGAATGATTGGGAATCGGACTGGGCGGGGGTAAAACGCATATTTTCACGCTCAGCCGCCACGGTTTACGGCGAAACCGTCGTTGGATTCAGCACCGAAACGACTGCTACGACATCTCACGAACAATGGCCCCACAGTCGTGCCGACACCTTGACGTCGCACTCTGCCACGATCAATGCAGCGTCCGGCGCGCAGTATGGTCAGAACTCGATACAATGGCAGCCTAGCGGCTTTGAGTCGAGTACGGGTCTTTGTCTCATCACAATGGGCCAGGAAGCAGCAGGGGATTCCTTTGTTCGCGCCCCTCGCCACGATGGGTTGCAAGAAGATATTACTTAGAGCTTCGGCGAGCCACTCCTCGGCTCAGAACTTCGACAGATCTACTCAGAGTCAATTCAGTGATTGCAATTCTGGCTGGTCCAGGATTATATTGCAAACGCTCATAGTAGATCTGCCCGACCAAATACAACCACACTTCATCGACATCCATCACATCCTATTGACATTCAAGATGAAGGCGGACAGAGCAAGTCGCCTTTCCCGGGTCATGAACCCTACCGCCATGACCGTTGAAGCTAGGCGGCAAACTGTCAATATCTCGACGCCATCTCCAAGACATTCCTTCATCACTGTTGCCAGTAAGTCACCGGATCAGCTGACAGCGGACACTTTTGTTGTAACGGAACACGTGGTGCCGGCTTCACTCGTGCCAAGAGCTCGAACTAGACGTGCACTTATGAGAATCATCCGACGCTTAACAAACAGACCGCCGTACAGGAGACGCCCTCAACAGCGACGATTTGTACGGATAAGCGTCGCTAGTTCCGCGTCCACACCTGCAACTCCAAGCTCGGCACGCTCGAGACGAGTTGTGTACTCTGTGCACATTGGGCCAGAAACAAAGATGCGAAGCCCAGCACGAGTGAGAAGGACTGTTCATGTCGCTCATCCTCCGTGCGTGGAGGTTCATACGGCAGCTCCGTTGGCAAGTGCGATCGCCACTCCTCTGCCCAGACCAGGAATGCTTCCTCGCACCGATTCTGAAAAGACGCCTTTCACTGCAGAATTTCCAGGACAGGTCAACCCTTCTAACATTGCCAAGCGAAGGGGCGGTCGATTCGTTGTGAGCGCCAATATGCTCGACGGTCTTCAAAGCGAGACAGGGGTCGGACTTGGTAAGACACAGTGGCTACCCTCGACTGATCGAGGTCACTCGATGGCAAATGCGCCTGCAACACGCCTTCCCTACATTGCTTACCAGTCGTCGATGCCAGGAACTCATGGCCTGCCGTCGCTGAGGTCTCCGATACCACGTGCCGATTCTCCTCCATTGACGCCCCTTACAGAAGAGCCAGCTTTGCCTGAGCAGTTCACGCTACCTTACCTCCCATCTCAGCAGCCACTGAGTCCTACTGAGTTCGAGTATAGCCCAGACTACTATGTCCAAGCCTATGATGAGCGTAAGAGAAATGAGCGCGAAAAAGCGCTAGCTGCCTTGGAAGGTAAGCCAACGATCAATGCTGACGAAGAAGAAGATGAAACAGATCTGCCGGTATACCTTCGCGGACTGAGAATTCACTTGCCACGTTCAGCTGACAAACAGCAGAGCCGAGTAGACCCTTCTCCTATGCCACAGCAAATTTGTGAGCCACCGACACCTCCAGCATCAGTGCCGACTTCATCGTCACCGACACCTTCAAGATCCGAGCCGACTTCACCGCCGCTTCGACAACCTCCAGAAGCATTGTCACGCCACACTCGGTTCACGCGCCAATTCGACAATTGCGACTTCGACCACAACCATCCCGAAGTCGCAGGTTCCGTGCGGTCCTTCTCAATCTACTCCACGGACATCGAGGGTCAACGCATCTCCCAGCTACCAGCTCAGCCCTATCGACCTCTACCGCCGCCTCCTCCACCACCTGCGCACCACAGCATTGCTCGAAAACCACTCCCGAGACGTACGTGCCATTACACACCTAATCCTACAGATTCTTACATACAACCAGATGCCGCACCGACATTCATTCGTCAATCCTCGCCCCCAAAACGCGACACCAGAAACGAGGGGCACCAGGAAAGACCTGGTGCGTTCCACACAGAGCCTCGGCCATCATCGTCTTCTCCGCCCATGACCCCGACTTTCACACAGCCCCGTCCTGCGCCTACACCTGCCCCTCGTGTCATTTCGCCAAACACGGCGCAACACCGTCTTGCGACTCTTCATGCACTGGAAGCAAACACCCCTACTCCTGCCACTGCCCCTCGTCCCGTGTCTCCGCCCAGGACTTTCGAGCAGATTACCATGCAGCGTCCAGAGCCTTCGAGACGCCACGCGTTTCATCCATTGCGTGAAGTGTTTTCGCGATGGCAAGCTGGTAAGAAGCAGCTATCTGGAGCGCAGGATAGGCGGTAGGTTGTCAAGAGATCGGGGATGGTGGATGTTTAACGAGCCTGGGGTTGGAGTTTTCGATCAAATGAAAGTGTCGCCTTAGCATAATGTTGGGACATTAAATCCCCTGGAAGTCAGCACGAAAGAATAGAATGAATGTATGACGACAAATTTCACGTTGGAAATATGTAGGAAAACCGAATCGAAAACTCATGAGACATGATGCTAGGATTCTGAAGAGCGAGTTGCGAACTATGGTCTTGTCTGCGAACGAGCTCATTGTCACCTGACCGCTGTGATGTGCTTCCGTCCTTTACGTCTCGAATCGCGTGTGAAGTAACCTCGCGTTCTCTTCCTCCCTCTGTCGCTCTCTCTCCCTTACCTTGCATCAGAATACAGGGTCTGCTCACGCATCATGTAAAACACATAATCAAGATAAAGTATTGATACGCTTCGTCCGGGAAGCATTCAAGGAGAGAGTGGAGTAGTTCCTCAAGTGATGAGGTGGGTGGTGTCAGATGAGACACAACAAGGCAGACCTGACCCGGCCTTCAAAGCTCACACGAAGAGTGAGGGCACGGTAGTTCTTGTCAGTGGTTCCAGATCGGGTAGAATCCAGGGTAGCAAGGGGGGTTGCTTACCTGCCGTGATTGCCTGTGATCACTTGCGGACCTCGTACCTTGAAGCAGGTGACATCGCGTGCCAAGGTTGACTTAGAGAGGAGTCTGGGGGCATCGCCCGTATCAGAAGGAGATTTCTGTGTTGCAAACATCATGGCCGAAAGTCAAAGTAGGCTTCCGCCGTGGAAGAGCTGCAGCCAGGACTCTAGCCTTGCCCGTGATTGTGCATTTGCTCGATAGCTTCGAAAGTGAAGCTCAAGCACGCGCATCTGCGGAACCCCAAGTGGCATCACTTGGCGGTGCCCGCTTCGTTCGCGGGATCGGAGTGTTTAGATAGGCCCTGAAGTGGGCATCCTTGTCCCAGTCAGATGCAGCAGCTTCATTGCGCCTGATGAAGCCCTCTGGGACAGCAATGGCAGCGAGGTCATCAGGGTTGAGTGCGGAAGAGTGTACGTTGCCCTGAGCCTGCGCCCACAACAAGGTCTCCGTCAATGAGTCAGTGTCGTTGCCGTTCGGGGAGTTGGCAACACCATTAATGAGTTGGTGAGGCCTGGGCGGGCCGTGTGTCTGAGGTACGAGATGGAAGTGACCGGGATCGCACAGTCTGTCGAAATGTGGACCGTCAGTCTGGTCGAGCGGACTGCGGGCAGGCGAAGCCGTGGGCTTCAAGCCCTTACGAGCGCTGTTTTGCACATCGTCCAGTAGCTCCATTAGTTCTTGCCCAACAGCTTGAACACCTTGCTCATGACTGCACTCTACTTCCGGAACGTAGTGTGTCCTCATGAAGATATCGACCTCCGAAGGAAGCGGGCGCCAGTAGTTCTCGAGAGGACACGGCTCGATGAAGTTCCTCTGCTGCCAATTCACGGTGACGTTTCCCTGCACACGGGGCACGGCAGGGAAACGTCTGTGAAGAATATCTGTTGCAATCCGTCCATCCCCTTCGTATTTTTCCTCCTCCCTGCATGGCCAATTGGAGATGGCATGCACTGCCTCATGAGGTGCGTGGAAAGCGTTGAAGATGGTCGGCATGCTTAGAACCGCCGAGCGGCCGTCCGCAAAGGTGTAGCCGGTGCGTCTGGTGGGATGAACAACGAATGGGCCGCGCGGGATGTGGCAATGGCTGGTGTTACGACCCGGGGAAGGCTTAGATGGACGCTGGGAGCGCTCCTTCCGAGCTTCATCGACGGCGGAACGCCAATAGGGGTCGAGTTTGAGGGCCATGCGGATAGCTTGTGGGTGGGACCAGATTCAGGATGGTGATACTTGGTCAACCACACCACGGTCCGTTGATAGTCACCCTCCGGGCGCTTCTCTCCACGAACAATGAGCGACTTTTGGATCAGCGACGTGTTTTTGTCGCTTTTCCCGCGAGAAAAAGACCGGGTGTGGCTTAGAAAGGTCGATCATAAAGTTTCCCTCGTAATCAGCCACGATGTGCGCGTTGTTTGAAGTTGCTCGAGAGCAAATAGTGAGCTGGGTCGAGTTGTTCAGGGGCAGAGTTGCCTGAACCCAAAGATGGCCTGTTATTGTTGTTTGGCAACAGTGAATTCCGTAGGCAGGTAGGCTGCAATGGGCGCGCCGCAAGCGCAACAAGTCGATGTTAGTCTGACTAGACGACGGCGCCAGCAAGCGAGCGGCTCCCCAGTTCAAGGTGGTAATGCTCTGGGTACGGCTGATGGGACGGTAGGGAGTGGTGATCGGCTTCGGCTCAGCGGACGATGGAATGTTGGTTGAAGAAGTGGAAAGGCGAGTGCAAGATATGGTTACAAGGTCAATCAATGGAGTGAGGTAGTCAAGCAAGATTGTGGGCATGTTTGCCGTGCGAGAGTGAAGCCTGCGTGCCACTCTTTCGCTTTCATTCAGTCTTCGACTTGTCACGCACGCGCTGTGCTTCGGAAAATTATTCCCAGCTTCTGATCATTCGCAGACGATACGTGCATCCCAGCACGGCGCGAGTGCGACAATACACTGCTTTCCGAGCGTCCAGATGTAAGCTGTGATGAGCATGTGATGAGGCGCATATCATCTTGTCGATCGAACCACCACCTTCACTTGGATGTTGCAGCCACGCCATTTCTCCGACGTGGCTGATGAACAGATAACAGATCCATGACAGGACGTGCTCCGGGGAGTGCCCTGTGATTTGCAGGGTGTACGAATGGGGTAGAGACAGTGACAACGGACAGCGGCTTGAGGATGGATGGAGAAGGAGAGCAGTGGACTGATAACGACGAGATGGTCGGTCGTGAGGAGTGATATTTGGGTTGGCCCCTAGGGAGTGGTTGTTGCGAGAAGAAGAGCAGGGTGAGGTCGGGAGATGATGTGAGATGAGGCAGCTCGGATCGGCGCCAACGCCAACGCCAAAACGGAAAGCACGATGCTTCCAGACGCGTCGCTCCTCCATCACCGACGTGACTGCTTCCGAAGTCGATGCGCTTTGCAAGTAGAAGAGAAGACGACGTGAACGTGGTAGGTGCGAAGAGCGTCATGGCGTGCATATGCAAGGTGAGGTTCATGTTTGGTCTGGTGGCGACGACGACGGTGGATCCGGATCATGCAAGAAACAGGGAAGACATCCTTGCATGCCCCCAGCACCACCACATCATAAGCCCGCGCGCTGCCCGCCGCCTTCTTCGAGCCCACTGGACGCACTCCTCCTGCTGGGCGGAGTGCGTCCAGCAAGAACTCCCCCATCGACTGCGAGTGGGACAGCGCGCCCGGCGAGAGTGCTGGTCGAAGCAGACGTCGACCAGATGCATCGGCACGGCCATCTTTCCACGGTGCATTCTGGTCGCACTGCACTCTCCCGCCGACGGGACTGTCCTCTCACGCTGCTTCAGCGCAGCTCGCAGCCCGTCGCGCGACTGGCTGCGAAGCGCCGGCAGCTTTCGCCAGACGAGGTCCCGTGCCTGGCGACACAAGCGCGTTTCCAATTTTGGACCGCGCGCGACAATGAATGTTCAACAGCGAAACGCCTATTCACACGGCCATACAAAGACCTACAATGCGCATGACCGTCATTGACAATGGTACGTCGCCTCGCTGCTTTATTGTGACTTTATTGTGGTCGCCATTGTGCGGCCACCGCCCCTCGACTCTCCATACTATGCCACCACTCCATCATCTTGCATCGCTTTCCTATTCCATACCATTTCCTGCATAGCGCGGCACCTGCATTCACTGCTTCAACACTCTCTTCACTACGCCTGGCGCGTATCTACTGCGTTCCTTCAGCATCGATCGAAGACATCACGGACCATCACACACACTGAACCCGCTTTCCAGGCCAACCCGACTTTCGCTGTTGGCGCCAGCCATGGCACCCTCAGAGAACCAACAGCAACTACCACATCCTGCGCCTCCATCTCTTTCCGCTGGCGACCATGAGTCGCGCGACTACTACGCTGCACAGGATGCATCACGACCTCCCTCACAAAACGAACCTTACCCGACACCTTACCTCGGTCTTCGAGCTAGACTCTCGCAGACATGGATCAATCGCTGGACCATTCTACTCCTACTCGTACTAATCCGAACCATATTCGCCATCGCAAGCGTGGACGACAATCTTGGCATTGCCCGAAAGCAAGCCCTGAGCGCCTGCACTTCCGTCGAAGATGTGGGCTCCGCAATGGCGAGCATGCCACACTACATGAGCTCAGGCTTGAACGAACTTACCGCTGAGGGCATCGAAAAAGCCATCAACGGACTGATGCAAATGCTCGTTCTCAGCATCACCGGAGTCGAGGAAATCGTCGTCTTTGTCATCAACATGCTGACACAAACCTACGTCTGTCTAATCACCCTTGCTATCAGCGGCGGTCTACATGTCGCTGTCTCAGTAGCCGAAGACGTGGGTGATTTCCTCAACTCTACCGCCAAAGACGTGGGAAAGGGGCTCGGTGATGTCGCCGAAGATTTCCAGAAAGCTATGAACGCTTTCATGGACGGAATCAACGACATAGGCAATTTCTTTACTGGAGACAACGACAAGCCTCCGACCGTCAATTTCCAAGACGCAATCCAGAAACTGGACAATCTACAGCTACCTAGCGGCTACGACCAAGGCCTCCAAAATCTGAACAAGTCTATTCCGACATTTGCGCAAGTCAACAATCTCACGCAAACCGCCATCAGGTTTCCCTTTGAGGAGGTCAAGAAGCTGCTGAATGATAGCTTGCCAAGGTACACGATGAATCGCTCAATGTTCCCAGTGCCCGCCAAGGAGCGGCTCACATTCTGCTCCGACAACAACGGCGTGAATGACTTCTTTGATGACCTCGTCAACATCGAGCGCCTAGCAAAGAAGACCTTCTACGCCGTACTTATCACACTGGCAGTATTGGCTATGGCGCCCATGGCTTGGCGCGAAATTCGTCGTTGGCGCATGATGCAAGAGAGAGCCAAAATCGTCAAAGATGAAGCACATGACTCTATGGACGCCGTCTATCTTGTTTCACGACCATACACTTCTGGTTTTGGCCTCTGGATCTCGAAGAGATTCTCTGCCCGCCGCCGCGCCTTAGTACGCTGGTCGGTCGCGTACGCAACCACCGTGCCCGCTCTGTTCGTCCTATCGCTGGCGATCGCCGGCTTGCTATCTTGTCTGTGTCAATACATTCTCCTGCAAGCACTCAAGCAGGAGATACCGAAACTGGAAAACCAGATTGTCGGCTTCACAGACAAGGTCATCTTTCAGCTCAACAATGCTAGCGAGCAATGGGCTGTTGGTACAAATGCGATCATCAACGACACGAACACCGATATCAACAACGACGTCTTTGGTTGGGTCAACACAACCACAGGTGCCGTCAATAACACTTTAAATGTGTTCGTCGACGAGATGACTGGCGCCCTCAACACAACTTTCGGAGGCACCGTCTTGTACGATCCGATCTTGGAAGTGCTCAATTGCCTGATACTGTTGAAGATTCAGGGCATTCAAAAAGGCCTCACGTGGGTCAGTGAGCACGCAAAGATCGACATCCCGCAACTGCGGAACGACACATTTTCACTTGGCACTATGGCCAAAGTTGGTGATGCTGAATCCAGTATTCTGGCAACTGGACCCGACGGAGCTGCAGCTGATGCGATCAGCGACGCTGTCCGATTCGTCATTCGGTCTCTTGAATCCGCAATACGACAAGAGGCCATCATTTCCACCTGTGTCCTTCTCATCTGGGTCATCATTGCATTGATGGGCCTAGGCAGGGCAATTTTCCTCATGTGTGGAGAGGACACCGGTTCAGGCATCACGGCCACCCCGAAACTTCGGCGCTCCTCATCGTCCGCCAGGACAGAAAAGGTCGAACTCAAAGAGTTTCCACGATATGAGCGAGCTGCCAACGTCACCCAACCAGGCAACCACCAGGCCAACTTGTACAATGGCCAGTCCTACACCTTGACTCCAGCCCCAATGCCGGTGCTCAACAGGAATCGTGCAACCCCTGTTCCTGCCGGCTCGCCACCACCCTTGCGATCGAATCCATTCTTTAGTTCGAGCAGTTTCGAACCTCCTCAGCGCAATCCATTCGCAGATCCTGGACGTTGACCCGCTGTCATGAGTGAGTGTCAACCACACACCTGACCTTTTCCTCCTCCCGTTGTCGACCGGGAGGGTTCTGCGTCATTCGTGTGGCATACGATCCGAGCTCTGCGACTGCGACTTGAGACTTTAAATATGCTCAGACTCGAGGGGTGCTTCCGGTCTCTGTTTGTCCTGCTGCACGTTTTCCTCAAAACTGTGCGCGGACAACAGGCGCATCATGCAATCTCCCTTTCGAGGCAGATTGGAATTTGCGCAAACTGCGCTTCTTTTGTGAGCGTTCTTGAGTTGTGCTCTGCACCTGTTCTATTTTTTTCTTGTTTAAAAAGAAAAGCAGCGGTGCTGAAACCCCTTTACTTCTTTCCTCACCAGATATACCAGAAGATGCAAGATACCCTGCTTCAAAGGAGACATCACTCTCACTTTCACTGGACGAACTTCGACATCTTTCCGACGAAATCTGGAAGCTTGCGAGAGAATCACCACCAAAGGCGTTGCATTTCACTTTGGTTAGTCGCCCTCGTCGCGCCATTCCATCCCGCTCCTCTGTTGTTCGACCTGCTACATTGCAAAGATACCTTGGGAACGCTGTGTTCTTCGGCGAAACGAAATCAGAAAAAAAGAATTATTTCCTCCAGAATTCCGCTCAATCGACCCTTGCTGGTACTGGATCTTTTCCAATCGACCTTCTCTTCTCCTTCTTGCTTGCTTGTCTCATCCTGTCGTGGCTTGCCCCGGGAGAGCAGCACAAGAACTGCAGAAAGTTACAGCTCCATTCGGCCAAAAGCAGATGCAGCAACGAGGTCCATTTCGAACGCCGAATCATCTGAGAAAATCTTTTTCATTCAATCGTCCCGAAACACACCCCAAGAAGCACTTTTCGACAATGGGAGTTTCAAGCGTCACAATCATGAGCCGGACATGTGTTGTCATGGCTTAATATTACAAGCTGCATGGCATGAGTAGCTTTTCCGATCTTCGTGAGAGGGAGCTGCTTGCGTATGGTCGCTCTTTCGCCGACTGTTGTTGCTGAACCTTCCTTGCTGCCATTTTGCGCAGGATTGTTGTTCGATGCCGACATGTCTTGAGCTGACTGATAACGAGCGTGTGTTCCGATCCCACCACCCCCATTACTCTCTTCACGAGAAACATACCTTTATTGGATCGTTGAACACTAGAAAGAGATGCGTATGCTGTGCGGTTTTTTTTTTTTCTTTTACGGGAAAAGTACGAGATTCTTGTACGGAAAAAGTAAAAGAAAAGCGATCTGGTTATCCTTTTCCCTGTAGACAATTGAAACCTCTTCGGAGGTTTCTTTATTTTGTCTGGATCTGGGTTGGTTCACCCCTAAAGTGTCCTCCATCTTTTTTGGAGTTGACGCTGGGAATCTGTTGCTCGTTTGCAATTTTGGCGAAAATCGAGGCCTAGTCCCAGAAGTCGTTCTTTTATGGCTCGATGGGACTTTCGAGGAGACAGAACGCTGTACGTAGCTGGCAATATTGAACTCATCACTCCTCGATATCTCTCGCTGTGTTTCAATTTTCCATATATTTTGCTTGCTATTCTCATTTCATGCATGTCGTTGCTCTCGTCTAAAACACAGAATCAAGTAAGAGACACTGGCGAGAATGCCGGGTAGTCCTATCGCTAAGCCTACCAGTCCTGTCAACCCCATGCCACACAACCCCAGCGCCGTCTCGCTAACCATGCGGCCATAATCTGTGCAGATTATACTATGCCTAGCTTCCCGTCTCGGTTTCCTGTGACAAAAATTAGTGGGCCGGACACAATCAATCAATCGATTTCAGAAAACACTTACAACACCAGGTTGACGACCCTCAAGACCACCAGTAATCTTCCCCTTCAACTTCCTAATCCCAATAATACCTTCATTCTTGGCGAATCGCAAATTACGGGCTGGTCTCCATTGCATCCTACCGCGATGCTTACGTTCTTCTGTCTTCTTGTTCTGTTTGTTCAAATCTTTCTGTGACTGTGCAGTGTCTGTAGTACCTGCGGTCCATCCAGATTCCATGGTTCCGATAGACTGTCTCCCAGAAGGACTCGAAGGGCTTCCATGCGTAGCATCGACAATACCGAGATCGGAGTCGCTGTCTTCCTCCTCTTCGTCTGCGGTGACGATGCCATCGTTATCAGGATCTTCTCCCTCGCGCAAAGGTGGATCGACACCAGGTTCGCGTCGCTTCTTGCCATTCTCATCCATGTAATTAGCGGGATCGTCGCCGAAAGCGCCACTCCAGTCTGTGCCGGTCTTGGTGAGCCATCGCGTCTTCTCGTCCTCGGATGCCTCTTTCAAGATATCGCGACCCTTGGTTAAGGATTCGTCGTGCATCGTCTGGACACGCTCAGGCAATTCCTTCTCAACCTTTTGCGTTCGTACACCTTCCGCAAGACAAGCTTCCCAAGATTCGAAGGTCTCGCGCGAGTTGTTGTCGAAGACGAAAGCCTCGTGGGACTCGTCCATTCCTGCTTTGAACATACCCGCAAATTGCAGGCGCCCAACCTCCTTCAGGTCTTCCAAGCCGGGCAGGTTGCCGCCAGCGATCATCTCGTCGGTGAAGTAGTTTTGTGTCAGACGTGACGATGCAGCAGTCTGATAGATGGGGATGTCTATCTCCTTTTCTTGGTTGTCCACAAGCTCATGCAACCAAAGTACGGCATATGCGTCTGCCTTGCGCTTGTTGGCGATGTGAAACTCAAACACAACCGGCGATCTGTAGCGGTGCTTCACTGGAAGTCGGATCAACTCATTGTGGTTGTGCTTTTGTGCTTCTGCCATATCCCAGTAGTAGCCAGACATACCACCCTCGTTTACAGCATGGCAGGAAGAGCGTCCGATCTTACCAAGGGACCCTCCAGTGCGCATTTTCAGTCGAGCGTGATGCGTGTAATCCTTGGCGGCGATTCTGGCTGAAGAGAAAAGGAACGTGCCAACATCCCATCCGAGTTGCGGCGGTGGCAGGCGAGTCTCAACAGAGCGGAAGAGCAGTGAGATGCGAATACGGCCAAATCCAATGCCTCCATCAAGCGGGTACCATCTCGTGACCTGACTGCTTGTCTCCAAGATGTCGGAGAGTTTCAATGGCACGACGCCGAGGATAGGGTCGTGCTGACGGTTGCGCTGATCCCGCACAGTGACAGTGACGATGGCGCTGCGCCAATCCCTGATGAAGCGTTCTGTACCAGCATTGAAGATGGGCTTACTGCTGACCGCCTTGGCTCGCGTGCGATAAATGAGCTCATCGTTGAACAGGATCGTGCAGTAGGATGTCGGTAGGTCTGATCCTTCCTCCTCGGTCGATTCGCCATATGACTTCGCGGGCTCATACTCGCGCCCGTTGCGGCTTCCGTGAGTGCCCTTCACATTCTCGAGCTCGAGATTGACAATCTGATGAACGATGATTGAGCACACGCCACTTGGCCACAGTGGGTCCGGAGGTGTGTGAGCGACAGCATCATCCGTGGCGGTATTGGTAACCCCCTTTTCGTCCTGAAGTTCCGGGTTGTCACGCAGAGTCTCTGGCAATGCTTTGTTCTTACCATCAGTGCGCAGATCAGGACGGAACTGAGGTTTGCCAAAATAGCCAACCTCCCAGTGCAGCTCTCCTGGCATAGACGAGCCTTCGTCCATACCTGCGAGTTGCGACACTTGTGGGTACATCTTTCCAGGATGCTGAATCATCTTTTGCATGCTCAATTCGACCTTGCCAACGATATCATCAGCAGAGTGTCGGTCACTGTCCCAAAGCTCGACGCTAAGATTCTCATCAGCCTTGATGAGTTCAGGCGTCACCAGTAAAGCGGTAGTCTCTTCCCAGACCGGGTTCAAGTCGTCGGTAATGACTCTCGTGCAGTACATTGGCTTTCCGTACTTGGAGAACGAAAGCGTGATGTACGGGTCGCTGCCACCCCATTTGGAGCCTCGCTTGTCTTGCTTGCTCAATCCAACGGCCTTATGAATGCGGATCCACAGCACACCCAGTGCCTGAACATCCTTGGTAATGTCGTCGCCCTGTAACATTGCACGCATGTCCAAAGACATAGACTTTGGCGCGACGTACATGCTTGCCGCTGCACCGATAGCATAGTTGACGAAGTTTGAGATCAGTGGAAGGTTGAGGATGTTCACGCCCTTCTGGACCATCGGTATGCAGCCTGCAGACACGTGAGGTACACCCATCAGGGTGAAGGTCAGCGTCTTAAGGAATGGTGGTTCAGGTGTCATGGCCAGTCGTAAGCGTACTGTTCCCACAAGTTCTTGAAGTTCGACGAAAATGGGCAAAGGGACCCCAAAGAGCCCTTTAATGCCAAGATAGAACACCAGTTGCATGTGCATGTTTCGTGCTCGATCGCTAGCCCTTTTGCCGGATGGCAGGGCGTGGTATGCGAAGCTGATCTCGAGGTTGTAGTAGTCACCGCCTTCTTCATCAGCGGCTGCCTCTTGTGGGTCCTTGTTCTTCTTGTTCTCCTCATGGATTGCCTTCTTCATGTCCTTCATATGATCGTCTGGCAATGCTCGCAAGCTGAGGATACGGATCGGGTTGCTGCCTTGGTCGATCTCGGCGACTCTGACGTTCTCGATAACACCCGGCACTGAAGCTTGCATGACATCCTCGAGCGTGTCGGCAACGGCCTGAAACATATCGGGATTCACAAGACCCCAGACGATTCCAAGCAGGGTGTTCATCCATTCCACACTCTCAGGCAGAAGATTGGCGGTCGCGGTCTCGCCGCGAGTCTTTTCCGAATCCCACTCGACTTCTCTACCCGATCGAATGAGCTCCTTGATCCACAGCCAAATGCCGCTCGACACGCAGGCTCCCAGAGGGATGAGGCCAATATATCTGCCTCCAAAAACACGTCCAATAAGTACGATTCCGAAGAAGACACCCACGATCAACCACAAACCACGCCCTTCCAATTTCTTGAACATAGCCTCATAGCTGACGCTCGGTGTGGGGTGGAACAGAATGTTCGTCTTTTCGCCGTGAATCGGCACATCGCTCGTGGAGCCCTCTGCGATGGGGTCAGGTGGTGCGGTAATGTCTTGCATCTCCTTGTACTCCGCGCCTGTCTGCGAAGGGTCGGTCTTCACTGGTGTATCCTTGCCCAGGTTCGCGTTAGGAACCGATAGGTGTGGATTGACAGCGCGGTCTCTGAAGGCATCGTTCACGTCCTCAATGACGACCTGCTTGCCGGTCGTTGGATCTGTGACTGTCTTCCCCTTCGCTGGGTCCTTCTTCTCGTTCTTGTGAGGCCTGACCTCTGCTGCGCCGCCAGGGGTTTTCCTCTGATCGATTTGCTTGTCCCGCTCCTTCTTGTCCTTGTCCAAGCTCTCCACGAACTGCTTAATGTTCGGGACCTTGTTCTGGCCAGAATAGTGCCCGCCAGGCGCATGCTGCTGAAGAGGCTGCTGGTCCGCCATGGTGTCCTCGAGCACACGATCTTGTGCTTGCCACCTCCTGCCTGCCTGCCCGCCTGCGGTTAGTAGTCAGAGTCGAGAGGAGCTGTCAATGAAAAGGGCAGGAAGGTGGGTGAAGAAAGAGCTAGGGGCATATGTAAGGCAGCAGTGGAGAGGAGTGAGCTCAATGGCAGCGTAATGGCTTGCCGGTCGCTCCAATCAAGGAACAAAGAGTGCGATTGTGCGTGGTCCTGCGGCCATGATATACAAACGTCATCCCGCAGCAAGTTGCGCGGAACTCTGCACATCTGGTTCGCGTAAAAATGCTTGTGGTACGTCGCACAGGATCACCTGCGATTTCGCTGCAGATCGCGAATATCGAGCTGCTGTGTGGCTGTGCGCTCCTCACGTTCGCGTTGAACACCAAGACGCATGTCGACAGTGAGGACGAAGTCGCGTCGCAAGCTTCACATTCGTGACGCACTCTTGGCGAAACGCGTCCAGGATTGATCTGTCCGCCAAGCTGGGGTATGACTTCACACGGAACAGTATACAAGATTTTGAGAATGAACACCGCATGAGGGGTACATGATTACTACAGGTCATCCAAGTCTACAAACCGAATGGAGTCTCTTGATATGCTGCCCTTGGTCACAAGATCACATTGCCTTAACTATAGCCAACGGATGGCCTGGAAACACTCTGGAGAAGTTGCAAAATCTCGTGCATGTGCCCTTGCGGTGTACATGTTCAGTATTCTTAGCTCATGTTGTGCTCTTTTGCACGACCAAGTCTGTTACTTGCTACCTACTGAGCGTCCATCAATACCTTGGTCCAATCGAAGGCATCCCATCGTTTCCTGAAGCTGTCCAACCTTCTGTCGTGTCGCTCCCATCTGCCCTGCTTCTTGATGATTTCAGGGCCCTTGTCAAGCATGCCCCCTAAGACTTCTCTTGCAAACAAATCCCCTTTTGGCCAGCGCCGCTCGTCTTCAATGACGTGCCCCATTCCGCCATCGAGCGTGTAGAAGACATGGAAATATGGCATCTCCTTGACCATGGCTCTTCGGAACGCTGCTTTCCCGTAGCCGGGCTTCTGCGTGAGAGCGAGCGTGTCGATAATCGGCTTATGCTGACTCCATTGCTCATCCGAGGCGAGCACTGCTTCCTTGAAGTAAGCCGGCGCATTCTCAGCAAGGTGATGGGGCAGAGGTACTGCGATCAGTGCGGCGTGACCTTTCCGGCTATGCATGAAAGCAGCGTTTTCGTAGAAGATGACACTCTTGTCCTGAGCATGGTAGAAGCGAGTAAGCGACTTCATGAAATTCCTCATCTCTTCCCACTCATCGTCGTCGCATTCCAAGAGATTCAGGCGGTGTTGTAGTGGAACAATCACAGCGCCATACTTGGCGAGCTCTGGCTCGGTGGCCAGTGTCAGATAAGTGCGAGTTGCTAAACTTACGACGGGAGCAACAGGCGGCGTGTTGGACTCCTCGTGGTAGCACAGCGGACAATGCTCCAAGATTCTCTGCATCTTCTGGAAATCCCCAACTGCCGCATTGCGTAAATTCGTGTCTGACTTGACCACCTTCTTGGACAAATTGGTGGCATTGTCATCCATATAGTCGAGGTCGTCCTTGAACTTGCCGTCTTTGGCGATGCGTTCTGCGAACGCTCGCCCTTCACCGCCTTGCATACCGCGAGTACGCTTTTCCTGTTTCACCATATCTTCAATGGACATGTCCTCATTCTCCTGCACAGTGCCTCGCTCGCGCGCGCGCTTGCCAGATAGAGCTGTGACTTCACCCGAACGACCACCTGCCAGCATGCGATTCTCGGCTTGATTTAGCACGATCACATCAGGTTGTGCCCGATTGGCGAGACTCGCCGCTTCTGCAATGTTGTACTCCTCCTCTAATTGTGCTGCATTTGGAGCATTGCGTAGCTTTGCTTTCACCATTTGCGCCTTCAGCCGGTTTAGTGCAGTCTGATCAAGTGGAACAGTCTTGGAAGACGGTTCGACTTCACTCGCGATCCCTCCTTGTGTCAAGTCTGGAACAGAATCATTCTGATCTTTTGACCCCCGATGTATGCCTGCCTGCATCTTCCGCTCCTGGAATAGCTCGCCAGATGGCTTCTGCAATCCCACGTACTCTTTGCCATACATCTTCCGTCGGTCCATTTCGCGCTCTTCTTCGCGAGCATTGTCGAAAAGCCGTAGATCTCCGTAGGTCTCCTCGGCAATGTCGTCCACTTTTCGCCCAGTCTCCTCGGACTTCCGATATACTCCTTTCAGCTTCGTCATACGCCATGAGCTTCCGCCATCACCAAAAGTATAGTTGACATCGTGCTGAGCAGGCTCATCTTTCACTGCTCCCGCATCGCCTTCCCCCTCGTCCGAATCGAAGTCCTTTTGCAAGTCTGCAAGGTGTTGATTGACCTGTGTTTCGGTGACCTTGAAGTCGTGGTTGTCCTTTGCCCCAACAAATTGGCTAGGAGGTGATTGCGGCCGCTTTCTTTGCACATAATCCACGTCGAGTGCAGATGGCTCCTGCATCCACGAATCACGCTGTACTTTGGTGCTCTGGTTCTGGTCGCGCTGATCTAGGATGTCTTCCTCGGGCGGAGCGGTCGCAGCTTCCTTCTCAACCCACGCATCCTCGCCATCGCTGTCAAAGACTTTTACCTCGTCGCGATCCTTTTTCTTGTCGTCGCGAGGAGAGCGGCTGCGATGCTTTTTTCGGTGTCTATCCGAATCTCCATGATCGCGGTCGCGATGGCGCCTCTTGTGGCTCCTTCGCGATTCGTCTTCCTCATCTCTGCGGCGATGCCGCCTTTCTCGGTCCTCGTCTTCGTGGTGTCTGCTACGATGCGATCGGTGGTGGTGACGATGTCGGCTCTCGCGGTGCGTCTCTTCTTCCTCGTCGCGCGACTTGCCTGCAGCCAACTGCTTTTCGAAATCTTCGAGACTGGCGGCCATGGTTAGGGAAAGGTGTGGAAAAGTTGTTGGCTTCGGGACCTGCGTTTCATTTATCGAGACGATTGGCGAGCAATGACGAAGTGAAGCAGGTCCCCGCAGAAAGTTCCGCCTTCACATGCGCAGACTTCTGAACTTACATTCTGCATACCACATCCAACATCAGCGAGGAGACGCGCGCAAATATGGCGACGCCGTGCACGATTGTGTGTGTTGGCATGGCTGGCTCCGGCAAGACGACCTTCATGCAGCGCATCAACGCGCATTTGCACGCGCAGTGCCAGACGCAGAAACAGCAGCAGCCGCCATACGTTGTCAACCTCGATCCAGCAGTACGCAGTGTGCCATTCGACTCGAACATTGATATTCGCGACTCTGTCAACTACAAGGAGGTCATGAAGCAGTACAATTTGGGTCCGAACGGCGGCATCCTGACCAGCCTGAACCTCTTCACCACAAAGATCGATCAAGTCATGGCCATCCTCGAAAAGCGCTGCCTACCGCCTGCTGCTGCCTCTGCTGCCTCTACCTCGCTCTCACTACCTAGCCACATCATCGTCGATACGCCGGGCCAGATCGAAGTCTTCGTTTGGTCCGCCTCGGGCAACATCCTCCTCTCTTCGCTAGCCTCGAGCTTCCCTACAGTCATCGCATACATCATCGATACCCCGCGCAGCACGGAGAACACCAGCACATTCATGTCCAACATGCTGTATGCCATCAGCATTCTGTACAAGACGAAATTACCCATGGTGCTCGTGTTCAACAAGACTGATGTCAAGTCCGAGGAAGGCGCCGTGGAGTGGATGAGGGACTTTGAGTCTTTCCAGGCTGCAGTGCAGCGCGAGGAGGAGGATCAACGTGAAGGAGGTGGCTACATGGGACCTTTGCTGAACAGTATGAGTTTGGTGCTGGAGGAGTTCTATAATCACCTCTCCGTGGTCGGCGTATCAGCCATGAGCGGTGATGGCATAGATGACTTCTTTGAGGCTGTTGAGACCAAGCGACAGGAATTTGAGAAAGACTACAAACCTGAGTTGGCTCGGCGACGGCAGGAAGCCGAGGAGCAAAAGGCTCAGATCCGAGACAAGGAAGTTAGCCGCATGATGAAAGACATGAGTGTATCTTCGAAGGCAAAAGGCACCGGAAAATATGCCAAGAAAGACGAGCCAGAAACAGTCAGTGATCTGGAGGACATGGAGGAGGATGAAGAAGACGACGAAGATTCCGACGCTCGGGACGATGAACAAGAAGACGTCGACAAAGCTTTCGAAGAGAGCTTCAAGGCTCGATACGAAGCAGCTCTCCGAGACCAAGGCCCGGATGCAGCAACAAAATCTGCTGCAGACTACATTCGATCAAGTCAGCGTTGAAACGCTAGTGACAATGCATCGCGAGTGCAACCAGGTGGCTGATGCTCTGCCAACTGCTGAGGTGCTATCCTCACCTATAAGTACTATCACATCAGTAACTTTTGGCGATGTTGCAAGTGTTGCAACGTGATATAGGGCACTCGGCGTTGGCGGAACTACGACTCGGGCATGGAGCTTTGAATTCAGCAACGCTGCATTCGCCAAAGTCAACTCGCTGGACGCCTCCCCGAAGGGACCCTTGTCCTGGCGACAACCACGAATACTGCCGTGTGATCACGCTCGAGGAGCTATGGCCATTGATCAAGCTCATGGGTAACAGCTTTTCCACAAGACAAGCTCGGAGAGCTCGCGTGCTCCTGCTTGATATCGTCTCTCTGCTATCGCTGGGCCCAGGATGCCTGCGACACAACGAGCAAGACTTATGTATCAGCTTCCAGCGCTCTGAAGCTGTGCTGGTTGCACAAACTTGGCCAAAGCACGACCTCTACTATACTCGAGACACCCTGCCACTTGTTGTCCTGCGAATCATGGTAGCTGTCTTTCCCATCACCGTGATCTCCATCGCTGTGGTAGGAGCACATGAATCGCTCCCTAATCAAAGCAGAAAAAACAGGTCTATGCACATCCAGCGAAATCGATAAATTTGTACACAGCAGAACCATCGATGACCGGCATGTTCGCGATTAAAGATGCAAGCGGCCGATAGGCAGATAGGGATTGGTCTTCAACGTTTCTGCACGGTTCGTGCGAGCCACGTTCGTTTGCAACTGCCTCCGCTTCGCTCCCCGTGCCAACGGTCGAGGCAAAGCCTTGAAGAAAAAGATAGAATGGAACCTCAAAAGCCACCCGAGCAAAAGAAGGGGGACCAACCGAATCAACGTTTTTTTCCACGACTCGTTCATCACCCCAATTGACTTTTTTTATGCTTGTGAGCTTGTTGCTACGTTGTCAACGAAACAACCTGGCGGGTTTTATCTCAGTCCTTGCATGTTGGCATTGTGGCTCAATCACATTTTAATGTCAGGGAATTATCACCAGGTTGGAAATAATGCACATGCACGACTGTCTATATGCTCCACGATGCTACCTTTCTTCTAATAATTAAACTTCTACAACCCTAAGAGTCGCCGTTGTATTGGACATGACATATGCGCAAAAGCACAGACGGGGGAAAGAGTTACGGGTTCCTGCATTGTGCGACACAAAAGCCAACGACTCTTTGTTCGTGCGCACGCACAGAGACTCTCTCTCTTTGCACTCCGCTCCCTCTGTCGGTCTGTTCCCCTCCAACGCTCCCCGGAACCAAAGAAATCGAACCCTTGTACATACATCATGCACGCGATCTTTCGATCTAGTGCCGATCTTCGCTTCGGGTTCGCTGTGGCTTAAGATTTGTTCGTCGTTGGTTTTGGTCTGTCGCGCACACACTGCACGGTGTTGGTGTGTCTTATGCTAATCTGTCCTCTTCTTCGTTCGATGTGAATCAAATGACTCTCCTTACTTGTCGGTTTTCTCTGTTACGGTTTCGAAGTCTTCGAGATTACTTGTTCTACTCTGTACGGACGATCGATAGCCCATCACAATGTCAATTCTAGATCGCATCGCGATGCATACTATCTGGTAAGGCAGTGACGAAATGTGTTGCAATGTGAACGTGTGTAGTAGGGCCTAGACAGAAGAGCTATGTGATGAGGCGTAAGTTGTATTGCGGTCGCACCTATCACACTGGGAATGAAACTCGAAGCTTACAGAGGTATAATAATTTTTGTTAAGGTCGTGGTTGGATAGCTTGGTCCAGGGTTCATTGCAGGACATATGCAGGTAGCTTCCGAGTAAAGAACCCTGGAAATAGCTCACATCAAAAATCTGACTTCACGACTCCTCTACATGTGGATGTGGAGGTGGAGGTGGTGATGGTGGAGGTGGCTGATGGACATAACAGAAATTGGGAAACAGTGGAGCAGAGTATCGAGAGGACAATGTGAATTGTCATTTTTGACGTGGCGGTAGTAACTAGAAGAGGAAGTCCAGCAACCTCGATGAAGCTACAAAATTTCCACCACAAATCATGCCTCGTCATTAGACTCAGTGTATCTCATCTGCTCGTGGCGATTGTACTTCTGGCCTCGAAGTCTCTCTCGCTTTTGCGCGTGTGCATTGCATCTTCATATTCGTAACAGAACAGAATTAGTCTCACAGGTCATGTGTAAGACACTTCGGCTATCCTCCCAGCCATCGACGGCCTGCGCGTCCGTGTACCAGGACAGTCCCTGTATTTTGAAGCTGCCCGCTTGAAGTCAAAGACTCCTACCAAACCAAACCTGTGGGTATATCGCTTGAAAAACAATCCAGTGTACTCGAAAAACTAAAGCGAAGTCCGACTTAAGAGGAACTCTCATCAGGCGTTTCTTGAGAGGGGCTGCGCGATTGCTGCGTCTTCTCTGTCATACGTCGGTGTTCGCTGGCTGCCAAGGCCAAGCTGTTGAGCCCGTTGCTGAGACCCGGACTCGGGTAACTGTAATGCAGTGTCTCGGGATCGATCATGGGTGCGATTGGTGGTACATATTCGAGAGACGAGGCGAGGCTGGCGCGATGGAGTGGGGGCCGAGTAGTCAGGTCCGGCATGGCCATGGGCAGACTAGGCACTGGCCCGCTGTCCATGGTGTTGAGGAAGTACGGCCCTGAGCCCGGAAGCATCATCTGATCGATGGGCATTGGTGGCGGGATTTGTTGAGCTTGCTCGATGGCTTGCACTGCTTGTGCCTGTGCAGCTTGGGCTTGGGCCTGGGCTTGCTGCTCGGCGAGTTGCTGCTCTACGGCAGCCTCGAGTGCAGGCTCGGACTTCACGGCGGTCTTCTTTGCGGGCGTCTTGCTGGGCTTCTTGACTTTGGAGTCGTCAGTGCTCGTGCGAGAGGCACCTCGACCGTTCTGGTGCGTTCTTCGATGCTGCTCCATGTTGTCCTTGCGCGTGAACGCCTTGTTACATTCCGGGCAGAACGCGTCCTTCTTGCCGGTGTGCTTCTTCGCGTGTCGCGCTGCGTGGCCCGAGGTGGTGAAGAAGTCGTTGCATCCCACCTGCTTCGCCATCGGGCAGGGATACTGGTTCTTCTTCGGCGGCTTCTGATTCGACTGCGCAGACGCGGTGCTCAGGCGTGAGGGTTCCGAGGCAGGCGAGTTGGATGCGCGGAAGGCCTGGGCGTTCTGCTGCTGCGGCTGAGGAGGCAGGGCTTGTAGCGGCGGTTGCTGCTGCTGTGGAGCCATTTGGGGTGGCATTGGGTAGGCCTGCGGCATGGACCCGGTCGCGTCGGGAATTGGCGGATACATGGAGGCATTCTGGTGATCGTCCATCTTGGCGTGTGAGTGGTTGTGCAGGTAGTAGCGTTGGTGGTGCTGGGATTGATGGCTCGCGTGCGGGTGGTGCTTCGCCAGGTGCTGGGCCTGGTCAAAGCTATTGTAAGCCGGGGTGAGCGGTGACGGAGTTGAGAAGGCGCGGGAGTCGCTTGACGAGCTGCGCGACAACTGTGGGGTTTGCGGCGAGAGACTCGGTGTTGAGTCGCAACTCGACGAAGCCCGCGAGTGGAGGTTGAGCGGCGGCAGCTGGATCTTGGCGTTGGCGTGTGGATGATGGTTCGACGAACTGTCGTCACTACTGTCGTTGAGTAGTGATGTGATAGACATGCAATTTCTACCGTCCATCATGTGTGAGCCAGCGTCCAGAGTGAGGTGGGGTGGATGAGCAGGAGGGTTTAGAGTGCCGCGGACAGCACTGTGTTGTGGGCAGCTACGAGTGAGCACGCGTGTTGCAGATGAGGCCTTGGCGAAGCGCTCCAGGTGGTTGCTGTGATTGTCGTCGTGGGAGTATTGACGGGACTGAGCTGTACTGTACTGGCAGCGAGGTGGAGCAGGCACAGTAGAGGTGTTGGTGCGGTGGTGGTATGGGCAGCAGCGGCAGCAAGGTCGGTCTCTGGATGTCTGGGTGTGGTGCGAGAGCAGGATGGAGGACCCTCGAGGGCAGGCAGACTATTTGGAGTACAACAGTACAGTAATGCAGGCAGTGGGAGCGGGACCAAGGTTAGAGACCGGCAGCAGACGAGAGAGTGTAATTGTTCATCATCCCAGACTGCGCCGAGGGAGCATGGGAGATGTTTGGAGAGAGGGTCAGCGCAACAGCAGGACCCTGGATGTGAGGGTGCCTTTTAGCAGCGCAGAAGTTATGCGCGTCGGTGGTGGTGAGCTGCGCGAGCGAGACGAAAAGAGTGGGTAACGGGCACAGTTCCATGTTCACACATCCTGCATCCTGCACGTCTAACCTTAACTACCTAGCTTGAGCCTTGCCGACCCTGCCAGACCTACGCGATCGCCGATTGCACCTGTGGCTCGTGAACTCTACTGCCACAGCGAGGCTGTTGCGACTTCACGCGGTGCGATATTCCAGCAGCAACACGTTCAGCATTGCACTCGCTGCAGCACCTCGCATACCCCGTCCTGTGCCGTGAAGATATGACGTCCCGCTGCAATGCTCCGGCGTCGAAAAATCAGAGACACCGCCCCAGTTGGCACCCACCCGGGCGTCTAGTGTGCTCCCATGCTCACGATCGAGATCGGGCGCGACGTGCAAAGTGTCGATGTCACTGCCAGCACGGCGCGCCAAGGCACTGACTGGTGGCTTGCGACGATCCTGTGACCGCCGTTCGTATGCTGTCGCTATTGAAACGGCTTGCCCGAGAATAATAGGCGCTCTCTCTCGATACCGACCTGGCCGCCGCTAGGAAGTCTTGGGCATTGCGATTGGCAACTACCGCAAGTCATGATGCAGGTGGCCGCGCAAGGAGGAGGAAAACAGCCGCCGTGCTGCCACAACGAGGTCGTCGTGGTGGGCGCGTCGCGTGGCTAGTGAGCAGCGCGGCTCCCATATCAATATAGCAGTCGAGGATGGCCGTGTGCGGACTGCGACGCTTGCGACACGTCTGCTGTCGCCGACCGACACGCCTGTCACAGCGGGCACATCCTGTCGACACCGTGTCGGTGGCTTGCCCCCAAGCAAGGCGGACGACTCGCTGCCCACGTCGGCATTGCTCGCGCGCGTCGCCTGCGCTGCACCCGGCAAGGCCATCCGCCAGCAGCGCGCACTCGAAACGCTGCCGTTGTCGCGATGCCAGAGTTGAGCCACCGACGGCCCTGGTCAGGCACGCGCGCCTCGTCTGCACTGTGGCAGCCGACCCGCCGGGTTGGCCATGTCCCCGATCGAGCCAAGCGCCGCCTTCTGCAGGTCGCTTGCAGGCGGGCCGTTCGCAAAACGTGCTTCAGCCTTCGATCAGTCCCTTCATCTTCGATCACCGCGCCGCTTCACACCTGCGCCGTGGTCCGCGGTGCCTGCTCCGCGTATCCCGACGTTGTGCGTCCATCTACGATCTGCTCGCCCTCCCGCGGCCTCCCAATTTCATCGTGCCCTGCCCGCTCTGTACGGAACGGAGGTCCGCTC